ATCTTCTCGATCCAAGTTTAGAGAAAATGAAGCAGTGAGTTGCAGAGACCACAGCGTGACACAGAGCTGGGAATACAAGAAGCGCAAGGATTCCTAGAATTAGGAACAACAACAAAATGACATTTAGAGAGCGCCTTTCACATCTGGAGGATGTCCCAAGGCGCTGGACAGTCAGGGGTCAGGACCCGAGCACCAAGAGGGGTGGGGTAGGGGTGAGGGAAGGCAGAGAGGTGGGAGGGCAACAGAAGGCGCGATCGAAGAGAAGGGTCTTGAGGAGACAAGGGAGGAAGCGAGGCGAAGGGACCGTGGGATGGAGTTCCAGAGTGTGGCGGCTGAAAGCCCGGTCACCGATGGTAGGGCGGGTCTGGCGGGCGACATAGAGCAGGCCGGAGCCTGATGAATATAGGGAGCGGGCAGGTTGGTAGAGAGTCAGCAGGTCAGAGAGGTAGGAGGGGACAAAGCCATGGATGGCCTTAAAGGCGAGGACGAGGATCTTGAATTCGATCCTCTGGGGGATGGGGAGCCAGTGGAGTCGGGCGAGGGTGGGAGTGATGGGGTCACGGAGCCTGGTGCGTGAGAGTACACGAGCTGCAGAGTTTTGGATGATCTGCAGCTTGTGAAGGGAAGAGTTGGGAAGACCGATGAGGAGGGACTTTCCATATTCGACGTTGATGTGACGAATGTGTGGGTGAGGGTTTGGGCAGCCTGAGGGGTGAGGCAATGGCGGAGTCTGGTAATGTTGTGGAGGTGGTGGTAGGCAGTGCCGGTCATGGCGCAGATGTGGGGGAGAAAGGACAGCTCAGGGTCAAACAAGACACCCAGAGTCCTGACTGGCTTAGTGAGGTTGAGTGTGCAGCCGTGGAGGCTGATGCTGCCAGGAATTCAGTTTCCTAGGAAAGGTCAAAGAAGTTGGATTTGTTTTTCAGCCAACAAAAAACAAAGACTTTGATATCGCCTAATTAAACCTTGTACAATCATAAAGAGTGAAGAGCTTTGTTTTGGTCAGCTGGGTGGACGACACATGCGAAATCGATCACCGTGTTTAATATTACGCAAACCAGAATGAGAGTTCTACATATGTGTGGCACTTACACATGGAAATTCCCTGTGTCTGGAATGGAATGTGCACTCTCTCCAGGAGGGACGCACCCTGTTTATGTAATTCTGGAGAGCAACAGGCGCAGAACTAAGACTTGGGAACCCCAGAGTGTGCGTAGGGGTAACTGCTGGAGTTTAACCAGCTAAAACCACATAGCACTCTCCAGCAAGCCTTCCCATTGCTTCTCCAGCTAGAACCTGATGGCCTGAGGCTTGCAGGGTTAACGGAAGATGAGTGGGAGGATCCCTGCCAGTCTGGCCCATCTAAGTCTTGCCGGTGAGCTACGCTGGTTGTGCTGTCATCAGCATTGCCCTGGAGTCTCCCACTGGAGCTCTCTACTCTAATTCCATCCCCTCGCTCTTTCCCCATCATGTCTGTGCTGGTGCTCGCTCTCCTCACTGGAGCTCCTTTTCCAGAAAGTAGATGAAGCTGTCATGCCAATGAAGCCGGAATTGAGGAATTTTCAAAAACTTTGCCATCTCCAGGGAACAAAAACATTTTAATTTAAGACACTAATCACCAACATCAGGTTCTGGAGAGGAAAACTAGGGGGATTCCAGTCAGTGAGAACAGCGATTCTTCCCACTCAGCTCCTGTTAACCCCGCAAGCCAAAGCCCAAATGGATAGGGTGGTCCTAGCTGGACAAGCAGCCGGAAAGCTTGCCAGACAGTGCTGTCGAGGTCAGCTTTGCGGTTTTAGCTGGTTAGACTCCAGCAGTTTACCCCAACACACTCTGGGATGCCCAGGCCTTGCCAACCTGTGCCTACTACTTTGAGAAATTAGGTAAGATGGGTGCGTCCATCCAGGGAGAGAACGCACATTCCTTTCCAGAAACTGAATATTCCTGTGTGTGGGTGTTAAACATATGTGGAACTCTCAGTCCGGTGTAGATATTCTGGTGGCGATGGGTTTCCACATGTGTCGAACATCCAGTTGACCCAAAATAAAACGCAGCTCTCTACTGGAGAAATATCAAGATTAGGACGTTTTTGACATGTGCACAGTCTTAAGGAAGAAGTAACAGTGCCAAGAAGCTCTCTGGAGCACAGGCCCTGCCACCTCCTATCCCCGTTTATTAATAATAATAATCCTTGCATTTCACGCAGCACCTTTCATGATGGGAGAAAGGTCTCAAAGTGATTCACAGAATATACTGTAAAGTGTAGTGACTGCACTTTTCTGGACGAACGCAGCGGCCGATTTGTGCACAGCCATGCCCCGTGTCCTGTTGGCCAGGACACCGGGAAGAAATAACAGCAACAACTTGCATTTATATAGCACATATCCCGCAGTGTAGCATCTCAGAGTACTTAACAGTGGTGGAGCCTGATGCCAATAATAATAATAATAATCCTTGCATTTGATATAGCGCCTTATTATCTCTTCGAGACGTCTCAAAGCGCTTCACAGAATATACCATAAAAAGGGAAGAAGAGAAGGTGACCGCAGGCACTGTCGAAGAGGAAAATCTTCAGGCGCAATCTAAGGAATTCCCTTCTCTTTTTCGATTAGCGTTACAGATCTTTAATGGCCACCTGAACAGGCAAAGAAGGGGACCTCAGATTGACGTCTCTTGCGAATGACGGCACTTAACCTCTGCGTAGTACATCGGTCGTCTTCTCTTGGATTTCCTCCCACGAGGGAAGCAGAGGAGAACAAATATGTGAAAAGCTCGAGAGTACTGCCAAGGTTCTCGGTCCAAAGATTGATAATCTTTGTTTCAAGAAGCAGAGTTTTTCTCCCACTCTCTCACACTTTTTCTCAAGTTTTACACTTTGAAAAAATATGTGCAAGAAAGAATTTCCTCTGATCTGATTCCGGGGCTGTAATTAAAAGCAGCAGCAGCACACACATCGATCCCCTCACTGGAAAAGTCTCTCTCTCTCTCTCTCTCTTCGTTCATACTCCACATTTCTTGTTTCCGTCCATTCCAGTCGCATTTCACCCCCACCACAACCCCTTCCCCCCCCCCCCCCCCGATTCACTCCCCTTACCCCTCTCCTCCAACCCCCCAAAAAAGAATGAAAACTCCAAATAAGAAATGATATCAATCTGAATTATAATAAGAATAATCCTTGCATTTGATTTCCCTCCAAACTGATTTCCATTCTTAAAACGCACCTCTTAGACCAAGATTTCGGTCAACTTTCCCCACTCCCCTCCTCAGCACCCACTCCCAGCTCAGGTGTCCAACCAACAGTGTCAAGTCCTTTGAGACATCCTCCCGACATGCAAGGTGTCGTATAAGTGTTAATTGTATTGTGTTTCGCCTCGTCATGTTCTCGAAACGTTTCAAAACTGTGTATTTTGTAGTCAAAAAGCAGCAACCAATTTGCACACGGCAATGTCCAACCAATAAACTTGATTATTAATTTCATGTCAGCCGGGACACTGGGAAAAACTCCCTGTTCTGTTCCAACACTGCCATAGGATCTTTAGCGTCCAACCTGAACAGGCAAAAGGGGACCTTGGTTTAACATTTCATCTGAAGGACGGTACCTCCAACAATACAGAGCTACCTCCAGGACTACATTGGAGTGTCAGCCTGGACTATGTGAGCTCAAAGCACACATGATAATAATCCTTGCATTTGATATAGAGTCTTATCACATCGTTGAGTCATCTCAAAACGCTTCACAGAATATACTGTAAAGTGGATTGACTGTATTTTGTGGGCGAAATGAATATGCGCAGAATTATTTATGAAACCAGATTTCAGGGCTTTGAAAAGGAGGAACTCGAGATTACAAAGTTGAGCCCAAAATCCTCTCCAGAGAACATTACTCTCGGATCTAGATTTACTCTGATAACCTTAGCATTTTGAAACAGGACAGAATTTGGCAAATCGATGATCACTGCCTTAACTTTGAAGACGCCTCTCAGCAGTTTCTTCAAAGAAACTTAAGAATATTTTGGATTGGCATCGTCTTAGAATAGCCAGGATCGCGAGGGACCTTCTTTTTACACAAGTCTTCGATTCCATCTTAATTTTTGTTTCCCGTTTAAGTGGCCAAAAGGAGAAAAAAAAGGGACCGTGGAATCGGTTAAATACCAAGGTCGATTTTTTCCAGATTTACACATGATCTCTATCATTGTGAGACGACGACCCAAAGGAGCCTTCGGGCCCAAAGGAGATATAATTGGTTCCTGAATAAGGAACCAGACACGTTCTTGGAAGCGAAAAGGATTCAGTGTTGCTGTGTGATGAGCTACACAGATGAGTGGAATTCTTCCACTTATGTTGATTAATACCCGCGTGTTGGGCGTCCACCTGGCTCTGTCAGTCACACTCTGGCCTCCGAGTTAGAGGGGCGCAGGGCGCAGGTTCAAGCCCCCATCACCTTACTAACCTTTGCCTTGCTACACCCGCTTTCAACACCCACCTTCCGAATGATAATTATCCTTGCGTTTGATACAGCGCCTCATCACACTGTCGAGACAAAGTGCTTCTCAGGATTTCATTGTAATGTATAGTGACTGTGTAGTTACAAGCAAACACGGCAGCCAATGTGTTCACAGTAATGTCTCACAACCAGCGTGGAGTGAGTGACCAATTTTATTTGGCGGATGGTTGGGCAGGACACCAGGAGAGAGGAACTCCCTTCTTTAGCATCAACCTGAAGGGGCATTGCTCTGGAGTGGCATCCTAGACTGTGTGCGTTCAAAGTCCTAATGTAGGGGCTTGAAAGCACAACCTTCTGACTCAGAGGCGAGAGTGCAACCATCTGAGACAGGCCGACACGAGTTGGGTCAAACAGTCTGATTCAATCATTTACAGTCTGTCTTGGTTAGGGTTCAGAATAATATAGTGCATATTAAAATAAAAGCCATCAGGTCAATTGACAATCTAGGAAGAGGAAGCCTCATGTTTGTCAACCACAAACAGGCACCGAGACTGACCTTGTGGAAATTCCCGTAGAAGAGCTTCTTCACTTCGTCACTGTCAAACGTGATGGTCTGTGACTCGCCTCTCTCATCCTTGTTAAAGAATGACAGGGTCTGGCTGTTGCCTGTGGTTCAGAAGGAAAGCTAGATGAGAATTACTACCCGACTTTGTAACTTAATAATAATAATCCTTGCATTCTGATACAGCGCCTTTCACGTCGGGAGGACGTCTCAAAGCGCTTCGCGAGCTCTGTGTATTTGTTGTTGAACCATTAACAATAATATTAATAATTCTTGTATTTGATACAGCGCTATGAAACGTCTCAAAGACGTGACCAGGTGCTATTTCAAATCCAAGTTATTATTATTATTATTTTGCACGCAGCAATGTCCCACAAACAGCTGTGAAGTGAGTGACCGATTTTATTTGGAGGCCACACACTGGGAAAGAGAAGCTCCCCTCTCTTTACGAATAGCATCAGGGAATCTTTGACATCCACCTCTGAACATGGACAGACAGGACCTCGGTTTAATGTCTCATGTGAAGGGCGAGAGCGAGGACAATGAGGCCATTCCCAGCACTATACCCGAGCATCAACCTCTAGAACCCACAAACCTTCTGATCCAAAGGTGAGAGTGCTAGCGACTGAGCCAGGCTGACTCCTATGGTTACTTACCATCGACAAGCACACCGACTTCGGGTTTGTAGTCCTGGTTTGTGATCTGCCAGATAGCGAACGGTTCTGAGGTGGTTTCAGGCAGGATGCGGAACATCAGCATGATGGTGTAGGTGAGCGCCAGGCCATCCGGGTGAATATCCCTGTGTCACCAACAGAAAAAACAGAGAGACCTTTGAGATGGAGATTCATGGGCGTGAGGAGATGAAGTTGGGTGTCTGACCCATGAGGGAAGTGCTTAAGAGTATCCAAACTAGATTGAGTTCCATATATAATAATATTCCTTGCATTTGACAAAGTACATGTCATGAAACATCTCAAAGTGCTGTGACTGAGTATACTTTGTAGGCAAACGCGACAGGCAATTTTGCGCACAGCAATGTCCCACAAATATTTAGTGGATTGAGTGATTAATTTTACTTGGGGGATTGTCGGCCAGGACACCGGGAGAGAAAAACTCCCTTCTCTTTCCAAATAGTGCTGTGGAATCTTTAACATCCACTTGAACAAACAGATGGGGCCTCGGTTTAACATCTCATCCGAAGGACGGCACCTCTGACAATGCAGCACTCCCCACATCACTGCAATGGAGTATCAGTCTAATTATATGAGTTTGAAGTCCCGGGGTGGGGCTTGAGCCCACAATCTTCTGACTCAGAGGTGAGCGTGCTCTCGACTGTGCCAAGCGGACACACTTCATGTATTGCCACCGACACAAGGAACTTTCCCTGAGTCTGGAACGGAATACACACTCTCTCCCTGGATTGAATTGAATCCATAAACGTCTGACTGAGGGGGTGAGAGCACGTCGGACAAAGCCAAGCTGGGAAAACTTACACTGTGGGCTGGTTGAGGTAGGTGTCCTTGTGAAGTCTGTAAGCCACATAGCTATTGAAGGATCCGGGTTCCATGGAGACGCCTGGCAGAGAGGAAGCTTCTGTCTCCGTCAGATTGAAAGCCTCCATCATTTTGTAGCCTTGAGAGCAAAGAAATCCAGCAGGAACTTCAGTTAAGGATTTTTTTTTTCTTTGTGTTTAGAAGGAAGGGTGTGGGGAAAAAGCTGGGTGGGGGGGCAGATAACAACACTGGCACTAGCATAGGTGTTGATGGGCCAAATGGCCTCCTTCTGTGCTGCAAACTCTCTTGGGCGGGGTCAAAATTATCATAATAATAATCCTTATATTTGGCACAGCGCCTTTCGTGTTGGGAGGATCCCTCAAAGCGATGCACAGGATTTATTGCCAAGTGTGGTTTCTGTGTGCTTTGCAGATGAATGGGTAGATTTTGTCAAGCACAACTGAAAGGCCTCAATAGGGCACCAACTCTTTTATCGGGGCACTAATAAACTTTAGATCATAGGAGAGGTGAGGATTAAGAAAGCGCTTCAGGCCACTTAATCTCATCCTTCCAGGACCTACTTGCATTTACATAGCGCCCTTCACACAGGGTAGCAACTTCACTGATGGAGTGGGGAGTAACAGGCCGGAGAGCCAATGGAGACTGGTGAGTACCGGTGTGATGGGAAGTTTAGTACAGGTGAGTGTACGGGAGGAGGAGTTTTGAATCAGTTGCATTTTGTGGATAGTGGAGCTGAGGAAAACCATAAAACCAAAGAAATTCAGAGCACAGAAGGCCATTCAGCCCATCCTTCCTGTAAACTCCCTCTTCCAGTTGTTAATTGCTGCTTTGTGTAAAGAAATACTTCCTAGTGTCTATCCTGAAATTACCCCTCACACCACTCTTTCGACTGATGTGCCACATCTGAACATATTGTTCTGGGTTTAACTTTCTCAATCTCATTGAGATAATAAAGTCCCCTCTGAGACTAAGGTTTGACGGGCCTTCCTTCGGAGGTGGCCAAGTTTGCTTCTAGTCATCAGTTTTGTAGGCTGGCTCCTCCTGAGATGCTGCTTTGCTTTAGGCTCATCTGTAAACGGACAGACCTAATAGCTCCAAGGCTTCTTCAGTCGTCAGGTCTGTAATCCCACGAGACATTCTTCTAACACTTTTTCTTCCCTCACCCTCCCCGTTTCCAAGATTTTGCTTTGTGAAGAGAGTCGTGAAGAGAGGTGTGTGATGGCTTGTCAGATCTCCGCCCCTCCATCCCTTCTCCCCATCCGTAGCCTCTCTGTCCCCTTCTCCCACCCCTTCCCGGCCCCATATCTGCACTCCTCCCACCAACCCAAATTCCACCCAGTCTCAGCCTGCCGTAAAAATTGAAGGCAGCTCAGAATCATGGTAAACTCTGAATTCCATGTGGATTGCTGAAGTTGAGGTGTTATTTTCCCCCCACCAACACTTCATAAAAAAGACAGATCAAAGACTGAACCGAAGAATTTTTCCACAGTCTCACGCCACTGTAAATTTTACAGACGGAAACAGCCTCGCAGCCTAAGAGCGGGTGGAATTTCAGCGCCTCTGAGGCCACTGAAGGCCCGCACAGGCCAACTCGCTCCGTCGGAAGCCTCCAAGGGATCAATTAATAACTATATTGTTTTCAAAGAAATATATATCAAAACGACAATAGGAGGGAGTATTACCCCTGCATATTCTAGCTCCCGAGCCACAATGGAAATTCCATTATGGAGCCGGGCAGCTTTCCACCTGCTTTTATTGAAAGCATGTGTTCGAGGCGAGAGGACTGCCAAGGTCTTCGGGAATAAACAAGGGCCGAGATAGGCTCTCTTACCTGGCGTTGTGAACCCGTTGATGTAAATCAGGGGGCAAGCTGCAGAATGATGGAGAACAGACATCAATATTAATACTGTAATAAGAATAGTAATGTAATAATAATCCTTGCATTTGCTAGAGCGCCTTATCAAGCCTCCGAGACGTCTCAAAGTGCGAGAGAATTTGAAATATAATTGGAAGCGCTGAATTTATAACAAAAATAACGATAGCACTTGATCACGTTGAAGCATCTGAAAGTGTTTCACTCTAATTACTATTAAAATATAATACAATCCTTGCATTTGATTCAGGAGAATGTCACAAAGGGCTTCACAAGATGACATACTGTAAAGTGTAGTGACTGAATTCTGCAAACGAACATGGCAATCAAACTTGCACACGGGAACGCCTCACAAACAGCCATGAGGTGAGTAATCGATTCTATCTGGGGGTTGTTGGGCCAGGTCACAGAGGGACAGAAACTCGCTTCTCTTTTCAAGTAGCGTCTATGGGACTGTTAACATCTGCCTTGGTCAATCTATTATGGCTGTTTTGTGGGACGTTGCTGTGTGCAAAATGGCTGCTGCGTTTGCCTAAAAAACACAGTCATTGCACTTTACAGCAAAATCTGTGAAGCTCTTTGTGACGTGCATCCCGCAACCTGATTAATTACTAATTCACAATTGGATTCGCAGGTAATAATAATAATCCTTGCATTTGATACAGCGCTTTTCACGTCTTCTCGACGTCTCAAAGCGCTTCACAGAATAACTCGCTCCCTCCCTCCCTTTCCTCATTCAAGGCAAGTCTCAAAGCATTCATCTTTGCCCGCACTTTCGGTCACCTTTCCCCTCCCACCCCTACCCCCAGCGAGCTCTGTGAAGCGCTTTGAGACATCCTCCGATATAACCGCCGCTTTGTGTCTGTGTAAATCGTATTGGGATTTATTACTAGAGGAGGCGGTTTCACACAGAAACGTGATGAGTTGGTCTTCGATCTTAGCAAAAGCGTCAAAATCGTCCACCACGAATAAATGCTTGTCACTGGGTTTGCTCGCGATGTTCCTCAACTCTGTGAAGTCCACGTCAGCCACCCCAACCACGAACACACTGTAACCTGCGGAAACGGGAGAAAGAGAGGCATTTTAAACTCGCTCGTCAGCTGGAATTACGCTCGTCTGGTCATTTGCCCAATCCCGCCTCGCCCTTCCTCGCATCACAGCATCAAGCTGCCTTTTAAATGAGCCCCATTGTCCTGGCCTCAACCACCCTTCCTGCGACCCTGTTCCAGGTGTGATTTCCCCTCTGAATAAAGAAAAATCTTCCTGGTATCTGTCCTGAAATCACCCCAACCCTGTACCCACTTGTCCAGCCGTCTTGGTGTAGCTCTAATTTTTGTTCTGGGTTTTGCTGTCTCAATCACAGTTAGCATCTTATACAACCCAATAAGATCAATGTCCTGGCCTCAACCACTCTTTCTGGTCTCAACCACCCTTCCCCGTAGCTCCAACAGTTTCCTCAATTCATACGCTGGGGTCCCCAAGAACTTGGCTCTCACTAACCTGCGCCTAATGCTCTCCATAATTAGGTAAGCAGGATGCATCCCTCCAGGGAGAGAGAGAGTGCGCATTCCATTCCTACAATCTATCGCTGGAATTTCTGTGTGTAAGTGGGATGCATGGGATTCTCAGTTTGGTTTGGAGACTCTTAAGCAACGGTGTTGTTCATCAGCTCTGTGAAGTCCACGTCAGCCATCCCAACTACAAATACACTGTAAACTGCAGTTGTCTCCTCCAGAACCAACTCCAGGTCCCCCGATGTTCTATCAGTTGGATGAGTGCAAACTTCCTGCAGCTGAATATGAATATGAATGTGGACAAGTCTTCACTCCTGCAGATCTAAACTCCTCAACCTCACTGGGCTCTCCATGAGACTCACCAAACCGGTGCGCAACCTAGGCATCCGGTTCGACCCCCAGCTGTCCTTCCTCCCCCACATCCAGTCCCTGACCAGGACCGCCTTCTTCCACCTCTGCCACATTGCCCGCCTCCGACCGTAACTTACCCCAAATGCAGCCGAAACCCCCTTGCAAGTGTTTGTCACCTCCCTCTTGGAGTACTCCAATGCATTCCTCGCCGGTCTCCCCGGCTCCACCATTCACAAGATCATCTCATTCAAAACTCTGCCGCCTACATACTGACCCGGACCCAAACTCCGTACCCACATCTCATCGACTCTGCCCAGGCTCCACTGGCTCCCCATCACCGAACAAATTGACTTCAAGATCCTCGCACTTGTGTCTTCACTCCCTGGCACCTCCCTACCTCTCCGACTTCCTCACTCCCCAATCCACCACCCGGTGCCTCCGCTCGACTGGCACCGGCCTCCTGCTCGTCCCTTGCACCCTCCGCCCCACCATCGGAGGTCGCACTTTCAGCCACTACCCCCCCGAAACTTTGGAACACTCTCCCTCAATCCCTCCGCCTTGCCCCCTCTTTCGAGTCCCACCTGAAAACTTTCCTGTTCGACGGTGCTAACGGCCACCTCCCCCCTCTCACACTGGCTCGGAGTCAGGCTCCGCCACCGTTAAGCGCTCGGAGGGCGCTATATAAGTGCAAGTTGTTGTTGATGGGTTTCCACATGTCAGACACCCAGATGACCAAAAAAAGCATCGACTCCCCGTCCACATAAAGAAATGCCTCAATGGTATCCGTGCAGAAATTGCCACTTGCAGCCCTGACCGCGAGCACTCTTGACCTGCAGAACGGGTGCATGTGAAAGTGTCTGCTCACCGGCCTCCTGCAATGCCAGGGCTGGCTGTTTGACCTCATCCTGAGAGCGTCCATCAGTCACAACCACCAGCACCTTGGGCACGGACTTCCTCATGCCCCTCGAATGAATGAAGACCTCGTCATATAGAAACTTCAGAGCTCGACCTTGGGTTGTGCAAGGAGAGAGAATTATCAGCGTCGGCAAACACAGCATGTGACAACTGTCACATCGACCAACAATGCCCCATGTGCTAATTATCACATTGACTGATAATCCAAGTTAATAATAATCCTTGCGTTTGACATAGCGGCTTATCACGACTTCTAGACATCTCCCAGTGCTTCGCAGAATGTACTGTAAAGTGAATTTACCGTGTATTTTGTGGGCGAAATGCAGCAGCCAATCGTGCACAACAGTGTCCCACAAACAGTGGTGGATTAAGCGACCAAATTATTATTTTCATTTAATTAAATTTTGAAGGAATTGTTACGTCCGGAAAAGCGATCTGCAAATTGGCTAACAACCAGGTTCCTACTTACTGCTACGTAAACAGGGTCGCGTGGAGTAAGGAAATATGCCCAAAGTTTCGCACTGGCCCAGGAATTGAACCCAGGTCCTCTCGCATGTGAGGCGGGTGCTCTAACCAACACACTACAGGACTACTAGATGTGATAACTACCATATTACATATTAGTTGTAATAATGTCCCATGCGATATTGTCAAATCGACCAAAAATGCATCATTTATATTAACATCAACATCAACCGAGTGATCTTTAACGTCCAAAAACAAGCAGTCAGGACCCTGATTTGACGTCTCACATGAAGCACATCACCCACGGCCATCTTTGGCTCCAAGCTCCTCATCCCCCACCCCACCCCCCACAGTGCCACTGTACACCACTCCGTACCTGTCTTTGTGTTCCCGCCTTTGTAGCGGACCATTTGCAGGGCAGACAGGACATGTCCTTTGTCGGCATAAGTGTTCAGTTTGAACTCTGACTTTGCTTCGTCGCTGAATTGAACGAAGGAAATCTACAACACAATGCAATTTACATTTAGACATGCCTTTCATGGCGGGAGGACATCTCAAAGCACTTCACAGTGCTGTGTGTGGGAACCTGAGTGTGGTAAAAGGGTACATTTTGAGAATGTGCCTCAATAGCAATAGTAATATTCCTTGCATTTGATATAATACTTTATTATTGAAAGTGGCGGCCAATTTGCTCCAGCAATATTCCACAAGCAGTCATGGAATGTGCAACCAATTGTAGTTGAGGGATTGTTGGCCATGATACTGGGAGAGAAATTCCCTTCTCTTTTCGAATAGTGCAACAGGATCTTCAATGTCCACCTGGACAGACAGACTGTGCTTTGGAGTTACTGTGTGCAGTTCTAGATGCAGCTCCGACCTTCTGCATGTCCCTTGTGCTCTCCGTTCCACCTTTGGCAGCTGTGCTTTTAGCCACTATGCCCTGAAACCTCTGGAACGTTCTTCCAACATCAGCAAGACCGAGGCCCTCCTGATAGGCTCGAGCGCTGGTAGCATCAGCCTCCACGGCTGCACACTCAACCTCACTAAGCCAGTCAGGACTCTGGGTGTCTTGTTTGACCCTGAACTGTCCTTTCTCCCCCACATCTGCGCCATGACCAGCACTGCCTACCACCACCTCTGCAATATTGCCAGACTCCCCCACTGCCTCACCCCTCAGGCTGCCCAAACCCTCACCCACACATTCGTCACATCAAGGCTCGATTATAGGGACTCCCTCTTCATTGGCCTTCCCAACTTTTCCCTTCACAAGCTGCAGATCATCCAAAACTCTGCAGCTCGTGTACTCTCACACACCAGGCTCCGTGACCCCATCACTCCCACCCTCGTCCGACTCCACTGGCTCCCCATCCCCCAGAGGATCGAGTTCACCTTTAAGGCCATCCATGGCCTTGTCCCCTCCTACCTCTCTGACCTGCTGCCTCCCTACCAACCTGCCCGCTCTCTCCGTTCATCGAGCTCCGGCCTGCTCCATGTCTCCCGTCCGACCATCGGTGGCCGGGCTTTCAACCTCTCTGCCCCCACACTCTGGAACTCCATCCCACGGTCCCTTCGCCTCGCTTCCTCCCTTACCTCCTTCAAGACCGGTCTCAAGACCCTTTTCTTCGACCGAGCCTTTGGTCTCCCTCCCACCTCTCTGCCTTCCCTCACCCCTACACCACCCCTCCCCCATGCTCGGGCCCCGACCCCTGACTGTTCAGCACTTTGGGACGTCCGCCCGACGTGAAAGTCGCTCTATAAATGTAATTTTGTTGTTGTTGTTCCTCTATTCCTCCGCCTTTCCCCTTCCTTCTCTATCTTCAGGTCATGTCTGAAGACCTTCCCATTTGACCGTAGCTACGGTTACCTCCCGCTCCCACCGGCTCAGTGTCGTGCTCCGCCATTGTCAAGTTCTCTGGGATGCTACCCTGCTACAAATTGTTGTTGTAGAAGCTCCATAATAGAAAAACATCAGAGCCCTCGTCAAAGTACAGATGAGAGCCCCTGAGATGGTTTAACGTTACATCCGAAGGATGTGATTTTTTTTGAAATAATTCTGCTTCAACCATTATTTTGGCAGCGCATTCTATATCCCAATGACGTTCTGTGTCCAGTCACATTGCGTAGCCCCTTCTCCCCCCAATACTCGCCCCACTTCACAAAGCGCGGTGGTTGTTTACGAGCAGAGTGTCCGTGTGTTATTGACCTGCATTCCCGCTGGGCTGATATTGTCCAGGGCACCAATTGTGGTGAAGACAAACTGCACAACCTTCAGGAAGTTATCATCCCCGATACTCCACGAGCTGTCAATCAAAAATACCAGATCTGCCTTCGCACCCTTGCACACTGAAAGAGAAGAGGTTCAAGGTCAACGCAGGGAAAGGAATAAAGGAGGAGAGGAAAGGGCAGCGGGGCAAAGGAGCAAAGGAGGACTGGAGGGAGGAAAGAAGCAAAGAGAGTTGAAGGACCAATAATTTTAAACAGTTGGGAGCGAGTGTCAGCACCGACACATTGGGGAAAGAGCAGCGGGAATGGGATTAGAGAGCTCCAGGGGGAATGAGCATCACCACAGATACAATGGGGGAAAGAGCAGAAGTGAGTTCCAGTGGGTGAAGGCAAGCAGAGCTGGGCAGGTTAGAGTAGAGAGCTCCAGTGGGGGAGCGAGCACCAGCTCAGACATGATGGGGAGAGAGAGCAGGGGAATGGGATTAGAGTAGAGAGCTCCAGTGCCTTACCGTCATGTGCCGGGGGGATGGTTGCTGGCGGTGGAGGAGGTGGCGGTTCGGTTGGGGCTACGGTCGGGCGGATCACTGCCAAGAAGAGAAACAAAGCGGTGAATCAACAGGACTCCAAAAATTGCTCTCAGCGCAGAGCAGAAAACACACGGCAAAATCTCCACCGAATCTTAACCTGGGAGACCCTTTTGTCTTCAACTTTAAGAATAGTGGAAAATTTTCCAAATCCACCCTTAATTTCGGAGCTGGTTTCGCCCAGATCTTCAAAAACAGGTTTCCAAATAAAGGCAGACTTTATTTATCTCCACTGATGTCACTGAAATGTATCTGTGCTGATGTTAGTCTGTCTCCCTCACACCATCGGGTTTTCTTTTAGGAAGTAACATGATGAGATATGGTACATAGGAAGTTCGAGACGTAGGTGCATTCGACTGCCAGGAAGATGGAAGGTGAATCAGATGGACCTCGGTCTTTTTATTTTTTTGGGGCCGTACGTTTCTTATGTTTTTATTGGGTTCAGTAACTGATCGCTCGCCCTCATCGCCCCGCTATCGTTACTCACTTGTTTGCTCCTGCACGTTGACTCCCGGTCCCTCCAGGTTGGGAAGCTGTGTGTACACCATCGCATCGTACTTAGCGTTGGGTGAAAGGCCGTAGAAGCAGTAACTGGAGTCGGCCCCGTTGACAGTGACCTCCTGTCGGCCGCTGTGCTGAGCTGCGCACGGGAGGAAAGAAAAGAAAAGTCATCAGTAAGGACAGGGAGCACAAGATCACAAGAGAGATGTTAGGGTGATGAAGGCCGTACTACAGCAGCCCATTTGATCTCATCCCTGCAGAGCACACAGCCCGCATTCCTCCCGTAACAACATTGAGCTGCTTTTTAAATGAGTGTCAGTGCCCCAGCCACTCTACAGTACAGACTCCACACTCAGTGTGCCCCGAGTGCAACCTGGAGTCCCGTAGTATAGTGGTTAACACACTCATCTCGCGAGCCATGGGACCCAGATTTGATTCCTGGGTGATGTGAAACCTTAGGCAAGTCTCTTTACTCCACACACACTCTGTTGACCTCGCAGTAAGTAGGAGCCTGGTTGTTAGTCGATTGGCGGATCGCTTTCCGTGTGCGATAATTGCTCAAGAAAAAAAAATTGGTCACTCAATCCACGACTGTCTGTGGAACACTGCTGTGAGCAATTGGCTGCTGCATTTTGCCCACAAAATATACAGTTAATTTGCTTTACATTATTATCTTCTGTGAAGCGCTTTGAGACGTCTCAACGATGCGATTAAGGCGCTATATGAAATGCAGGATTGTTATTATAACATCCCTGGATCTGAGCGCGCATTTCTATAGCTTTATTGCTTATCATGTCAAAGGGTCTCAAAGAGTTTCATGTGTCGTTCCACATACATGAGGAAGAAGGGGATAGGACTGGCGACACATGTTAAGTATAAACACCAACATGGAACAATTGAGCCAAATGTCACTTTCTATGTAATTCTACTATAAAGTGTAGTGACTGTGCATTTGTTGGCACAATCTGGCAGCCAGTTTGCACACAGCAAAGTTCCCCAAACAGCTGAGGAGTGAGCGACCACTAATTAATCCAGGGAATTATCGATCAGGACGCCAGTAGAGAGAGAGAGAGACATCCCTCTCTTTTCCAACAGGGTCTTTAACGTGTCCATCTGATCCAGGCAGATGGGAGCTCGGTTTTACGTCTAAGCTGAAGGACGGCACCTACAACATTGCAGCAAACTCCCAGCCCCTCTCTCCCTCCCTCCCTCCCTCCCTCTTTCCCCCCCATTCCACCCAAAACGGCGCTGGAGGCCATCAGTGACCTCACAGTCCATAAGGTGGGGGTGCGAATGCATGAGTTTCTGACCCATTTGGGGAGAAGGCAACCAACTGAGCCGAGCTGAGTTAAAAGTTAAATGCCCCCTCCCCTCACCCACAAAGAATCTCTCTGCAACCCAATTCCCACCCCCGACCTCCCCTCCTTCGCCTCACACAACACCCCAGTGTCATTCTCAATTGCAGGACAACTCTAGACTGGAGCCAACCCCTCTCCCCCCCCACTCCACCAAACATATGGTGAAATAACATCCCTCAGTGCCAAGGCTCAGGCCTGCACTTCAGGGATTCTGATTAGGTAGCAGTGGAGCCTTAACCTCAGATAAAGGGAAAAACTTTTTTTACATTAAACATGTGTGGCTTTTCCAAACCAGTTAAAGAAGACATTAATCTTCGTTGTGTTTCTCTCCCGCGCTCTCTCATGCTCCTGCTTGCTCTCTCTTGCGCTCTTTCTCTCTCTCTCGTGCTCTCCCACGCTCTCTAGCTCCTGCTCCAATGTGTCTCCTCTTTCGTTATCTCTCACTACTACTCGCTCTCTATCTTTTGCCCCCTCTCTGGCTACTATTTCTCTCTTGCATTCAAAATGTCAAGCGGGTTTGTTAAAGTGAACAACGTGTAGGTATTTCCACTGCTTAATGGAAGGGTAACTGGGAAAGATGATAAGGATTATTGTTATCATACACGTGTGTGTGTATATCTGTGTTCTGTGCGTGAGTTTCAGTGTACGGATATGTGTATATATCTGTCTGTGTATACATGTCTATGGTACTGTCACTGTCAAGTGCTCTGAGACGCTATACTGCATGAGTGGTGCCATGTAAACAGAAATTGTTTTGTATGTGTGTCTGTATGGTCTCTGTGTATCAGTGTTTGTATCTGTGTGTCTATATCTGGGTCTTTATCTGGGTATGTGTGCATGGGTCTGTGTGTGTGTGTGTATCTGCATCTGTGTGTGCGTTTATGTCTGTGTGTGAATGTGTCTGTATCCAGTTACCTATCCACTTACTGACCAGTGGAAATAACTGCTCCTTGCTCACCTTATCAAATCCCCTCATTCTTTTCAACACATAGGGGAATTGGCAGAATGAGAGTAAGAGAGAAAGAGAGTAAGAGAGAGAGAGAATGAAAGAGAGCAAAAGAGAGAGAGCGACAGAGGGAGAGGGTGAAAGAGAGTGAGCGTGAGAGAGAGAGACAAAGAGAGAGATGAAACAAGTAAGAGAGAGAGAGCAAAAGAGAGAGCGAGATCAAAAAAAGAGCAAGCGAGAAAAATAGCGAGAGCGAGAGAAAAAAGAGTGCACGAGCAAGAGAGATAGCAGGAGAGATAGCGAGTGGGGAAGAGTAAAAAAAATGGGAGAAAGAGAGCGAGACCGAGAGAGCGAGAGGCAGAAAAAGAGTGAGAGCAAGAGAGAGAGAGCCAGATTGAGACGCAAAATGAAGATTGATGGCCCCTTTTGATTAGCTCGGAAAAAACCCACACATGTTTAATGTGTATTGACAAAAAGGCACGGATCCCAGCATTGCTCAGAGACGAGGGACAGGGAGAGAGCGCGGAGGGGGGGCTGGTTGAAGAAACATTCTTTGAAACAGTAGTAAGCAGTTTCCACAACTGAAAGGAATGCTTTATGCTGAAGTAATGATATAATGTCATTTAAATGATGAAAACAAATAGTGGAGCGTTGGCCAGGTGAGCATGCCAGGCAGCGAAGAGCCAGAGCTGTGCTGGACTCTGGACAAGTTTACATTGGCTTCAGCGAGTGAGGCAAAGGATTTGCTGACTTTGTCCCACTGTGGATTGGGGCAAAGCTTGTGCCGTACGCTGATTAACAGAGGATCGCGTTACAGCAAGGGCACAAACTACACCCCCTCCCCTCCCACCGCGCACACATCATTCCAAAAAAATAACAATCATAATAATAATTCGGTCAATCCACGACTGTTTGTGGGACGTGGCTGTGGGCAATTGGCTGCCGGGTTTCGCCCACAAAATACACAGTCGCTACACTTTATAGTATGTGCTGTGAAGCGCTTTGAGAAGTCTCGAAGATGTGATGAGGCTGTATATCAAATGCAAGGATTATTATTACTTATTGTTACACCACACACACACACACACACACATCCGCATAAACCATCATCCCTGAGTCAATCTCATTCCCCCACTTTGAAATTAAGGTCTCCCATCCCCACTTTGCCAGAGGGGAGAAGGTTTCAGGGTGTCCTGATAGAGTTCTTCACAAAGGGTTTAGAGGAGAATGGGAGCAGGATTAGACTCCTGTGGAGAAAACAATGTCAGTCCAAACTGGATGGGCCAAATGGGCTCTTTGCATGTTGGAACATTGTGGGACGGGGTGAAACAGAACAGTGCAAATTTACATTTACACAGTGCCTTCATGTCAGGATGATCCAAGGTGCTCAACAATCCCAGCTTAGTTACGGGTAGGAGCTGAGGGGGTGGGAAGGGGGAAGTGGGGGGGTTGGGGGTGGGGGGGGGGGGAAAGATGACCGCAGTCACAGTCAAAGAGGTAGGTATTGAGATGGACCTTGAATGAGGTGAGAGAGAGAGAGAGTTGGATGGAGTTCCAGAAAGTCTTGAGCTGAAAGCCAGACCGTTCATGGTGGGTTGAGTAGGGTGGGTGCTCGCTAACCTTACAGCCCTGCGGAGATTATAGCCATTTGACGAGAAAACAAGTTACAAGAAGAACTAAAATCCTGCTGGGGACAGAAACACCCCTCCGACCTACAATGAATGCCAGCAGCTGAGGTTGAAGCGAAAAAGTATCAATGTAATTATAATAATAATTCTTGCATTTGCCTTCTCACATGTTCGAGATGTCTCAAAGCGCTTCACAGAATAATAATAACAACAACAATCATCCTTACATTTGATATAGTGCCTCATCACATCTTCGAGACGTCTCAAAGCGCTTCACAGAATTTACTGTACAGACTAGTTGGGTCAAATGGCCCGTTTCTATACCATATAATTCGATGTCACACACTAACATGAAGAAGTTCCTCCCAAACTCCCTATTAGATATCTATTGCTAGCTACCTAAACACTTCATTTTGTTTAGCAAAAAAAAATAATTTGGTCACTAACTCCACGACTGTTTGGGGACACTGCTGTGTGCTATTGGCGGCCACTTTTCTCCCACAAAATACAAAGTCAATTCACTTTACAGTATAATCTGTGAAGCACTTTGAGATGGCTCAAAGACATGATAAGGCGCTATATCAAATACAAGGATTATTATTACCTATGCCTTATACTTATGCCTCGGAACCAATGAGAAAAAAATGTAAGATACAGGTTCAAGACGAGTTCAACAACATATTAAAATGTCAGTACTTCCATGAGGAAACCTCGTACTTGTTAGCTCTGCGATTCTCTGAACACACTCGCTCTCGCTCTCGCTCTCGCCTCTTGGTAAGTAGTTTGTGGGAACGTTAGCTCCCAGTAAGGGCGATTGCTGTAACACTGGGGAAAGAGCAGTGTAACACTGCAATGCTGGTCTGCTCTTCCAGCTCCTGCAATGAGCCAGGCTGTCTGCGCTGCGCTCTGGATTACTGGAATGCTCTGGAATACTGTGGACCTGCCTGGCTCAGGAACTGGACTGGAGACTGTCACGGAACGCCAACCCAAAAGTAGGGCGAATGGCTTCTCAGAGGAGCAAAAGTCAGTGCAGTGGCGGGGGGTGGAGTGGGGGGGGGGGGGGGGTTGTTGGGCGTAGGAGGTGGAACAGGCTGAACTGACCTCTCGTTCCGTGGTGCATTTCTCTTCCTTTATTTCAGAATAAAGAGGGATAATACTGGCGATGTGGTTGGCAAGTAATGAAAGGCAATATTTAGTATGGAGAGGAAACTTGGGCGCACACTTCAGTTTCCTGTTATTAAGATGCAGGAGGTTGTGCTGTCAATGAAGACCAGATGGGAACCCAACATGGCTGTAAACATTCCAAAGCCACAACAAGAAAAAAAATCTATCAACACGCTTAGATCTGTTTTCATCTTTTTTTTAAGTTAATTGCCTGAGGACCTGAATTCTATCTGGTCTTAGCCAGCGAGATCCTCTCCGCTTCATCCTCTGATTTAGCACGCTGAGAGAGAGAGAGAGATGGGCTGGCATGGGTCGGGAAAGCGCATTAGAGTTACTCAGAGAGAGAAAAACAGAAAGACATGAAGCGACAGAAAGTGAAACTCAGTAAGAGAGACAGAAAGACGTTCAGACAGCAACTCAAAGAGTGGCAGAGAGAACCTGAGAGAGAGAGAGTAAAGCAGAGAGATAGCGACAGAGAGTGAAACAGAGAGCGTCAGAGATTGATTGAGAGAGAGTGCGAGACAGAGAGAGACAGACAGATAGAGAGTGAAGCAGAGAGTGGCACGGAGCATGAGCAAGAGAGTGAGAGACAGACAGAGAGTGAGAGGGAGAGGGAGACAGACAGAGAGCAAAAGAACTTGAGAGAGTTTGAGACAAAGACAGAGAGAGAGAGAGAGAGAGAGAGGCGGAAATGGAGAGAGACAGCAAGTGAAACAGGGAAAGAGTGGCAGAAAGACAGGCAGGCAGGCAGGCAGGCAAAAGAGAGAGACAAACAGGCAAGCAGGCAGGGAACGAATAGAGCCCGGATAGAATTTCACAAAAAAACACACACTTTACAGTAAAATGCAATAAAGTGCTTTGAGATGTCCTTCTGGTCAGATAAGGTGTCAGACTAAATACATGGATTACTATAACATAATTCTTTTAAAAAATTCCGCTTCCCCACAAATCAAAGAAGAGTTTAAAGATTATTTGATAGAGGTAGATCTGTTGAGAAGCTGAATCCCCATATAATAATCCTGCAATAATCCTTTTATTTTATATAGCACCACATCACGTCAATGAGACATCTCAAGGCACTTCACAGGCGACACTGTGAACTGGGTCGACTGTGTATTTTGCGGGCGAAATGTAGCGACCAGTTAGTCCCAGGACACCAGAAGAAACTCCCTTCTCTTTTCGAATGGATATTTAACATCCACCTGGACAGGCAGACGGGACCTTGGTTTAAAGTCTCATCCGAAGGACAGCACCTCTGACGATTCAACATTCCCCCCCCCCCAGCATAGCATTGGAGCGTCAACTTAGACTACGTGATTCCAAGTCCTGATGTCGGGCGTAAACCCACAACCCTCTGACTCAGAGGTGAGAGTGCAACCGACTGAGCCAGGCTGACCCACGTCACAATTAATAATAATAGAATAATAATAACAATAAGAGTAATTTTATAATGTTCACCATCCACCGGTTGCAGCTTGATTCGGTAAGATGAGGCCTGTCTGTGGGGGTTCCACCGGATACAGAAGCTGTCCCAATCCACTTGGTAGGTAGTCAGACCCGTCACATTCAGGTACACTGAGTGTGAGAAAGAGAGAGAGATGGAGGGTAAGAATGTATAAATCCCAGTATGTTTAACCTCTGCTTTGAAGCAACATTCAAACAAGAGGAAAGACATTTTTATTGCACCTTATCTTGCTGAATCAAAGTGTTCCCTTCTCCACCACCTTCCCCACCCCACCTCCCACACCATTGAGTCTGCTTCACTAACCCATACCCCCCACTGGAACTCTCTCCTTTCCCCCATGTGTCGGTGCTGGTGCTCGCTCCCCCACTGGAGCCCTCTACTCTAATCCCATTCGCCTCGCCATGAGGCTCGATTAAAAGATGTACCAACCATTTAATATCAAGATGAAAATCCTGTCCTTGTGATAATCATCAACTCAACACACCACAAACTTTCCCTGCAGTATCGTGTTGTTCAGAGAACCATAGAAATTTACAGCACAGTTGATGACCATTTGCCCATCGTGTCTGCACTGGCTTTTTGGAAGTGCAATCCTTTCAGTCCCATTTACCTGCCCTTTGCCCCCCACATCCCTGACTGGATGACTCACATGTTGTGCCTTGCCCAACCAGGGGTTCACTGTCTCCTGAGTCGTACGTGGCATAGACCTTGACATCATATGTTGTCCCAGGCTTCAGGTTCTGTGGCGTGTAGGTCGTCACATCCCCAACGAAGATCTCCTTTGGTTCATCTACACCTGAAAAAAAGAGATGGTGGGCGTAATATTTAATAGTAATAAGAATCATTACATTTGATACAGCACCTTTCACGTTTCAAAGTGTTTCACAGGATTGTACTGTGAAGTGTAGTGACTGTGTATTTTGTGGGCGAACTGAGGGAGAAAGGAACTGAAGATGAAAGGGAACCCAACAGGACATTTGAAAAGATAGGTCTTAATGCAGGGTTTAAGGGAGGGCAGAAGGAGGTGAGGCTGAGGGACTATGGAATGGACTTCCAGAGATCGGGGGGTGGGGTAGAATTTCTGAATGCTTAACCCCGCAGATTAGGCAGGGGACTTGAAGCAGCTGATGTTCACTGAGAGGAGGGAGCGGACGGGACAGTAGGGTTGATGGAGATTGCAAGAATAGATCGAGATGTTGAAAAGGATGATGGATAGACAATGTGGGAGGAAAAGGAGATGCATGGATACTTGAGAAAAAGGGGAAATCATAAGATCACCAGATTGGTTCAGATGAAAAAGATCCATCAGTCTTTGTGATCTCTTCTCCCCAGAATAGTCATGCTACCATCTGGATGAATATCTGGGGCAAACTGAGACAGACAGCATCTGGGAGGTGAACAAATGAGATAAAAAGATCTGCTGTGATCTTACAGACAGATGGAGCAGGTTCGATAGGCTGACTGGCCTTTTTTGCTCCGGCGGTTGTGAACTCTATCCTTTTGGAGCACCCAACATACGAGTTACACATGATCTCATCCCTCACACATGTAACCGCAGAGCTCTCTACTGAACAAAAACCTTTCCAGTTTGCAGACCTTTCCTGTGGCAGTAAGCCTGGGGAAACCCTGACCTCAGTGGGACCTGCCGAGAGGGAGGAGGGGGGGGGGGGGGAGTTGAGGAGGAGGGTGTGTGTTGGGGCATGGAGGTCGTGGGACGGGGGAGGGAGGGAAGCCATTTGCCTCACAATGCTTTGTTGTTTTACAGCTCATCCATGTTATTTGGCTCGGGTGCCAAGCTTAAGGTCTGTTAAGTGCCTTGGGACATCCTCACAGTGCTTATGTTTGCCTTCTTTGTCAGCCAGGTGTCTGACACGTGGAAACCCATCACCGGTTCCATTTTCGGGTCACCGCTGATACTTTGTGCATTTGCCAGATGGATGCCGGAAGCAGAACCACTCTTGCACTTTACAACATCCTCGCACTGTACACGGACTCCCATCGTAGGTTTCTTTTGGGCAGCCGGGTGTCTGACATGTGCGGAAACCCATCATCGTGCTCAAGAGTATCCAAACCAAACCGAGAATTCCATGCAGCTTTCACATGGAAACTTCTCAAATATTCATTGGAAGAGAATGGGCGCTTCCTCCCTGGATGTTCGCATCCTGCTTATTTAATTCCAGAAAGTATTAGGTGCAGTATTAGTTGGCGAGATTCATGGCTTGGGGAACTCAGCGTGAGTTGGGTAATTACTGGCGTCCAAACAGCTAAAACTGCCTGGCAAGCTTCTCGCTGCTTGTCCAGCTAGAATCACCCTACCTGACTACTGAGTCCTCTCCCTCTATCCCTCAACTGCTCAGAAGGAGGCCTATCGTATCTGTGCTGGCTCTTTGAAAGAGCAATCCTTTGGTTGAGTTCCATTGACCTGATCTTTAGCCCTCCAGACCCCTACTCATTTGTAGATATCTATCTAGTTCCCTCCTAAAAGCTAATATGGATCTCATCTTGGCCATAGCTCCCTGCAGGACATTCCATATCCTAACAACTCTATTAATTCGCCCTCAGTCACCTCTTGTGGTGATGAATTCTGCACCGAGTGAATTCCTCACCCTGACGAGCCTCTGAGTGAAGAGATTCCTCCTAACCTTTTCCCTGATTTTCCACTAACAATCCCAACACACCCCACCGACCTCGACACCCATTCCCCAACTACGTTAACCTTTTCTTAGACTAACAGTGTGGGTTGAAAGTCTGACTAGAGACCACTGGAATGCAAGGTTATGAAAATATACTGATTGAGGAAGAACAGGGAGTACGGACAAGGAGCTAGATAAGGAGGAAAACTAGTCTCAGCAGGGCACATGGGCTAGTGGAAAAGTACCATCACGAGCAGATCACGGGTACACCAACTAGCTGGGTATAAATACAACAGACACACAAAGAAAAGTTGAGGTCCACAGAGTAAGAACTACAGGTTGCTGAGCCGAGTGCTGGTCCTGATCAGGCAAGACTGCTTCTCTGGTAGTATGTTTCTGTCACATTGTTGAATAAACTGTCTTGATTGTACAACTCTTGTGTTGGTTAATGGCGAGGATCCAATTACGTAGAAAGAACCCAACAACTAAAATAACTCACTTTGCCCTATTGTTTTCAGCCATTCTACCTCTGCGCTCTGGAATTCCATCCTTTGATGGCAGATTTTGGTCATCTTTCTCTGTGACCTCCTCAAACCGTACAAAACCAGCCCACTCTCTCCGCTCAGCCTGATTATCGTCCCCAACCATAGGCAGTTGATACTCTTAAGCACGGCGACAGGTTTTCACATGTGTCAGATACCCAGCTGACGATTGGAATAAAAATCTCAGCAAATCCTTGTTCCTACGTTATGACAGCTCAACCATCGGTCGCAACCTTTTCTTTTTGTTGCACGCGCGAAGCACTGAAGGGGTTAACTCCGGGCGATGATTCCCACAAATTGAGCAAAGAGAGGGGGAAAGCAAAAAAAAAAAAAAAAAAAGTGCTTCGCAGCTGCACAATTTCGTTGGAAAACGGCCCACTGTGAGGAACTCAGTTATTAAATGGAAAGTGTAACGGAAAGACTTATTATGCAGTCTTCAAAAAAACATAGCGGGGCAGAGAGAGAGAGAGAGAGAGAGAGAGAGAAATAAAATGCTGCTTTAATGGCAGGAAAAAGTTGCACGTGTGGTACAGATGTTTGTGTTTACCTACCTGTTGGCTGGTAAATAAACTTGTATCCAAGCACAGGCAAAGGAGCAGGGTCCCAGGACACACGGAATCGAGTGTACCATTCGTCTGATACACGCAGGTTACTGGGCTCTAGCAGACCCACTGTCTCCCAGGCAATGAGGGGAGGGGGAGAGGTGGAGGGGGGGGGGAAAAAAAGAGAAGAAAGTCAGAGCCAACAACGCACACTCCTGAAGCCCCCTCTTCCCGGGTTCAAAGCTCACAGCTCTTTCTGTGTTTCTCTCCATGCGCTTACGCTATACTGTATGGATTTGCTTCTGTTCCCTCTCTCTCCCCCGCTCTCTCTTTCTCCCCTGCTTTCTTTCTCTCTCTCTCTCGGGCTCTCCATATCTTTCCTGTCTGGCCTCTCTTTCCCTCACTCCCTCTCCATCTCCGCCCGCGCTCTCTCTCTCTGTTGCGCTCTTTCTCTCTTGCCCAGTTTCTCTTTCCCTCCATCTCTTTCTCTCTCTCTCTTGCATTCTCTGCCTTGCGCTTTCTGCCTCGTGCTCTCAGGTGTGCACTCTCTATCTCGCTCGCTGTTTCCCACTCTGCCCACCACCCCCCCTCCTGTCTCTCTTGCTCTCTATCTCGCACTCTCTCTCCCTGTCCTTCTCCCTCTGTCTCTCTCCTCCTCCATCGTTCTCTCCCTGTTCCCCTCTCTATCTCTTTCATACTCTGTATCTCTCTCTCACGTGCTCTCTTTTTCTGTTTCTTAATCTAACCCTTGCTTTGGGGTATTTGATCTCTCACAGTCGAGGCTGACACTCCAGTGCGGTGCTGGGGGCGGGGGGTGTGCTGCATTGTTGAAGATGCCGTACTTTAGATGAGATCAAGGTCCTATCTGCCCGTTCAGGTGAACGTTAAAGATTCCTGGGCACTGTTCGAAAAGAGAAGGCTGTTTCTCTCTCCCGGTGTCCTGGCCAACAATCCCCCAAATAAAATTGGTCACTCGCTTCACGGCTGTTTGTGGGAAATTGCTGTGCATAAATTGTTTGCGGTCGTTAGCTTTGTCACTGCATCTTAGCAGCAATTATTGTAAAGCAATTGAACCATTGCAACACAATAAAGCACTGTAAAATTGCAAGTTCTTTCTTTGTTTCTTTCTTTCTTTGCTTCCTTTCCTTCCTTTCTACAATTGTTCCTTCTATCTGTCTGTCTGTCTGTCTGTCTATCGTTGGTGGCAGTCGGGAGAAATAATCAGTCTTCGATTGAAATTCTGTCCATTCCTTGGCGGACACGATGTGCTGATTAGCATGACGGCTGCATTACGAAAGGTCGCATGTTCCCCTGTCTACTCTGTGTGTGTGTGTAACCAAGTCGGATTGTGTTGATTAAACCCACAGAAGTCAACTACTGACGCACAACACTGCCAGGCCTCCACCAGCATTCCAGCCTACGGGCCAGCTCTCCGCAGCACAAACTTGCTTGATTAGTAGAGGCTCACAGCAGATCCCTTTACTCATGTTTCTCTGGCCTTTTCAATTAAAAATAATAGATGGGATTTGCAGGGCAATAAATCAACGGAAACCGGCCTGGCTGCGTCTGGGGTAGATGTATGTTGGGTTCTCTGGGCTGACCCATTATAAGGCAATGTTTTTTTTGTCTCTGCCTCCACAAAACATAGCCCACCGCGCTATAAAAATGCCTGTCGGTCAGGGCCTCTGGGTCGCGGTTGATGTCACTTCCTACAAGGCAATCGCCCCTCTTCGGAAAGGCTTCCATCGGTTGCTGGGACAATTGAAAGGTATCGACAGGCACCAGGAGACACCAAGAGGTCTGCGAGGTACACACTGGAAGCTGGACTTGGATTGTGGGTCCCAGAAGCGTAACACACTGTATACCCACAATATAAGCAGATTGACGACATACCATTGTCTGTTGTCGAGCTCAGGCTCGTACCAAGTATGGCAAAGGCTTCAAGAAGTAACACGTTACCCAGAGAAGGGTAATATGGTTTCTCCGAATTTGGGGGGAAGGAGGTTGTTAATGGGGCTCCCCTGAAAATGGGGAAGAGGGGGAACTCAATCAAAGAACAGCTCAGTGCGATACGGTAGGACGATAGGGTTGAAGTAAAAGAACTGGCATTTTTATAGCGCCTTATCCCATCTCAAAACATTCACTGGAAAATACTGTCGAGTGCAGTGACTCATTTCCTTACATTTGATACAGAGCCTTTCATGTCGGGAGGAAGTACTTCACAGGGTTCACTGTAAAGTGACTCTGTATTTGCAGGTGAATGAAGCAGCTAATTTGAGCGCAGCAACGTCCCACAAACAGCCTTGTAGTGTGTGACCAATTTTCATCTGGGGGATTGTCGGTCAGAACACCGGAAAAAAACTCCCTTCTCTTTTTCGAACAGAGTCTTGAGCTCTTTGACATCTACCTGAACAGGGCACAGACTGGGAGCTCGGTTTAATGTCTCATCCAGAGGATGACATCTCTGACAACGCTTTAGGCAACTGCATTAAACAATCGGAGTCTCAAACTCTTTCCGTCCACTCAAAATTTGAGTTGGTTTAAGTGGCGTGGTGCTGATTTAACACTGCTTTGAGCAACACGCTTGTGGTAAAGGGCTTTTAAGAGACAAATGGTTAAAGAGGAACACATGTCAAAGTGATTATACTACAAGTGATGTGTAATAAACAGCATAAATAGCTAAGAGTATCTGAGATGTAAAGTGAATTAAATGCACATGCCTTGTCCCTGGCCAGATCATCGCTGCCAGAGGACGCATTAAAGAGGGGGTATTGGATTCCCCAATGATCCCGATCCAGACGTAAAAAGCTTTAAGGAAGTCCAGAGGCAATCACTGCAGAAACCCAATCCTCTTGTTTGTTTTACCGCATGCTTCGGGTTCAACGACTCTCCCTTCCGAGTCTGTGCCGGCCACTCCCTTTGCCATGTTCCCCTCACAGGTTCCTCTTGCCAGATTCCCCTCACGCTCTCCCCTCTCCCTAGGCTCCCATCCGCTCTTCCAAACGCCACTCACACGCTCCCCTCACCGGGCTACCCTCAAGCGAGTGAAAGTGCATGTGGGTATGTGGGAGTGTGTCTGTTTGTGGTCGTGTGTGTGAATGTGTCATTATGTGACTGAAGCTCCTCTTTGACTGTGCCTTTGGTCAAGCTCCTACCCCCACCCTCCACACCTCCTGATCTCAACCACCAGCTCGGGTGTGGATCCCTGACTGTCCAGTGCCTTGGGACATCCTCCTGACGTGAAAGGCGCTCTACAAATGTGATGTGTTGTTGCGTGTCAGTGTTCGGTGTGAGTGAGCGTAAGAGTGAGAGAGTGATTGAATGAGGACACGAGCAAGTGAGGGAGGGAGAAAGTGTGCGAGTGTGAGAAGGTAATAAGGGAACATTGAGGAGAGCCTGACCTGTGCGTCCGTCCCCGGTCAGCTGTCCCCCGTCCCCGTCAGCGTACATGGCCACAACACTGATACGGTATGGTGTGTCTGTCTCCAGAGGCTGCAGCACCACATTGTTTCTTCTCCCGGGAACAAAGATCTGGGACACGGAGAGAAGGAAGTCACCAAACCAGCAGCAGAACGTTGTAAGAAAAATGTGGGGGAGCGAGCACCAGCACCGACGCCATGGGGAGAGAGCAGGGGAATGGGGTTAGAGTAGAGAGCTCCAGTGGGGGAGCGAGCACCAGCACAGACGCCATGGGGAGAGAGCAGGGAATGGGGTTAGAGTAGAGAGCTCCAGTGGGGGAGCGAGCACCAGCGCAGACACCATGGGGAAAGAGCAGGGAATCCAGAGGCAATCACTTTCCTCAGAGCTGACCGAAGTCCCCAGCATTCTATTCTCAATAATTCACAAGCTCCGAGCTCACACCCTCTACAACTCCAGCACGTTCCTTTCAGGACCTCAAACAGATTGGCTGAGAGTTGGCTGAGACCCCTTCTACCACTACTTACCGCACACCCACCCCTACCCCCCCACCCACCATACTGGAGCGCTTCCCAATATGTTGTGAAGCTGTACTCACGAATTCCTCGATAGGGTCTCCGACTGTGGGGGCGTATATGACTCTGTACTGCTGCACAGGCCCATCTGCGTGATCCCAGCTGACACTGAGGCTGTTGGTAGTGGGTCCATATACCCGCATGTTCCTGGGGCCACTGCGAGGCACTGTGTTTGGGGTCGGGGAGGAGGGAGAGACAGGGTAAGTCATCTCACCGTATAGATGAACAGCCACACGGCACCCAATCCACTGCAGACCATAAGACTTCAAAGAGAACTGGAGCGAGCACCAGAACAGACACGATGGGGCAATTTGTACACAGCAATGTCCTACTAACAGCCATGAAGTGAACAACCAATTTTATCTAGGGAATTGTCAGCCAGGACACCAAGAGAAACACCCTTTTTTAATCGAATAGCACTACGGGATCTTTGATATCCACCTAAACAGGCAGACGGGACCTCAATTTAACGTCTCATTGGAAGGACGACAGCTCTGACAATGTAGCATTCCGCAACCCTCTACCCCCTAGCACAATATTAGACTATATGAATAGGAAAATTGGGGAAAAAATGCACAAATAATGATAATTCTATGCCTGGGTGGTCCCAGCTGGACAAGCATCAGGAAACGTGGCAGCCAATAATAATAATAGTCCTTGCATTTGATGTAGCGCTTTTCACGTCAGGAGGACGTCCCAAAGCTCTTTGCAGAATGTACTGTAAAGTGAATTGACTGTATAGTTTGGGGGCAAAACATGGCAGTGAACTGCGCAGAGCAGTGTCCCACAAACTGTTATGGAGAGTGACCAATTTATTTATTTATTTATTTATTTAGAAGGGATTATTATTTCCAGAAAAGCGATCCGCTAATCGACTAACAACCAGGTTCCCACTCACTGCTTGGTCAACAGAGGCGTGTTGGAGCAAGGAAACTTGCCCAATGTTGTGCCCTGCCCAGGAATCGAACCCAGGTCCCCTTGCTTGTGAGGTGAGTGCTCTAAACCGCGATGGAAGCAGATTCCCTAGTAGCTTTCAAAAGGGAATTGGATATACACTTGAAAAGGAAAGGTTTCCAGGGCTTTCGGGTACGAGCGGGGGAGCGGGACTGGTTGGAAGCTGTTTCAAAGAGCCGGTACAGGCACAATGGGCCAAATGCCCTCCTTCTGTGCTGTAAGATTCTACGATTATTGTAATTATTATTGTGGTGATGACACAGACACCCCAGATCCATGACTCCCATCCCCCCTCCCCACCACCAGCCCCATCCCCAGTTAACCTACATGTTTTTCCATTGCTGCTGAGTTCACCGCCTTCACCGTCTGCGTAGAGTGCAATGACATTGACGGAGTAAGGAGTATCTGGCTGGAGCCTCTCTAGCAACAGGCTATTGGTATTTGCAGGCACCACAGTCTATCGAGGAAAGAATGGCAACGAGTCAGCGTCTCAGAGACATAAATACCTCACAAATCACATCGGCCAATTTAGTGTCTCTGTTTTATTGCAGGATAACTAATTGTGTCGACAAAACAGGAATGTGTTTCATTTAAGGCAGATCAGTGAAAAAATAATGCATCTATTATTGTAAGGAGAATGGTTTACATTACGCAAGACGCTCTCGGCTCTGCGTTGGTGCTGTTAAATGGGGAGGAAACTTAACTAGCCCAGTGGGACCTGAGAAATCAGTTCAAGCGGTTTACAAGCTCAACCGGAATGGGAGTGGATGGGTCGGGAATGCGAGCGGGCAGGACAGAAGGGGATGGGACCTGACGGGAGGAAAACGGGAGGGGACAGGGAAGGATGGAGGAGATGGGATGGGATGGGTTGGGATGGGATGGGATGGGATAGAGTGGGAAGGGAGAGGAGGTGATGGGAGGGAATGGGACAGGACGGGAGAGAACGGCAGCTGCATGAGATGACTTACATATTCTGAAGGCCGGGTTCCAGTGAGAGGAGCGTAGACCACTCTGTACTGCTGAACGGGACCGGGAGCACTCATCCACCGCACACTCAGGCTGTTGGGGGACGGGTTGTAGACCTGGATGTTTCGGGGCGCCCCGCGCACCACTGAATAAACAGATACAAGAGTTGTCAGAGAAATCCTGAGGGGAGAAACTATCACACACTCTCTCCCCTCCACACACCTGCAATCACAATCAGTCACTTACACATACACTCATACCCACACACCCACTCAGGTACGCTCACACAGACACGCACCCTCACACATACACAGACACTCACACATACACATACACAGACACACATACACTCACACACACGCATACACAGACACACATACACTCACACACACGCATACACAGACACACTCACACACACACAGACACTCACACACACACATACACTCACACACACACATACACTCACACACACACATACACTCACACACACACACAGACACACACTCACACACCATACACAGACACACTCACACACACATACACAGACACTCACACACACACATACACTCACACACACGCATACACAGACACACTCACACGCATACACAGACACTCACACACACACATACACTCACACACACACACACACTCACACACACACATACACTCACACACATACAGTCACACACACGCATACACAAACACACTCACACACACACACACAGACACTCACACACACATGCATACACACACACACAGACACTCACACGCATACACAGACACACTCACACGCATACACAGACACATACACTCACACACACACATACACTCACACACACATACACTCACACACACACATACACTCACACACACACATACACTCACACACACGCATACACAAACACACTCACACACACATACACAGACACTCACACACACACACACACAGACACACACACACACACAGACACACTCACACACATACAGACAATCACACACACACATACACAGACTAACACACACACACAGAGACACACTCACACACACATACACAGACACTCACAACACATACACAGACACTCACACACACACACACACACACACAGACACTCACATACACAGACACACTCACACACACAGACACTCAACACATACACAGACACTCACACACACACAGACACTCACAACACATACACAGACACTCACACACATACACACACACTCACATACACACTCTCACACACACTCACATACACAGACACACATACACAGACACACACACAGACACACTCACACACACACACACACACGTAGACACACAGACATACATACACTCACTCACACATACATACACTCATACACAAATACACACTCACATACATACATACATACATACACAGACACACTCACATATACAGACACACTCACATACACAGAAACACTCACACACACAGACACACACACAACAAAATTACATTTGTATAGCACTTTTCACATACAGACACACATACACATTCACACACAGTCACAAACAGGCACACATACACACACATAAACCCACAGCGACACACATATACACACACACAAAGAGACACGCATACACCCACACACAGGCACGCGTACACACACTGCTTGGCAGATAGATTTATATACCTATAACTTAAAATGAATCATGCAAATAACAGGGCAGAAGAAGGTGCTTCACCCCATGAGTAGACGCAATGGGGAAAGGGCGAGGAACGGGATTAGAGTGGAGAGCTCCAGTAGAGTGCTCTTTCACCACCATATCTGTGTTGGGGCTCGCTCCCCCACTGGAGCTCTCTCCTCGGATTCCATTCCCCTGCTCATTCTCCCACAACCCTTCAACACACCAGTAAGGAAGTGGACTCCGCTCAGCGGGTGTCCCCCTTTGCAGCTTTGCCAACAAATCCAAAATAGCCCAGAGTGCAGATTTGGATAATGCCATTGTGCAGCCAGGAATTGCGATAGAATCCAATTAGTCTCAGTAGCAATTATTCGTGGACTGAGATCAATCGCAAACAGCCGTGGAACAACTAACTATTCGATGGGTATCAGTGCGGCAATTTTTCCATTATAAACACACAGCTTGAAAAGCCATTAACAGGAGTAAAGCACGCACAATGCTGAGGTCAGTGCTTTAACACATCGGGGAGCAATGGAAGAGGATAGAGAAATGCCCTCCGAAAATTAGATTTCAGCCGTTCTGTCCCCACTCTCTGGGACTCCATCCCCAAAGTCCCTCCACCACTCCCTCCTCACCTTCACAGCTTGTCCCATGATGAAGCTCTTTGACCCTCCCACCTCAGGTGCACAGCAAACAGTGTAAATTTCTCCCACTACAGCATCAAGCTGTTTCTCAAGCGAGTCTCAACATCCCACAGTGTCAACCACCCTCTCCAGGTCAACAGGCTTCAATCTCATCCCATGTTGAAGGAATAATTCCCGGTGCCCATCTTGAAACAGCCCTCTGCTCCCCTGAACCTGAGCCTTCCTTCCCTGGTACCTCAGTGCGCCCCGACAGGACTGGGGGACTGACCGGGGTAAATTTTAGTGACTCCGCGAGAGCGCGCCGTTGTGTTCACGTTACTCACGTGTTTGTCCAGTGGCAGACCGCCGTGCTCCCCCACCCTCGGTGAACACAGGCACCACACTGATCTTGTACGGGGTGTCTGACAGCAGATTCCTGAGGACTACATTGCGTGTGTTACCTGGTAAAGTGACCTGTTCATCACCGGAATAATAAGTACACAGAATTACATAGAAGGTCACAGCACAGTCCCTGCTGGTGTTTCTACTCCACACAAGCCCCCACATCTCTCCGATTCCCCTCTCCTGTACCCCTCTATTCCCTTGTCGTTTGTCCCCACTGCTCCAATATTGGCAGCTAGAATTAGCTACTTTATCCCTTAGAGGAGAGAGTATATATTCCATATTATTATTATTATTATTATTATTCCAGACACGGGCGCACACATGTGGAATTCTCAGCTTGGTTTGGAAACTCTTAAACAAGGTCCCAGGTTTCCACGTGTGTCAAAGACACAAATGCCCAAAAATAAGCGGTTCGAGGCCCTGCCCTTTATGAAGGCCACTGTATGGTTGATGATGATTTTTGCATTTGATGCAGCGCCTTATCACATCGTCACAACGTCTCTAAGAGTTTCACAGGATATACGTAAAGTGAATTGACTGTATATGTGGACAAAATACAGCAGCCAGTTTGTGCACAGCAATATGCCCAAAACAGTCATGGAGTGAGTGACCAATTTCATTTAGGGGATTGTTGGCCAGGACACCAGGAGAGAGGAACTCCCTTCTCTTTTCAAGTCATGCCATGAGATCTTTAACAGCCACCTGAATAGGCAGACGGGATCTCAGTTTAACATCTCATCCAAAGGACAGCACTTCTGACAAAGCAACGCATTCTGTACGCTCCATTGGCGCGTCAGCTTAGACTATGTGGTTCCAAGTCCTGAAGTGAGGCTTGAAACGACAAGCTTGTGACTCAGAGGCGAGAGAGATCCCTAACACTGAGCCAGGCTGACACACGATGCGGACTGTTGCGTTACACGAAGGAGAAGCCCAGCCTCAACGTACCTTTTCCTCGGCGGGGCCCCCAGTGGTTGGGACGTAGTAAACATCGTACTGACGGACCACCCCTTCGGCGGGTTCCCAGTTCACGCTCAGGGTGCTGGTGGTCGGATCGTACACTCTGATGTTACGCACTGAAGCCAACGGCTCTGAAAGAAACCTCTCAATTAAATCACGAAATCACAGCCAGGAAAGTGTCCTTCGCTTTGCAATAATAATGGTTATGTTTGATGGAGCGACTTTCTAATTAGAAGGATGTCCCAGAGTGCTTCGCAGAATATAGTGTAAAGTGTAGTGACTGTGTATTTTTGTTGGTCAGTCAATTTGCAGCAGTCAATTTGCACACAGCAATGTCCCAAAAACAGCTATGAAGTGACTGATTTTAATTTTGGGGGACTTGTCAGCCAGGGACACCAAGAGAAACTCCCTTCTCTTTTACCAATAGCGCCACAGGAATTTTAACATCCACCTGAATAGGCACGGACAGGACCTCGGTTTAACCCAGGGGTGGACAACCTGTGGCCCGTGGGTCAGAGGTGGCCCAAGGGGCCAGCAAGATGCTGCACCCCCCACCCGAACATTCTAGGTGTTCAATTGCTGGTGTGTTCCCACTTTTGTCCCACGTAGGATATTTCTTGATTCATGGCGTTTTCGCCCACAAAATACACAGTCACTCCACCTTGCAGTATATTCTAGGAAGTAGTTTGAGATGTTTCGAAGATGTGATGAGGAGCTATATCAAACGCAGGTTTATAAGGATGATGATTATTATTATAAATCGAAGAAATATTCAATCAAGAAAATGTACCGTGTTGGCCTACCATAAGGGTTGGCCATCACTGGTTTAACATCTCATCTGAAGGACGGCACCTCTGGCAATGCAGCACTCCTCCCAGGACTGTATCAGAGCCTCAGCCTACACTGTGTGAGCTCAAAGTCCCAGCGTGGTGGGGGAAGGCTTAAACCCACAACGTTCTGACTACAAGAGATGAAAGTGCTACTGACTGAGCCAGGCTGACCTTGTTGTGTGCAAAATGAACTGGAGGGAGGGAGGGGGGGGAAGGAGATAGCAGTGACTACAGACGTACTTGTTCTGCCCGTGCCAGTCATGTGTCCTCCATCCTTTCTTTTATAGGAAGAGGCAACTCTGATGGAGTAGGGTGTGTCTGGGCTCAGCTTCTCTAACACAATTCTGTGCTGTTTTGGCCCAACCTTGACCTTTAACAGAAAGTGAACGCAAAGCATTAAACACTGAAACAGTCCAGACTAAAAAAAAACACTGTGAGGGGAGGGTGATATGTGATACAATCAGCCTCGAGAGAAAACGTCTCAGAGCGAACATCACATAGGTATGCAACATCTTAAATGGCATTGAAAAGACTTTAGGATACAATGACTGGAACAGGATTGCCAGGAAGAGTGGTTGAGGTCACGGTACTGGAATTCATTTCAATTCCTGAAATTGCCCTTTGCAACTCTAAACCTGTGTCCTGTTATTCGACTTGTTGCATCTGGGTTTACTTTTCAATCCCGTTTGAAATTTTAGCCACGTTAATAAAGTCCCTGTATGACGTCTTCTCTCAAGACTGAATGGCCCTGGTTTGTCTAATTGTTGCTCGTAGCTCATTCCTCTAACACCGGGGATCATGCTCAATGCTCTCTTCAACACTGTCTCTAAGACCTGGGCAGCACCCCCGACCCACCCCACTCCTGCCCACGTTGCAGTGCCCAGCACTGTAGGTAGCATGGAGTTAAGACACGGGCGGACATATGGGTATGAGTTATGGTGCTGACAGCTGGCTATTAAAAGCATTGATTCAATCTCCCTCTGAACCACTTCAGACGGCCTCTTGTGAAGTCTGCTTTTCATAAAGGAAAGTGGTTCTTGTGAGTGGGGGAAACATGAGAAAATGAATCAATGAGCATTAGCGAGAGTATGTATCAGTCAGAAAGAATCTGACAAATGCTCTCGGTGCTGGGGTTAGCCACAGCACAGAGATGGTTATCTAAGATCGCTGGAAGCCAGGGAGGAACTGTGCTTGCCCACCGCAGCACAGGCTGCTCCCCGTATCCTCTGTGCCAGAAGCCAGGAGAGACTTGGAGGTGACGATCAGATTCTGCTGACATTTCGGGAAGGACGGAGGGAAAGAGAGCGAGAGAGACAGGGAGAGGGAAGAAAACGAGAGACAGGGAAAAGCGAGTAAAGGGGAGAAATAGAGAGAGAAAGTGCAAGGGAAAACGAGAGAAAGAGAGAAAAGGGGAGAAAGAGTGAGAAAAAGAAAGAGAGAAAGAAAGTGACAAAAAGAGAGCGAGAGAGAAAGAGAGAGAAAGAGAGGAAAAAGTGAGGGAGATGACATAAATCACTCACAACCCAGTTTATTCCCTCTCTGCATAAATAAACAGTTGTATCTGTCCTGAAATTGCCCTTCAGCTGAGCTGAGAAGATTTAAAGGGGTGACTTCGCCATTGTGAAGGGTTACGATCGATCGGGTAAACACTGAGAGATTATCTACACTGTTCACCCAGTCAGTCGCGAGAGGGGCTCCGATTTAAAATCATCACAGAGGGAATCAAAGGCGCCGTTAGAAAATAACCGTCTCCACACAGAGTGGTCGGGAATGTAGAAATCTCTGTCACAAAGTGAACGGCATCCCTCAACCTTTAATGGAAACCGCATCTCTCCCTCTTCCCCCCTCCGCCTCCCTCCCACACCCCCCCAGCCTCCCTTTCTTCAAGTATCTCTTGACGATCCAAAGACCCCTCAACCTTGGGGTCCGAGGGAAGGGGGCCGAGGCCCCGGCGGGTGCTGTTACCATTTTCTCGATGGGGTCTCCTGACATCGGGGTGTAGGTGACCTTGTACCGCAGCACTCTGCCCACGGCAGGATCCCACTTCACTGTCAGGCTGTAAGGGGTGGCATTGTACACCTGGAGATTCCGCGGGGGTCCAACTGGAAGGATAGAAAAGAAAGGTTAATAACAACAACTCCTCCGTCAACAAAGCCCCCCCCCACACACCCACGCACCCTCTCAAAGCAAGTTGTCCATTCAATCCCACTGCCCTGCTCTCTCCTCACACTCCTTCAAGGCTATCCTTCATATAACTGTCCACTTGCTTCTCGTTACACACAATGAACACTGACATTAACACCTTACGAGGCACTACCACCCTCACCACATCACAACAACTCTCTGCTAAAAAAAAGAATTCTCCCAAACTCTCTCGTTTTGCTCTTCCTGTGACCGGCTTATACCGGTGTTCTCCACTTATTGATTCCCCAATCAGCGGAGATAGTTTCTCCCCGTTAACCCTGTCATAGCCCTTGGGAACTCTCCCCCCAAATCCCTACCCCCAATGGCTTCTCCCCCTGCCAATAAAACCCTGTTAAAAAATCCTCTTTTTCCATGCTCCTTCACACACAGCGTGTTTCAATTCCCCTCCCCCTTCAATTCCTCTCCTTGGTTCCTGTGTGAAGTGCTTCGAGGTGATCAACCCACATCAAACACACTGTTTAACTCCACGTCGCTGTGCACGTTCTCTCACCTTCATCAACGGATACAACTGGCACTGAAAAAAAACACATTCAGATCAGGTTAACGTCAGAGGATCATAGGTAAACAATAATTCACAACAATAACTTGTATCATTGATGTAAAACCTTCACATAGGATAATGTCTCGGATGGCTGCTTATTTACTTGTGCTAAAACAAAGATGCAGTATTTACATTGCCTTTCAGGTCTAGAGAACATCTCAAAGCATCTCACAGAGGGAGGGAGGGTAAAAGAAGGGAGGGAGCAAGCGAAGGAGGGAAGGTGCGAGTGAGGGAGAAGGGCGAGGAAGGGAGGTTAGTTCCACAGAGGGGAAGCAGAATGGTTCAAAATTGGCTCATCAATGGCATTACCAGATTGAGCAGGGGGGACATGAAGCTGAACGAAGGGAACAGGCGGGGTAACGGGGGCCCATGAGGTAGGAATAGGAACAGGAAGAGGCCATTCAGCCCATCAAGCCTGTTCCACCATTTTATTACATTTTGGCTGATCTTATAATCCAAATTCCCCGTTCTGTCACCACACTCTGTAATACTTCCACTCCCCAAGTCTCTGTCTGTCTCTGTCTTAAATATCCCTATTTATTTTGTCTCTAAAGTTTTCTGGGGAAAAGCTTTCCCACATCCTTACACAGAAATGCTTCCTGACCTCAGCTCTGACCATCTAAGTTCTAATTTTGAGACTAATCCCCCTGCTTCCCTCTGGAAGAAAACAATTCCTTTCATTTTTGCAAACATTTCAAGCGGTTTGTGGAAAACTAGTGGGTTTACAATTGCGAATTCCTGAGATTATTCCATCGCTTAAGTTCCTTCATTACTGCCGGCAAACGTTACTTGGAGACGGAAAAATAATTCCAGCTGCTCCCAGCACGTAGCCATGTTTTCGAATTAAGCGGAACTGCAAAGAATGATAGGGTACAGAAATGGCCCATTTGGAGCAAGCAATCATTGCCGGTGATTATAATCCACATGAGCCCCCACCCACTCCTCTTACCCTCCCAACCCATGAGATGATTCTGCCCTAAAATTTTACATTTGTCCCAAATTCTCGAATACGGTCTTAATTTCTCCGCAGTTCTTAGAAAGAAGCTACCTCCTCTCACTTTCTCCTGTTCCAGTGGGGAGAGAGAGAGAGATGGTTTACATGATCACAACACTGGCTCGAATGAAGAAGGTCCTTTGGTCCATCTGATCTCATCCCTCCAGAACACCCACCCTACCATCCCCCTGTCACAGCATCAACCTGCTTTTTAAATGAGTCCCAGTGTCCTGGCCTCAACTGCTCTCCTGGTAACTCCGTTCTAGTCGTTAATAACCTGGTATCTGAGCTGATATTGCCCTTTACTCTTCGCCATTGACTTACTTGTGCTCTGAGTATCTATCAGGTCCTCACTCTCCATCTCGTCTGGGTAGATAGCCGTCAGGGAGACCTCATATCTCGTGTCAGGTGTGAGATTCTCCAACATTTGATTGGTTTCATCGCCATTCAGAATCATCTGCCGGGAGCAGGGGCAAGGTTAGGCTTACACTAACACGCTGTGAGACACACTGAGCCACTGTGAGCTACTGTGAGCCACACTGAGACACAGCAAATGTCTGCCTCCCTCCCTCCCCCTCCCTCCCTTGTCTGACCTCTTTTTTGTCCGTCGTGCCGACTGGGGTCCAGGCCAGTCGGTACAAAGCCACATCCGGCGCTCCGTGTTCCCAGGAAACTCTGAACTGCTTTGTTCCCACCTCGGAGAATTGCAGGTTGATAGGCGCAGGAACCACCGCTGAAGAGAGAGACAGCAACAGCTCAGAACCAGCAAAATAGTGCAATACAGCTTACAGTTCTACTGTGTATTCCACACCAACAATAACAACAGCTTACATTTATATAGCCCCCTTGATGCAGCGTCTCCGAGCTCTTGACAGTGGCGGAGTATGACGCGAGCCAGGGGGAGGGAGAGGGGGAGAATAAGCACGATTCGAGAGGAAGAGGTGCTGCTGGGAGGGGAATTGGTGAGGGGACCTAAGACCGAAAGGGTGGTCAATGAGATAAATCATGATGGAGGTTTTAGATGTGAGGATGGACTCCAGTACAGAGTTCCAGAGAACGAAGTTGGAAGGAACTAAAATGTCTGGCAGCCAATTTGCGCCCAACAACGTCACTCAATCGGCCATGAAGTGAACAGCCGATTTTTTTTATTTCGGCGATTGTTGGCCAGGACAGCGAGAGAGAAACTCCCTTCGCTTTCTGAATAAAGCCATGGAATCTTTAACGTCCACCTGAACCGGCAAATGGGGGTCTCAGTTTACTGTCTTATCTGAAGGACGGCAACTCTGACTATGTAGCACTTTGCTGGAGTGTCAGCCTGGACTGTGAGCTAAAAGTCCTGGTGTGGGGGCTTGACTCACAGCCTTTTGACTGAGAGCCCGAGCGAATGTGCTGGCTTACAGGGGGAAAAAACAAGTCTGGGAGATTGTGATTGAGGTTCAGTCAAGTAAAGAACATCACTTACATGTGCTTTCTTTTCCCTCGACTGGAGCCGAAGGCCCATCATCATAAATCGCACTAACGTACACTTGATATTCCGTTTGAGATAGCAGGTTGGGCAGCAAGACAGATGTGTCCGCACGATTCACCTCCACCTGAGGATTCAAATCAATTCAGTGTTTGTGCTGGTTCAGAGACACACTGACGCAGAGATAGACACGGACAGATGCACACAGACCTAGGCATAGATACAGACATACACAGACCGAGACTTAGACAGATACAGACATAACCACAGACATAGATACAGACAGACACAGTCACCGTCAGATACAAGCAGATGCAGATAGACATAGCCACAAACATTGACCAACATCAGACATAGACAGTTACAAACTGACAGATTCTGACAGTCTAACAGACAGACACTGTATTTTATACAAAGATGTTGCCCAGTGTTAAGGGGGCTGAGCCACGCGGATTAAATAAGTAAACCTGGGCCTTGGAAATAGATACCTGAGAGGGAACCACACGGAGGTGTAAAACGTGCAAAATGGAATTGAGGAAGTAAACCCAGAACAATACTTTCAGATTATACCAAGGCAGTAATAGATCTGCAGTATTCCAGGGCACTGCTGATGACAGCACAGCCAGCCTGGATCATCAGCAGGAATTGGAAGGGCACACCAGTCACTATCAGTCGGGATTCTTCCCACTCAGCCTTTGTTTACCCTACAAGCCAAAGCCCTTACGGGTAGGGTGGTTTTAGTTGGAAAAGCAGCGGGAAAGCTTGCCAGACAGTGCTCTCAATGGCAAGTATGTGGTTTTACCGGGTTACCACTATTGGTCTTCTGCCACTCTGCCCCCCACCCTCTGGAACTCCATCCCGCAGCCCCTCTGCCTTGCTCCCTCCCTTGCCTCCTTCAAGATCCATCTCAAGAACCTCCCCTTCGACCGTGTTTTCGATCTCGCTGCTTGCCCCCTTGCCCTCCACCCTCCCCGATCCCTACCCCTAGCGCGGGTCCGAAACTCTGTCTGTCCAGCGCCTTGGGACGTCCTCCCGACGTAAAAGGCATTATACAAATATAATTTTGTTGTTGCTGTTACTCCAGAAGTTACCATAACGTACAATCTGGGGTCCCCGAACCTTTGCTCTCACCAAGGTAACCATGGTGCGTTCCTACAAGGAGAGATATTTGCCATTCTATTCCAATTTCCATGTTTGGATGGATACATAAAATTCTCAGTTTGGTTTGGATATTTATAAGCACGGTGATGGGTTTCCGCACATGTCAGACACTCGGACAACCCCAAACAATACTCACTTCCTTGATGGTTGGATCGTCCACTTCTCTGTATTTTATCAGGTATTTCAGCACCCTGCCTGGGGCGGGCTCCCAATGCACTCTGGTGCTGCTGTGAGTGGTGTCAGAGAATCGGATGTTTCTGGGTGGACTCAGTGGCACTGTTGGATGCGGAACAAAACAACAGAGAAAAGCCATGAGCAGAGGTAGGAACAGGTGTCAGCCTGGCTCAGTCGGTGCCTCTTGATCAAGGATTGTGGGTGGTCACTGCACATTTGACAGCAAATACAACAGCCGATTTGTGCATATAGCAATCAATATTCCACAAACGGTCAAGGAGTGATTGATCATTTCTATCTGGGAAATTGCTGGCTCGGCTACCAGGAGAAACTCCCCTCTCTTTTCCAAAAGTGCCACGGGATCTCTTAACGTCCACCCGAACAGGTAGACACAGTCTTGCTTTCAGCATCTCATCTAAAAGACGGCACCTTTGACAGTGCAGCACTCCTACCAGCACTGTACTGGAGCGTCAATCTAAACCGTCAGCTTGAAGTCTCTGACATGGGGCTTGAACCCACATCCTTTCGACCCAGGAGTGAGAGGACTACTGACTGAGCCAAAAATAACTGAGTTGTACAAGAGCTTGAGTGATTTTTTTAATAGGCTAGGGTTTGATCAGATGGCCTATAATAGTCTTTCACATTCCTCTTCTGTAGACAAAAAACATTTCGTTTGTGTTCCCTTTCCCTCCCTCTCACCCCACCGACCCCCACCCAATTTCATCACTCCACATCTGCCCTCCACATTAAAAACATTTGCCACTTGTCAGTCCGACTCTCTGATCTCTCCATCTCCAGATGAAGCACAGTCTGTGGGTTTGCAGTACTCCAGGGCAGTGCTGATAATGGACCAGCAAGCCCAGCTTGTTGTCAGGACCTTGAAGAGCAGAGGATAGTCAATGGGGATAGGGATTCTTCCCACTCGACTCCTGTTAACCCCCCACCAAGCCAAAGCCCTGATAGGTAGAGTGGTCCTAACTTGCTGAACAGAGAAGCTCTGTCAGACTCTGCACTTACAGGTAACTTCCTGTTTGGTTAGTGGGTCTCCAGCGATGTCACCGTACATGGTGTGGATTGATACGGTGTACTCAGTGTTAGGCAATAACTCGGTAAGAGGTAGATCAGCCTCTTCAGGGCCAACCTTCACCTGTAAGAGAAAGCAGCAATTCATCCATCCATCCATCTATCCATCCATCCATCTATCTCGGGGTGAATAATGCGGTGCGCAATACTTAGATTTACATAGACTTTACAGCACTAACCCAACGCGACTGTGCCAGTGTTAAGCGCTCTGGGAATCTATCCTGCATGAGAGCGCTATATAAATGCAAGTTGTTGTTTATACTCCACCCGAGTCTTCAACCATTCCTTACTCCCTCCCACACCCTTCTATTCCCCGCTCCCTCATGTGAAGGTCTAGCTTCCTCTTGAATACATCTACACTATCTGATTCAGCCACCACTTCAGGCAGCGAGTTCCACAATCTCGCTACCTCTACGTGAAGTAGTTCCTCCTAAATTCTCTTGGATTGCCCTAGTCGCTGATTGTCACAGCGACTTGCACTAACAATAAAATTAGCTCTTTGGCTGATATCATGTCTGTGGTTACATCTCTCTCACTGTCTTTGTGTGTTTCTCTCGCTGGGGTTTCTGAGATCCACAGTACTCCAAAACACTACTGATGACAGCCCAGCCAACCTGGCTCATTGTCAGGACTTGGAGAGACAGACCAGTCACAGGGGACAGGGATTCTCACTCACTTCCTGTTAACCATGTGCGAGAGAACCCTAAGGGGTAGGGTGATCCTAACAGGACAAGCAGTGGGAAGCAGTGGGAAGCTTGCCAGACAGTGCTCCCAACGGCAAGCCATGAGGTTTCAACTGGTTAGACTCCAACAGTTACCCCAACACACAGTGTGCCTTGGCTCTTGCCAACTCTCAGGAATTGGGTATGCAAGAAGCATCCTTCCAGGGAGAGCTGTGGTAAGGCACTACAGTCCAGATGCGCTCTTGACATTCTATTCTAGACATGGAGAATTTCAGAGTATAAATTCTCAGTTTGGTTTGGATATTTTGAAGTATGGTGATGGGTTTCCTCGTGTGTCAGACGGCTGGCTCAACCCCCAAAAAATCCCTCCCCCTCACTCGGCATCCGACCCCCCATCGCTGCAAAATTCACCAAGAAGTTATCCTACAATGAAGGACATGATATAAATGCAAGTTATAATCATGTAATATTCTTTGCATTTCAGATAGCGCCTAACCACATTGTTGAGGCATCTCAAAACCCTTTACTCTACACGAGAAAACATTTCTTCACTCAGAGGGTGATGAATTTATGGAATTCTCTACCCCAGAAGGATATGGATGCTCAGTCCTTGAACATACACAAGACTGAGGTTGATAGATTTCTAAAGGATAGAGGATTAAGGGATATGGGGATAGGGCGGATAAATGGAATTAGGTTAGAAGATCAGCCATGAACTTATTAAATGGCGTGGCACAGGCTCGAGAGGCCGAATGGCCTATTCCTGCTCCTATTTCTTATGTTCTTAACAAGATTAACTGTGATAATAATAAATAATAATCCTTGTATTTGATATAGTGGTTTATCACGTCTTCGAGACATCTCAAATCGCTTCACAGAATATATTGTAAAGTGAATTGACCGTATATTTTGTAAGTGAAATGCGGCGGCCAATTGTAATGTGTAATGACAGCATTTGTAAGTGAATATGGCAGCCAATTTTTATCCAGCAAAATCCCACAATAGCCATACAGTGAGTTAGCAATATTATTCGGGGAATTCTTTGTCAGGATACTGGGAGAAACTCCCTTCTCTTTTCAAATAGCGCCTTTAATGTCTGCCAGAACAGGCAGGCGGGATCTTGGTTTAATGACTCATCCGAAGGACAACATCTCCGACAAAGCAGACTCCCCAGCACTGCGTCGGTGTATGTGTTAACAATAATAATACTTGCATTAGATTTAGCGCCTTATTACATCTTTGAGATGTGTCAAAGCGCTTCACAGAATATCCTGTAAAGTGAATTGACTGTATATTTTGTGGCCGAAATGCTGCAGCCAATCGCGCACAGCAGCGTCCCACAAACAGTCGTGGATTGAGTGACCAATTTATTATTATTAATTTTTTTGAAGGAATTATTACCCCCGGTTCCTATTTACTGCTAAATAAACAGAGGCACGTGGAGTAAGGAAACTTGCTCAATGTTTCGCCCTAGCGGGAATTGAACCCCGGCCTCACGCTTGCTAGGCAAGTGCTCTAACTGAGCTACAGGACTCCATAGTGCCCGACATGACATGGGGGAGGGGGCTTGAACCTACAACCTTCTCACTCAGAGGCGAGAGGGCTACTGACTGAGCCTGGCTGACAAGTTGTTGTTATCAGTACGTCTGCCTGAGTCATTCACAAGGCGGTGGGGACCAAATAAACATCATAGAATCGTAGGACCAGGCTGTGTGGATCCTTTCTGACCATTTCCCTGGCTGAAAAGTGAGAGAATATTTGCACTGTTAATTTGTTTTAAGTGACGCTGAATTTTCCTACTTAACCCAGCCAAAAGTACAAAAGTGAAGGCGAAGCAGGAGCTCTATATCACTTTCTAATGTCTTGTACACTCCATAAAGACTTTACTACAGTTGGGCTGAAGTTTAACAGGCCCCCACCACACCAGCCTGCCTCTTCTTTTCAATAACACAGGGATACAACCAGAAATGATCTGAACTGAAAACTATTTACAAGATCTGGTGTTTGGAACCATAGAACCATAGAGATGTACAGTGCAGAAGGAGGTCATTTGGCCCATCAAGTCCCCACTGGCTCTCATTCAATCCCACTGTCCTTATGCTCACACTCCTTCAAGCCTCTATCCTTTATATACCTGACTACTTCCCTCTTGAAGCCCATAATGGACTCTGCCTCTACCACGTTACTTGGCAGGACATTTAACGTCCCAGTAAACCTGTATGTGTGTGAAAGAAATAATTCTACTAAACTCTCACAAGACTTTTCACTATGAAAGGCTGTTTGAGGGACGTCGATGTGTGCAAATTGGCTGCCTATAAAAAAACCACAATTTTACAGTGAATACTGTGAGCGGTTTGAGACATCCTCCCAAAAGACAGGCGCTTTATAAATGTAAATTAATAATAATAATAATCTTTGCGTTTGATCTTGCGCCTTATCACATCTTCGAGACGTCTCAAAATGCTTCACAGGGTATACTGTAAAGTGAATTGACGGGGGCAAAATGTGGCAGCCAACAATGTCCCATAAACAGCATGGAGTGAGCGACCAATTTTATTTGGAGGATTGTTGGCCAGGACACTGGGAGAAACTCCCTTCTCTTTTAGAACAGTGCCATGGGATCTTTAATGTCCACCTTATCAGGCAGACAAGACCTCGGCTTAATGTCTCATCTGAAGGATAGCACCTCTGACAATGCACTGGAGTGTCATCTTAGATTATGGGCTTTTTGGATTGTTGAATCGTGGATGTCATAGAATCACAGAATAATAGAATCATGCAGCTCAGAAGGAGGCCATTCGGCCCATCGTGCTTGTGCCAGCTCTTTGAAAGAGCAATCCAATTAGTCCAACTCTTACCCTATAGCCTTGCATGTCAGAGAAGAATATTATCCTGTTTGGACAGTGTTGCAACAAAGGAATCTGTCTATTTTGCAGTATTTGCACATCACCCTTCAGACAACAACATTGCATTTATACAGCGCTCTTTATGCAGAATAGCGTCTCAGAGCGCTGCAGAAGTTGAGGTTGGATGCTGAGCAAAACCCAAAGGCAACAAAATGAAATGATGCAAAGAAAGGACAATAAATGGGTTCTCAGGAAGTGAGAAAGAGAGATAAATAAAGGTTTATGGCCTGGCTTTACCTCTTTCTGCCCCACTGGGACATTGGCGTTGATTGGGGCATACTGGATCAGGTAACCAGAGGCATCGGGCACCGGATCCCACCTCATTCTCATGGAAGACGATGTGACGTCGAAAAGATTGAAATTCCTCACGGAGGGAATCGACACTGCAAACAAGCACAAGCAAACAAACAAACAAACAAATAATTAGGCCTGACATTTGCAAGAGCTCTTTCCCCAAAGCGCTTCGTAAGATTTTAATAATAAGCCTTGCATTTGATATAGCTCCTTATCACGTCTGCAAGACGTCTCAGTGCGCTTCACACAATATACTGTAAAGCAAATTGACTGCATACTTTGTGGGCGAAACACGGCAGCCAATTGCGCACAGCAGCGTCCCACAAGCAGTCATGGATTGAGTAACCAAATTATTTTTAGAATTATTTTAGAGAAGAAGAAACTCACGAGTGGTTTCAGATCCCCTCAGTGGCTCACTGACTTCTCCCTCGAGAAGGCTGTAGACATTGACGTTGTACTGTGTTTCTGGGAACAGATCAGTCAGAACCACACTCGTGGTCCTGCCGTTTACCAGCACCTGAAATATCAACAAATTATCTATAATTACAGCATCGTAGAAAAGGGGTCAAAATCACATTATTCCTAAACACAGCGGTGCAGGGGGAGGGAACTTTAGTTAACTCAGGGACCCACCACCAGTATAATACTAATCCTTCCATTTGGTACATATCAAGAGATCGCTTGAAAACACTTTACTGGATTTTTTTTGTTAAGTGCAGTGACCTTTATGTTGGTGAAACGCAGCAGCCAATTTGTACACAGCAACGCCCCACAAACAGCCATGACCCAGGTGACCATTTTTTTTTAATCCGGGAAAAACTCCCATCTCTTTTTCCAAAAGTGCCGCGGAATACTTAGCACATGTACGAACAGGTTCGGATGGTGCCTCTGTTCTACGTCTCACTGTAATAATAATAATAATAATCCTTGCATTTGATATAGCGCTTTTCAAGTCGGGAGGACGTCCCAAAGCACTTCACAGAGCACTGTAAAGTGAATTGACTGTACATTTTGTGGGCGAAACGGGGCAGCCAATTGCCCACAGCAGCGTCCCACAAACAGTCGTGGATTGAAGTGAACAAATTATTATTATTATTTATGGAAGTGATTATTACTCCCAGAAAAGGAATCCGCCAATCGACTAACAGTCAGGTTGCTACTTGCTGCTGGTAAACAGAAGCGTGGAGTAAAGGAACTTGCCCAATGTTTCACCCTACGGGAATCGAACCTGGGTCATCTCACTTGCAAGGCGAGTGCTCTAACCACTGAGCTACAGGACTGCAATGCAGAGTACCCCCCCCCCCCCCCACTACCCAGGGCTGTATTGGGAGCGTCAGCCTGGATTTGGGTGAGTTTAAAGTCCCCGAAGTGGGGGCTTGAACTCACGACCTCGTGACAGAGAAGCGAAATTGCCAGCCACTGAACTCTTGAATCGCTCGCGGAGGGCTTGTCGATGCCTCGTATAAATCCACATAATGAGAACAGAGACTGACCTGCTCTGTGGGACCTCCTGCAACGCGTTGGTACTCCACTCGGTAACGGTCCACACTCGCTCCATGGTCCCACGTCACCCGGAAGGAACCAGGTGTGACTTCAGACATCTCGAGGTTAGTCGGGGCTTCCACGTTGGCTACAGCGGTGAGTGGGGGTGGTGGGAGGGGAGAGGGAGGAACAATGACAATGCAGAACATTGTGAGCGTAATTCTTGTGTTTCCATTCCCTCTGGGATTTCTGACAATTCAGCATTCCCCTCCAGCACTGCATTGAAGCGTCAGCCTGGACTGGTCTCAAATTCAACAAGAACAATTTGCATTAACACAGCGTCTCAGAGCGCTTGACAATGGAAGGGCCCAATGCCAAGCCGGAGGGAGGGGGAAGGTAACCATCGGCACGGCTGGAAGGTCTTCAGGCGCGACCTGAAGATGGGGAAGGAAGGGGGCAAGGCAGAGGGATAGAGGGAGAGTGTTCCAGAATTTCGGATCGCAGTGTCTGAAAGCGACTTAGGGCCCCGAATTGGGGGGGAATTGAACCCATGATCATCTGACTCAGGTGCTTGCTACCAAAGTGCATTATGAGGGTGGGTGATGAGGGTCACCAAGCTGGTGACCTTCTGGATTCCTCACCTCCGCTCTTCACACTATCGCACAGGTTCCTGCTCAGGTCATCCACGATTTCCGTCAGGAGAGCGAAGTCCGCCACGTTGTACATGTGGATGCTGTCGGGGTCTGTGGCAATCTGTCGCAGCTCAATGACATCTGCATTCTTGATACCTGAGGGGGAAGATCGCAACATAGGGTCGAGTGAAGAAAACGAAGATGACCTTTCGACTCATTGTGTTTGTCCTTTGAACCCCACATCTGGGCTCTTACCCACTCAGATTTTGCTCACCTCCATAACAATGCCAGCCTCCAGCACTCCCTCTCCCCCCCCATCCATCCCAGGCCACCGAGACTCTCATCCACACCAGGCGTGACCATGTCAACCTCCCACTGGACACCCCAACTGTTCCCTACACAAACTGCAGATCATCCAGAACCCTGCCACCCATGGCCTCTCCCACACCAAGCTCCGCAAACCCATCACCTCCAACCTTTCTCGGCTCCATTGGATCCCCCATCCCCCAGCAGCTCAAGTTCAACACCTTTGTTCTCATCGAAAGTCACATTATTTAGCCCCCAATGAGGGTCAGTATATTTCCCCTAGGGTGTGGGATTGGGGGGGCAGGGGAGATCAGGTTGGCCACCATGTTAGTATTTTACTTGGAGTTCTGGGCTTCTGTATATAGGCGGTTGTCGCTGCCCCCACTTACCAACAGCGTAAAGCTCCACTCCAAGGTCACGCAGACTTTCGGAGGGGATGGACACATCATCCTGAGACTTGCCGTCTGTGATCAGCACACCGATCTTCCGAGCGAATGGCCGAGCTCCTGCATCCTCCCGGAAATTGTTCTGTAAGATGTAGCTGAGAGCCAGGCCTGGCATTGCCAAGAGACGGGGGGGAGAGAGAGAAAGTGGGGGAGAGATATAGGGAGAGATGGGAGAGAGGGGCAATGGTAGTTAGAGAGAGAAGGGAAGGGAAGAGGGAGAGTGTGGGAGAGAGAGCAAGGAAGGGATAAGAGAGAGAGAGGGAGCGCAGGGAGTGAGGGGAGAGAGAAGAAGGCAAAGTGAGATAGAGAGAGAGAAAGAAAGAAGGGGAAAGAGTCGGTGAGAGAAGGAAGAGAGAAGGGAGCGGGGGGAGAGGGAGAGAGAGAGGAAAGCAGAGTGAGACAGAGAAGGGGAGAGAGAGGGAGAGGCGGAGAGAGAAGGATGGGGGGAGTGAGCGAAGGGAATTGAGAAAGAAGAGAGACAAGAAAAAAAGATGTGTGGGGTGAAAAAGTGAGAGAAAAAAAAACACAATTGTTCCAATTATTTACTGTGAATCAACCTACAACAAGTAAAGGAAACCACACTATCTTAATTTTAAAAAATTGGGAATTCTAGAACATAACCGCGTATTTTATAGGTGAACAGACACACAGCCACGAGTCAACGTCAACAATGCCAACAGCAAATTGCGTTTATATTGCGCATTATCACGTTTGGAAGAATGACTTATTCACAATAATAATGATAATAATAATCCTTGCATTGGATACAGCACCTTATCACGCCGTTGAGACATCTCAAAGCGCTTCACAGAAAATACTGTTAAGTGAATTGACTGTATATATTATCTGGGAGACTGTTGGTGAGGACACTGGGAGACAGAAACTGCCATGCTAAGGCACTGTATCAACTGCAAAGGATAAAATTATTATTATCGCCTGCTCCTGAATAATAATGAAACAGCGCATTTCACGTTGAGAGGACGTCTCAAACCGCTTCATGGGAATTACTAAAAAAAAAATGCAGTGAGGGTGTATTTGGTGAAAAAAAAAGCAGCCAATTTGCACTCAGCGACGTCCCAAAACGGCCGTGAAATGAATGACCGATTTTTTGATCTGGAGGGAATGTCCGCCGGGACATCGGGAGAGAGAAACTCCCTTCTCTTTTCGAATAGTGCCACGGGATCTTTAACGTCCACCTGGGCAGGCAGACAAGACCTTGGTTGAACATCTCATCCCGAGGAGGGCACCTCCGACAAAGCAACACTCACCCCCACCACTGTGCTGGAGTGTCAGCTTAGACAATGTGATTCCAAGTCCCTTTCTTTCTCTCTATCTCACTTGAGCCAACAATCCTTTGATTGCAAGGCGAGAGTGCTACCAATGAGCCAGGCTATATTGACCAGCGGAGTGGAGAGAGATAGTGCACTGTATGTGGAAGGGCTAGGCAGAGGGGAAAGAGAAAATTGCTGTGTGGAGCCTACCTGTTAGTGTGTTTCCTCCTTTGTAAGGTAAGGCTGCCGCAGCAGCCAGTAAGCTCTTCTTGTCCTTGTGCGCATTCAGGTTCCACTCAGTCCTCGGGTCTCCACTGTACTGGGCCAGACCTGGGAGCACCGACAAAATGGTCACCGTGGTGGGAAAATATCACACTGTTTGTTAATGTTATAGTGGGCACAGAGCGACAAGCAGGGGCCGAGGAAAAAACACTGTCTGTGCCGCCTTGCCATCATTGCAGAAAATACAAACACTTTCTATCACACACTCTCTTTCTCACTCTGCCTCTCTCTCTCTCACACACAAACTCTTGCTCACTCTCCCGTTCACACTCTCTCACAAACTTTCACACTCACACTTTCTCACTCTCACAAGCAGTCTCTCTCACACACACACAGCGACACACATGTATGCGCGAAGCCTGGCTCCCCAACCTCTCCCGGGCCAGCTCTTACCGAACTGCACCCTCTGGGGGCTGATATCGAAGACCTGGATCAGTTTGCCGATGAAGCTGCGGATCTGTCGGAAGTTCAGGCGTCCGATACTCCAGGATCCGTCCACCAGCAGCAGGATGTCCGCAGCAGCCGTGGTGCTGCACTGGATCCCTAACAGCGACAGGAGCCGTCAAACCGGGAGCACAGTGAACACACAGCCACAGTGATCGTAGAAACAAATGACAATCACACGCAACAGCCGAGGGATTTGTACCCGGGAATTAAGATACAAAACAAGGCCAAGTTGCCTTACGCAGGCACTTTCCACCTCGATAACAAAGCGTTTCGAGACGATGTGAACATCAACACGGATTAAAAAAAAACATTCTCGTGGAAATTACAGTCAAACACAGAGCAACATGTCCGGACACCCGGGCTTAGGAAGTCATGGTACTCCATCTCGCTGGACAGCAAGACCCCGAACCCAACTACAGCCCCAATGCTTTGGAGAATTAATGCTAACCATTCAATACCCAGAGGCTCCCTCTCTCACTCCCTCCTCCCTCTTTAAGACCAGTCTCCCTCTACACTTATCATTTATCTGGGTGTGCGAACATGTTGCTAAGGTCAGAGCAACTTAATTTGGAATATATCCTCCCTTTCCTCCCTTAACCCAAACCCCACTCAATCCAACCCACAACCGGCAACAAAGCACGACGCTATGAAACCGACAAAGAAAAGTTTTGGTGCGAAGAAAAACAACGAAGGGTGAAGATTTGGCAGAAGAATCCGAATGCCCAGGGAGCAGAACATCTACAAGGCAAAACCGCTGGATACAAAAAAAAAAGAAACACAGGCAACAAGATTCCCCGAGTGGGAAAATAATGCCGACAACAACAGCGACATGGAGTCGAGAGTGAGCGCACTGCGAAGCAAAATGAAACATCAGCACACACTCCCCTCCCTCCCAGAAAATAACCACAAGAAGCAGAGGAGGGTTTGGCATGGACGTTTATTGAACCCTTCCCGTGAATCCCTTTATCATAAAGATCCGGGCGACTGCGAGCAGCCGGAAGGCTATCTTCTACTCCTCCTCCACTCCCCCCACCGCCCCCTCCCTCTCCTCTCCCCATGGCTTTGCCGCGCAGAGGAACGGACTCCTCTGATTATCTGGGAGCCAGCACACATCCCACTCCATGGATTGCCACTCGTGTATTCTCCGCTCGTCCGCTCCTGCTGGGTTTGTTTGGTTATTTGGGTAAAAAGTGGCCAAAAATGCTCACGTTGGGAATGTGCTCCTTCCAGAGGAACCTGTGGAATTAAAGGGGAGGGAGAGAGAGAGAGAGAGAGAGACAGGAGGAGAGAGATTCTCCTCCACTGTACAAAAAACACAATCCATATTTTAAAGTGTCAAACAGGGAGAAAGAGAACATTGTCAGAGTGCCTGTGGGAGAGGAGAGGAAGAGAGAGGCCAAATAGAGGAGAGGAGAGTAAGGAGCAGGGTTTCCAACACTCCAAATTTCCAAACAGGATTTCACGTCTTCTCGGGAATCCCACCCGCAAATGTCCACTTCTATTCTGAGGCAATCCGTCACAGAGGGTGCAATTGATCCTGACGTTCCATTGCCAAACATGTCACCTCAGAGGCAGTTCAGCTCCAAGGAGATCCCACCCATCTCCCCCCACACAAGGAGGATAGCCACTATCCTTGAGAAATGCGAGAGATTCAATGCGAGAAACGAGTGTAACAGATCAGATGGGAAAAGGATGGTGTGCGAGAGATTGAATGTGAGAGATCAAATGTGAGAGAGATGCAGTGTGAGAGATCAAGCAAGTGAGATTGAGCGTGAGAGATCAGGTGGGAGATCAACTGTGCGAACAATTGAGTAAATGAGAGATCGAGTGGTGTGAGAGATTAAGGAGAATGAGATATAAGAGTGAGAGATCAAAAGTGAGAGAGATAAGTGTGAAAGATTGATTGGTGGGTGAGAGATTGAGGGGTAGGAGAAGGAGTGGTGTGGGTAATTGAGTGGTTTGAGAGATCAAGTAGTGAAAAATTGAGATTGAGAGATCAGATGTGAGAGATCAAATAGTGTGAGAGATTGTGTGATGAGGGTTCAAGTGGTGAGAGATCAAATGGAGTAAGAGGTTGAGTGGTGTGAGAAATGGTGTGAGAGATGGAATGTTTCTGATTCCTTATTGATTGACATCAGTTCATGCAGAAGGTCTATAAAGTCTGAGTTACTGTGAGTACCTCAGACCTGAAATTCCAGCTAATCTCAGCCTTTAAGACCTTTTTTTTGTGCTTAATTTGGACGATGCGATTGTTTCATACGTTCTGAAGAACAAACACCTACTTGTAATTGAAGACTTTCCATCTTAATCAGGGTGACCAAAAAGTTGTGACACCATTACAATATCTAACAGGTCTTCAAGAAATGATGATTATATCTATTTTGTTTTAGATAATAGGGCAGCTATCATGACTAGAGTAAAGCGTTCTCCATCTAGAATAGATTGAGGTTTGTTCGGAATGGAGCGAGGGGCAACCCGGAGTGCATTAAACTCCATCTGGACCAGACTGAGGTCCTTCTGGAGTGGTGCGGAGTGTACGCAGATCGTCCCTTACCTGGAGGCCCCAGTGGAGGCACGCCGCTGTCCTCAGACAGGGTGGTGTGCTCCTGCCCCAGCAAAGGCAGGCTCTCCCCGTCCTGAAACATCCCCGACACGGCCACTTTGTACGTGGTGTCAGCCCTGCACAAAGAGGCAAAGAGAGGGAGCAAATAAACAACAACTTACGATTATATGGTGCCTTTCACAGTATAGAAAAAATACCTACTTTATCCTGCCTTGGGTCAACATTCTCAACCTCTCCCTCAACCTCCCCCTCCCCTCCTCCTTCCTTGGATGGGATTTCAAAAGATGGGGCAGAAAGGTTGAAAGCCCGACCTCCGATGGTGGGGTGAGCAGGGTGGAGGACATTGAGCAGGCCAGAGTCCGCTGAGCGGAGGGAGTGGAATGGCTGGCATGGGGTTAGCAGGCCACAGAATTAGAGAGGAGCAAGGCCACGGAGGGCTTTGAAACTGAATTTTGACCTCGATCCTCTGGGGAATGGGGAGCCAGTGGAGCCGGGCGAGAATGGCGGTGATGGATTCATGGTGGTTTGGGAGGCGACACGAGCTGCAGAGCTCCAAATGATCTGCAGCTTGTGGAGGGAATAGTTGGGAAGACCGACAAGCAAAGAAATAGCATGATCGAGCCTGGATGTGATGAATCCCTACCTGCTGAGGTTCAAGTGAGGGCTCAAACCCGCGCTTGACAGATGTGTAATAACCAAATAATTCTCCTGGGGGAAAAGGGGGGTAAACAAGGGGCTGAGTTGGCTGAAACACCTGGCAATGGAATATCATTGGCCTCAGTCATCCCATTCCTCAGCCAGCCGGGTCCACAGTACTCCATGGCACTGCTGATTATGGAAAGCAATTCTGGCTCATCAGCAGACCTTGGAGGAGCAGAACTGAATAGGAAGAATTCCTATTGGGGAAGAGCTGGGATTCTTTCCACTCTGCTCCTGTTAACCCTGAAAGCCAAAACTCTAATGGATAGGGTGGTCCTATCGGGAAAAGTTTGCTACTTAGAGCTCTCAATGGTTTGATTAATGCACTCTCCGCCAAGGTTCGGCTCTTGCCAACCTGCATCTTAAAGGATTATGGGATTAGATGATCTGGGTGTGTTCCTCTGGAGGGAGGTGGGAGGGGGGCGGGTGAAGGGGGAGAGAGTGCACAGTCCAAACTCAAAAAGCAAAAACCATTCGTATGGTTTTTGGATCTCTCAGTAATTTCAGCGCCTTGGGACATCTTCCTGACGTGAAAAGCGCTTTACAAATGTAATTTTGTTGTTGTAATTTGGGCTCGGAGACTCTTAAATTCAACTCTTCAGAAGTCTGCAGCCTATATCCATTCTATAAGATCATGGCTGATCTGTACCTCAAGTCCAATTACCTGCCTTTGTCCAGTATCCCTTAATACCCTGACATCCTAGGAAGCCTGTTCCATACAAGTTAGGGAGACTGTTCCATACACATGGTTAAGAGAGAATACATTTGAGGTATATGGGGAAGAAAGCTGGGATATGGGACGAGGGTTAGGATCTAGGATGGTCCTGGTTGGAGTATAAACAGCAGTCAGACTGGAATGGCCAGTTTCTGAGCTGTATCGCCTGTTGCCTAAGAATAAAAAAACCTTAAGATATTTCAACCTTGTTTTTCGACCTTTCACAGAGGATACAGTTCAAGATCTTGGTCCTCACCTTCAAAACCGTCCATGGCTTTGTTCCCCCCTACCTCTGTGACCTCCTAACCCCCCATATTTCCTGCTCACTCCCTCCGCTCAATAGGCACCAGTCTGCTACACGTCTCCCGCCTCACTTACCCCACCATTGGCGGACAGACCTTCTGCCAGTCTGTTCTCACCCTCGGGAACTCCATTCCGCAGTCCCTCCACCTCACCCTCTACCTTGCCTCCTTCAAAACCCGTCTCAAAACCCTCCTCTTCGACCATGATTTCGATCACCCTGCTTCCCCTCCGCCCCTACCCTCCCCGACTCTCAGCTAGAGTCCAAAACTCTGACTGTCCAGCACCTTGGGATGTCCTCCCGATCTGAAAGGCACTTTACAAATGTAATTTTATTGTTGTTTTGCTTTTGATCGACTCCCCGCCCCTCCTCAGCTGCCTCACCCCCCACCTCCAAGCTCGCCTGCTCACCCGATCATGCTGTCGCTCAGCGGTGTGAAGCACTTCGAGAAACATGTTAAAGCCAGGTCCCATCTGTGCTTGTTCAGGTGGGCATGAGAGACCCCTAACACTACTCAAAAGGAGAAGGGCGCCTTTCCAAGTATCCTGTCCAAATAAAATTGGTGGGATTTTGCTGTGTGCAAATCAGGTACCGTGTTCGCCTACGAACTACACAGCCACTATACTTTACAGTATATCCCACAAAGTGGCTTTGAGATGTCCGCCCAAAGTGAAAGGTGTTGTATAAATGTAAATTGTTAGGGAGATGGTGAATTTGGTCAGTCAGGTGCCTGACGCATGTGGAAACCCATCACCATGCTTAAAAATATCCAAACCAAAGAATTTCATGTACACGTGTATTGGAATGGAATGCGCTCTCTCTCCCTGGAGGGACACATCCTGCTTACCTAATCCGGAAAGTATTAGGCGCAGGTTGGCAAAAACTAAGGCTTGGGGAACCCAGGGTGTGCGTTGGTGTAACTGCATAAGCCTAACCAGCTAAAACCACATAGTTTGCCATTGAGAGCACTGTCTGGCAAGCTTTCCTGCTGCTTGTCCAGGCAGGACCGCCCTACCTTTTAGGGAGTTCAGTGGGATGATTCCCTACCCCCAGTGACTGGTCTGCCCTTCCAGGTCCGGCTGAAGAGCCAGGTTGGACTCTTGAGTCATTAGCCCTGGAATACTGCGGACCCACCTGGCTCAGGAACTAGACTAGAGACCGCCACAGAGGGTTGAATCGGTTCTGACTTTCCGTTGCCAAACACGTCACCTTGTAACTAGCACATTTACTCCCCACCTCGCAATTACCTCCTTTCCTTCCCCTCGACCTCCCAAGGAGAATAGTCCAATTGTCATGCTGACTGCATTGCCAACACACAGTGGCACCGTCTGCTTGAGAACACTGAATGCATTTGATTGACAGGCAGACGCAGTTAAAAAATAATAATAATGACAGTAATAATAGGCTATTAAGTTAATATATTGAGTATGATAACTTCCTTATGAGCCGCAGAGTTTATCTCAGGGTCTTAAGCTCTCCTCTCCTCCGCTTTCCTCTCCTCTGCTTCCTTAATAATAATAATAATAATCCTTGCATTTGATATAGCGCTTTTCACGTCGGGAGGACGTCCCAAAGCGCTTCACAGAACACACTGTAAAGTGAATTGACTGTATATTTGTGGGCGAACGCGGCAGCCAATTGCGCACAGCAATGTCCCACAAACAGTCGTAGATTGAAAATGACCAATTTATTATTGTTTTTGGTTTTGGAGGGATTATTATTAGGCTCTGTGTGGAGTAAGGAAACTTGCCCAAGGTTTCGCCCTCTGCCTGGAATTGAACTCGGGTCTCTCACTTGCAAAGCGAGTGCTCTAACCACTGAGCTACAGGACTCCACTCCTTCTCCTCTGCTTCCTTCTCCTTCTCCTCCCTCTCCCTTCTCCTCCATCTCCCTTCTCCTCCTTCTCCCCCAACACCCTCTTCTCCCTCGCCTCTCTTTTCCCCTCTCCCCCCTTACTAACAATCCAAATCTGGCACTTGCAAAGTGCAGAAAGAGCAACAGAGATGCAGTAATTGCACCTGTGGGAAGTGACCCAATTTCGAAAGTAATTTAAGATCAGAATGGAGAAAGAGAGCGTGAGACAGAGTGAGAGAGAATTCCAGTAGATGACCAAAGGAGAAAAAAAATGGTTTGAGGAAATGATTATACACACATATATCATATATACATATGTAAAAAGAGTGTAAGGCTACATCATTTCATCTCTTAATGAAAAACAGGCCAAGCAATCAGGAAACATTTTTATAGGGATCGAGGGGCGACGTGCAATAATTGCTGTTGGATCAGGTTCCAGCTCAGTTCTGGTGACTGTTGTTCAGCTGTTATTAAGCGCTGGGCAAAGATTTCAGGTAAAAACAACAGCAGCTATCAGACAGCCTTGATGTAACGCAGGGTAATAAGGTAGACTGCACCAAATAATGGTAAGCCAGGGGCCAGACTCCTTTCTCTCCTCCAAACAACTACTCTCCACCCAATCACCGTTTATCCCCCCTCTCCCCCCACCTCGAACACATATTTGAGCACTCCCTCATTCGCTCACTCACTCACAATCTGGGCTGCCATCAGTCGCATTTGTTAAATAGTAATCATATTCATTTTGCTGGACGCTGCTATTTTTCTTGCTATAATAATCCTTGCATTTGATATAACGCCTTATAGCGTCTTTGTGATTTCTCCAGTGCCTTGGGACCTCCTCCCGACGTGGAAGGCGCTATACAAATGTAATTTTGCTTTTGTTGTTGTCTCAAAGCGCTTCAAAGAATATACTAAAAAGTGTAGTGACTGTATATTTTGTGGACGAAATGCGGCAGCCAATTGTGCACAGCAGTGCCCCACAAACAGTCGTGGATTGAAGTGACCAATTTATTATTTTATTTTGGAGGGTTTATCATCCCCAGAAAGTGATCTGCCAATCGACTAACAACCGCGCTCTGACTTAGTGCTATGTAAGAGGCGTGCGGAGTAAGGAAACCTGCTTAAGGTTTCGCCTGTCTGGGAATCGAACCCGGGTCCTCTCGCTTGCGAGGCGAGCGCACCAACCATTATACTACAGAACTCCACTACTCCTACTGTCAAATTGTTCTTAAATTTCCAGCCGTCTTGTTGCCTGGCTCCGCTCTGGCTCCTGCAATTCGCAGGGCTGCTGAGGTTGGCCTGAAATGATGGAATTATTTGATGCAAAAATGGTTTGGAACCTCAGAGCAGTAGAACAAAGCCATAAATCGCTAAAATCAAATCCATAAATCGCTAAAAGTAGCTACACAGGTTGCTAAGGCAGTGGGGTCTTGGGCTTTAAAAGCAGAGGGGTAAAAATGATAATAATAATAATGTGATCACTCAATCCGTGGATGTTTGTGGGACGCTGCTGTGCGCAATTGACTGCCACGTTTCATCCACAAAATATACAGTCAATCCACTTTACAGTACATTCTGTAGAGTAGTTTGCATGTCTCAAGACATAATAAGGCGCTATTTCAAATGCAATAATTATTTCCTAATGAAGACGTCATATTGAATTTATAGACCACATTTGTTGTACTGTTTCCAATTCTGGTCTTTACAGTACAGCAGTGATCGAGAGAGTACAGCATAGGATGATATGAGGGATGGTAGGTTACTCCTGTCAGGATAGATTAGGTATTTTTTTTGCTAGAGAAGAGGGGGGAACCTAATAGAAGTGTTTAAAATTATAAAAGGGTTTGATAAGGTTAACATAAATGGGCTGCTTCCACTTGTTGGGGGCGTCTGTAACCAGAGGACACAAGTATAAGATAGTGACTGGGAGGGATCTAAAAGAGAATTTAGGAGGAACTATTTCACGCAGAGGGTAGTGAGATTGTGGAACTCACTGCCTGAAGCAGTGGTTGAATTAGATAGTGTAGATGTATTCAAGAGGGAGCTAGACCTTCACATGAGGGAGTGGGGAATAGAAGGGTGCAGGAGGGAGTAAGGAATCGGTGAAGACTCGTGTGGACTATAAACACCAGCACAGAATGGTTGAGCTGAATGGTCTGTTTCCCAGTTGTACTGGGTTGTGGGGGTGAATGATGGCCTCTCCATGGTAGAGTTCCAGACCTCTGGTCATGGCTGAGTTTATCGCTAGTCGAGGCCAAGTGTATCAATAGTTGTGACCGAGCTTACCAATAGTCCTGATTGAGTTTATCAATAGTCTTGGCCGAATTTATCACAACAACAAATTACACTGTATAGTGGGAGGACATCCCAAAGCAATGGACAGTCAAGGATGTACACCCGAGCTGGAGGGTGGGATCAGGAGGGGCAGAGGGTGGGGAGGGTAGGGGTAGGAGGGTGACCAAAGGTGCAGTCGAAGAGGAGGGTCTTGAGACTGGCCTTCAACAAGGCAAGGGAGGGGGAGTAAGTCATGGCCACGTTTATCACTAGTTGTCGACTTTAATGCTAGTCATAAGCTCAGGTGTTCTCTCGCTTACTTGAGCTCCTCCAGCACCACGGTTGTGTCGTAGGGTCCCAGCTCCATTTGTTCCTGTTGCTGCTCATCATCCAGTGGGTAGTAGGTAATCCTGTAGCCACGAACCTCCCCTGGGGCTGGGTCCCACGTCACTCGGAAACTGGTCTTTTGGGGGTCGGAGGTTTGTAGGTTTTGTGGTGGTTTGTAAGGCGAAGCTGTGAGAAAGAGAAATTAACCATTTTAATACAAACAGTCATAACAATGACAATAGTGATAAAAATATTGCAATAATAATAATTATAACAAGGATTACAAATTGAAATGAATAATAATAATAATCCGTGCATTTGATATAGTGCCTTATTCCGTCTTCGAGCCTTCTCAAAGCGCTTCACAGGATATACGGTGAATTGACTCCATATTTTATGGGCGAATCGTGGCAGCCAATTGCACACGGCAGTGTCCCACAAACAGTCGTGGATTGAGAGACCAAATTATTACTATTTTTTAAATTAGAATAACAGCAATGATTATTATTATTATAATAAGCATTGCCATGATAATAGGAACAATACAATTTACACTTCTATAAATAATAACATTTATTATTATTATTGATAACACGTCACTCCAAGGGAAGAGGTCTCAGTGACGAGTTATCAGGAGTGGCGAGTTAGGCATAGTACAAATACATAAATAAATGATGATCAGGATACTGACAGGGAAATGATTTAAGTGGTAGAGCCAGGGTCAGATTATCAGGAGTTTACTGTATATATTATATACTTATATATTTGAATATAATGTATATTTATATATGAAATATATAAATATTATTCCATATAATATATATTGTATGTAATTATTATTTATTAAGTATGATAATACCAACACAATATTATTATTGGTATTCTTTTGTTGTTTGAATAATTATTATGATTGCCAAAATAATAAAAATTGTATCTGATAATAATTATTATCATCATCATATTGTTATCCACCCCAGTCCTGTCCCAAATTCAAATGTACACTCATATGTAGCCCCCACCCCAACACACCTGTAGTCCTGCCCAGACATACCGTTTGGCCGAGCCTCACCTGTGGTACCCTGGCTAAATCGTAGTTTCCCTTCTCCGTGTTTGTACATAGGACTGACGTTCACGTCATACGTGGTTTGCGGGCTGAGACGACGTAAGACGGTGGAGGTCAGGTGTGGCGGGATCTTGGTCGCGATGGTCCTTCCCCCCGAGGCGGGACGGTAGCTGACTCTGTAGTGAAGCACTTTGCCAGGTGCGGGCTGCCAGGTCACTCGGAAACTGTTGACGGTTTCATCTGTCACGAGCATTCTCTTGGCCTCCTCAGTAGCTGTTGATTAGAAGAGGACGGTGGGTTTAAAGGGACTTACTCTAAAGCCTCACCGCAGAACGATGCATAACAGAAGAATACAATACAATTTCAGATTCATAAGGCGCCTTTCACGTCAGGAAGATGTCCAAAAGTGCTTGACACCGCTGGCTGGGTACCCGATCTGGGGGTGGGAGCTGAGGGGAAATGGGGAGGGGAAAGATGACCGAAAGCGGCAAGCGGAAACCACACTGATGTAGAACTCTCAGCAGTTTGGTAATGACGACTCTTATTGTGGCGATGGGTTTCTGTAATTGTCAGACCACCCGGCTGACCAAAGAAAAACCACAAGCAAGCTATGACCATGTGGAATTTCAGGCCTCGGGTGTTTTGGGGATGAAGGATGCAACTGTGTTAGTCAAGGCTTTGACATACCATTGGTGGTCTCGTCTCCCTCCAGAGGGTCTCCTTCCCCACTGCTATAAGCTGCGAAGACCATGATGTGGTATCTGGTTTCTGGTTGAAGGTTTGTCAGCCTGGTGGTGGTTAGGTAACCGGGAATCTCTATTTCCCCGCTGTCGTCATCATCTGAGGACTTCCAGGTCACCCGGTAACGCTGGACATTGCCCGGGGCTGCCGTCCAGGAAATGTCGAAGGAGGTTGAGGAGACGTTATCCGTCACCAGGTTCCGAGGAGATCCAATCTCTGCAACACACAAGAGAGTCCATCGGTCAGGTTGGGGCAGAAACATTAACCAAATAAATAACAAATCCAGCATTCAGCACAGCCAAAACAAATCATCTCAAAACGCTCCACAAAGCTTCTCTGCCTGGCGGAGTTGCTGAGCCAGGTGAGTTTGCAGTCTTCCAGCGCACTGCTGATAATAGCTTAGCCAGCCTGGCACATCGGCAGGATTTTGAAGGGCACACCAGTCACTGGAGCAAGGGATTCTTCCCACTTAGCTCCCATTAAACCCTGTGAGCCAAAGCCCTAACGGGTATGGTGGTCCGAGCTGGACAAGCATCAGAAAAGTTTGCCCGGCAGTGTTATCAATGGCAAACTATGCAGTTTTAGCTGGTTAGACTCCAGCAGTTACCCCAACGCACCCTCTGGGGTCCCCAAACCTTGGCTCTTGCCGACCTGTATCTAATACTTTCTGGAATTAGGTAAAAAGGATGTGTCCCTCCAGGGAGAGAGAGAGCATTCCATTCCAACAAACTATCTCTGGGATTTCCACGCATAGTTTGGATACTCTTAAGTACGGAGTCCTGCAGCTCAGTGGTTAGAGCACTCGCCTTGCAAGCAAGAGACCTGGGTTCAATTCCAGGCAGAGGGCGAAACCTTGGGCAAGTTTCCTTACTCCACACAGAGCCTAATAATAATCCCTCCAAAAAACTAAAACAACAATAAATTGGTCATTTTCAATCCACGACTGTTTGTGGGACATTGCTGTGCGCAATTGGCTGCCGCGTTACGCCCACAAATATACTGTCAATTCACCTTACAGTCTATTCTGTGAAGCCTTTGAGACATCGAGAAGATGTGAAAAGCGCTATATCAAATGCAAGGATTATTATATTATATTATTACGTGCCAATCACCCAGCTGACAAAAAAATTTCGCACACGTCATCTACAAAACACAGAGTCACTGCACTTTGCAGTAAAATCCTGTCAAGTGCTTTGAGATATCAGCCTGATGTGAAAAGGTCCTATATCAAATGCAAGGATTATTATTATTATTATTTACAGCAATGTCACAACTCACGGCTGTGAAGCGAACAAACAATTTTAATCTGGAGGTTTGTCAGCCAGGAAAAGGGCAGAAACTGCCTTTTCCAATAGTGTCATATGAATTATTTAAATTCATCTAAACAGGCATAGACGGGACCTCAGTTTAACATCTGATCCAAAGTATGGCACCTGTGGCAATGCAACACCTTCCCAACACTGCACTGGTGAGTTATTTTGCTTAGACTGCGATCCCCAAATTCCGGGGTGAGGTTTGAACCCACAACTTACTGTCTCGGAGACACGAGTACGAGCGACTGAGCCAGGCAAGAACCGTTCACATTTACATTGACAGCACCTCCAACAAAGTAGCACACGCGCAGCATCATCTTCATTAGCCCATCCCCATTAATGCACAGCAGTGTCAGCCTGGTCTCTGCCCCTTCTCTGGAAACCTTGACCCTCAATCCCTCTAACCTGGACCCTCCATCTCTGCTTTCAAAACCCATGTAAAACCCATATCGCTGTCTATAGCTTTGCCAATTTTTAGCTCCAAAGACATCCCGCTTACTCCCCTCCACACTCCTGTCCTCGTGTGTCTCGAGTCTCTGGCTCTCACTCACTTAAGTAAATGATGATCTGAACTTTTGCAAGATATACGTGCAGATGTTCAGAAGCTCCCCTGTGGATTTCCCCCCAAAATGAGCCAACTCAATACAGCATCCAGATGGGAAGCAGTGGAAAAAATAGCCCCCCTGTTCTAAAGCCTGATTCTAATCCCACCATCCCAATCAGTCAACTTGTTCCCAGAAACTGTCTTCTAGAAACGTGATTGCTATTTGCGGGGTTGTTTAATTAAGTAATCTGGAATGTGGCCCAGCTCATGGGGAAACTCTGATGTTATCTTCACAGATTCGATGCGATGGCAAATTTGTAATGAAACATCGCATTTTTCACCTCTGTGATTCCGAGGCAGCTACAGTCGTAGGCGGGAGAAGGGAGAGGGTAGGGGAGTAGCTAGGATTTTTCCCAATCGGCTCCCGTTACCCTGGCAAGTCAAAGCACCCATCGGTTGGGTGGTCTGAAGCTGGACAAGTGGCAGATTGCTTCCCAGAGGCAAACCGCAGGATTTTAGCTGGTTGAGCTCTAGCAATATCCCTCAACACACATACTCTATCCCCCCACCCGCAAGCCTTGGCTCTTGCCGACCCGCGACTAATACTTTCCAGCATTAGGTGAGCAAGGTGTCCCCCCGAGTGGGGAGAGTGAGCACTTTATTCCAAACAAATGGAAATTGCCATAAGGTGGAACACTCAGTCATCTGGTTTGGAGACAATGATTTATAAAAATAATCCTTGCATTAGATACGGCGCCTTTCACGTCTGGAGGTCATCTCAAAGCGCTTCGCAAGATTTATTGTCAAGTGGAATGACTGTGTATTTTGCAGGCGAGCTTGGCAGCCAAGTTGCACACAAACAACCATGAAGTCATTGACCAAATTTATCTGGGAAGATTCTCGGCCAGGACACTTGATTATCCTGATGCACTGGCTAATAATAAATTGGTCGCTCAATCCACAACTGTTTGGGGGACACTACTGTGCGTAATTGGCTGAAGTGTTTCGCCCACAAAATATACAGTCAATTTACTTTATAGTATATTCTGTGAAGTGCTTTGAGATGCGCTGTATCAAATACAAGGATTATTATTATTTATTATGATTATCCGTGTCCATCTGAACGTACAGACGGAAACTTGGTTTAATATCTTGGGCGTTGGATGTCACCTTCAGCAATGCCCTGCCCGTCCCACCATTGGAGGGTTGGCAGAGATTACACAAGGTTACAGTGGGTGTCCTTGTATGTCAGCCACCCGGCAAACCAAAAGAAAAAATGATTCAGAGCTTTGGGAACTTGCACTCATGTGGAGTATAATAACATAAGATAATACTTGGAATTGGTATAGCGCCTTATCACATCGGAAGGACACTCAAAGTGCTTCACAGGAATTACTGTGATGTGTAGTGATTGTGTATATTGTAGGGGAATGTGGCAGGACAATTGTGCACATCAATGTCTCACAAACAACCGTGAAACAGAAGAACAAATTTATTTTGGGGATTGTTGGCCAGGACACCAGGAGAAACTCCCTTCTCTTTTTGACTGGCACCACGAGATCTTTAATGTCCACCTAAACAGGCAGACGGGTCCTCAGCTTAACATCTCATCTGAAGGATGTAGAAACATCCTAAAAATGTGTAAAGAGGGTGAGATTAGGAGGAATTGTTTCAAGTAGAATGGTTTGTATATGGAATGTCCTGCCAGGAGCAATGGTTGAGGCAGGATCTGAATTGGCTTTGAAGAGGGAATTAGATAGATATCTAAAGAGGAGTAAACTACAGGGCTATGGGGCGAGAGGGCAGAGAAATGGGGCTGAAAGGATTGTTCTTTAAAAAGTCAGCGCAGAAGGACTGATACTGTCTTGTAAAGTTCTACAGCTGTTTATGGGAGATTGCTGTGCACATGTTGGCTGCCAAGTTCATCTACAAAACACACAGTCACAACATTTTACAGTATATCTTGTTACAGTATATCCCATCTGCCTGTTAAGGTGGACGTTAAAGATCCCATTGTGCTATTCAAAAAGAGAAGAGAGTCTCTCTCTCCTGATATCCTGGCCAACGATCCCCCAAATAAAACTGATCATTTGTGTCATGGTTGTTGGTGAACTTTGAGGCATTTGGATGACGTGACAAGTTTCTGTGTGAAATCGATGGGTCATTATTATTTTATTATTATCACTGTTCCCAGAGCAAATTTGAGGAGTTTCACAATGTAAGGATTCTGCGTGATCTTAAAGTTTAAGGCAATGTCATCCCACAGCCTACGACTGGGTGAAATTTCAGGCCTCCAATGATCAGTAGCGCAGCTTGTTAGTGAGGCTGTGAGTCTTTTGAGGAGTTTTGAGGAGTTGATAGCCTCCTGTTTCAGTGTGGAAACAGATTCAATCTAAACCTCCTGCAGTAGTGTTGTCTCGGGACTGCACTGATACGTTTAACAGATGAAACGCTTTACCCTGAAAGACGTGAACGATTCTGCGAATGCGAGGACCATCTTTCCTGCCAGATGGACAGACTCGATCACTTTCCCTCAGACCGTCACTTATCCTGGTTCTTCAGGCAGGGAGGGACGGGAGAGAGAGAGAAAGCCAGAGAGAGATAGAGAGAGAGAAAAAAAGGCAGACAGACACACAGACAAACAGACAGACAGAAAAAGAGTGGCAAGGAGACCTGCAGTGTCAGGTTAGACTTTAGGCTCAAAGTCTGAAGGTGGTGACTTGAACCCACAACTATTTGAACTCAGAGATGGGAGCCCTGGAGCCAAGTTGGCACCGAAGTGATGGCCTCTGATCTGTGGTAGAACCTGGGAATGTTCACACTGGAGAAGTGACAATTGGGAGGAAATATTATCTTCCGTATCCTATTGTGTATGTAGGCACTATCAACTCTAACATCTTATTCAATAATAATCTTTGTATTTGATACAGCGGCTTTCAGATGAGATGTTAAACCAAGGTCCCATCTGCCTGTTCAGGTAGACGTTAAAGATCCCACGCCACTATTGGTAAAGAGAAGAGAGTTTCTCCTGGCCAACAAATCCCACAAATAAAATTGGGACATTGCTGTGCTCAAATTGGCTGCCTCATTAGCCTTCAACATACACAGTCAATCCGCTTTACAGTATATCCTGTAAAGCACTTTGAGACATCTAGACGTGCTTTATCAAAAGCAATAATGCATATCATAAATCATACCTTCTTTGGTGCTTCCTTCCCCGATCAGTGGCTGCCCAACAAGTGTCCGATATTCAGCTCTGAGTCTCAGGTCGTACCTGGCGTTGGTGAGCAGGTTCTGCAGGGTGGTTGATGTGTCTGTGCCTCTGATCGTCACCTCTTCCTTCTCGCCTCCGGAATAAGGAGTGTATTCGAGGCGGTAGTGCAGAACATTGCCGGGAGCTGCAACCCACCTGACCTTGAAACTGTTGGTGCTTTCGTCATACACCAGTAGGTTACGAGGTAATCCGTTCTCTGCAACCAAGCACAAGTGGGAGCAACTCAATATTACACAAAACAATCCACATTTAGGCAGCGCTTTTCAAATCCAGAGCACGTCTCAAAGTGCTTAAAACTCTGACTGGGCACCCAAGCCAAGGAAAGAGCTCAAGAGGAATGGAGTGGTGGGGGGGTGAGGCTGTTGGTGGGGGGAAGGTGACCGAAAATACTCATTATCCTACAGGACTCCACAAAGTAGTTTCAGGATCTAAGGAGTTCGAGTGGCTGAAGGCTCGCCTGCCAATGGTGGGATGGATGGAATGTGTGGGGCCGGTGGGTGGGGTTGGGGGACACGATGAAATGCCAAAGGGCATCTAATTTGCAATATTTCCTGGCAGATTTTGCAAGATCGCAAGATTGGTTCAGGCAAATTCTCAAATGAGTCCCGACAACCTGACCTCAACCACCCTCCCCAGTTGTTAATTCACCCTCTGTGTAAAGATATACTTCCTGGTGTCTGTCCTGATATTTTCCTTGACAACGCACCCTGAACTTGTGTCATACCTTGTTAACAAACCGCGCAAAGCTTTTCCTCAAAACCCTTTAAGTCTCCTCCTTTCGCCCACAAAATATACAGTCAATTCACTTGACAGTATATTCCATGAAGCGCTTTGAGACGGCTCAAAGATGTGATAGGCGCGATATCAAGTGAAAGGATTATTATTATAAATAAAATTGGTTGTTTCACTTTACGGCTGTTCTACGGGATATTGCCATGTGGAATAAGTTTTGCCACATCACGTATGCTTCTTGCTTCAGCTATGCTGGTTTCGAATCCAAGATGTCTTTTGTTTATTGAATCCTGCACAGGTCAGAGAAAAAGTGCCTCCATCCAACTGTTCCAAAACCTTCGATATGATTAAACACCTCTCTGAGAAAATCCCCCCCATCTCTCTTCTAGAGAAGGGTCTTCAGAGCCGCCAACATATCCTCGTAGCTTGGTCCCCTGAGCCCTGCAATTAATCTGGTAGCCCTCTGCTTCCCTCCCATCCAGATTTATTTTCGCTCATAAAGGGGGAAGGGTGTAGAGAGGAGGGCAGTTATTGTTCTTACAGCTGCGATTTGTCTGAACCATGACTGGCCAACTCACATCTGCAGCTTGGAATGATGTATTCCACCAAGTATTAGAAATATGTTGGATTGGACTTCTGTTTCCTAAATGCAGTTTCCTGATGACAATGGATTCTGAATGGAATCGATCACACAACACTCCACTTTTCCATCCCTCTTGCCCACCCCCCCCGGCCAACCTACACCTTATCTCTACGTTTTATTGAATCATAGAACACTTAAGGCAAGGGATGAAGTCATTTGGCCCATCGTATGTCTGGGTGCTCGCTCCCTCATTGGAGCTCTCACCTCTGAACCCATTCCTCTGCTATTTCTCCATCATGTCATGCCGGTGCTCGCTCCCCCACTGGAGCTCTCCATTCTGATCCCATTCCCTTCCTCTTTTCCATTGTGTGTGCTGGTGCTCGCTCCCCCAATGGAGCTCTCTACTCTAATCCCATTCCCTTCTCTTTTCTTACAAACTCTAGAAACTGAGGCCTGATATCTTCAAGCTGAAGAGAGTGAGAGACTGAGACGGATTCCCACGGGAGTTGATCCTATATACTATTGTTTCCCTTTTGATCCTGTGCCCAGGAGAGATCTGATCTGGGAAATGTGGGAGAGCACATAAATTAATAAAATCTGCACCTACTTTGTTAGAGAGGCACATTTCTTTACAGTGTGGAAATAAACTAAATCAGACTTCAAAAGAGATTTTATGTATGTCTATCAGAGAGCATGATTAGGTTCCTGAAAGTTTGGTTCCCATGAGAGCTGACATCTGTATTCTGTTCAGCTCCACATATCCATCTGGAGAAGCTCGGCACTTGGGAATTGTCCATGAATCATCTTAAAGACATTAAAGTTTACACTATTTATACTAATGTACAGTAATCTGTGCATGTGTGCGTGTGAGCCCGAGTGTATGAATATGTGTCTGTGAGGGACAATGTATGTGTGAGACAGAGTCAGAGAGAGACTCAAAATGTATGGTAGAGAGGGTCGGTGTGTGGCTGAGTACATAAGTGAGTGTGTGTCTGACTGAGTGTGTATGACTGAGTGTGCCGATGTGAATGTGCAGCACCTTGGGACATCCTCCCGACGTGAAAGGCGCTATACAAATGTAATCTTGTTGTTGTTGTTGCATGTTATGTGAGTGTGTGTTTATGTATATGTGCAAATGTGTGTAACAATAATATAAAAATAGTGAACTTAAAAACTAACAGTGAAAAATGCAATACTTTATAACTTATCCTATAATTACCCAATCTCTCTGTAGTGAAAGCTTGTGGCTTGAAGGTTTATGGACATAGGACAGGACAGTGGGATTGAATAAACTTCTTGCTCTGGGTAGACTCGATGGGCCGAATGGCCTCCTTCTGTGCTGTAAATGTCTGTGAATCTAAATGTGTTCAGTACCCTTCTGAAAAAACTTGTAGCTTCTTATTCTTTTGCCCATCACCCTTTTAACCAGAAAAATCCTCCGTATTCCATATCCTCTATTGGCTTCATTTACTGTGATTACTCAATCCAGTTGGGTTCAAATGCCCAGACGTCAATACTTTGGCTGTCAATACTCAGGTTGCATCGAGATACTGCGTACAGTTCTGGTCACTGCAACATAAGGGGCTACGCAGGCCATAGAAACAGTTCAGAGGAGAGTAATGAGGCTGATCCTCAGTGTTGAAGGATTGAGCTGCCTGTGAGCAATGATTAGACGAGCTAGAGTTCTTCAGTGTTGAGAGAAGACGACTCAGATTGAATCTCATAAAGTGTACAAAATGTTAAATGGGATGGTAAAAGTAAACCCAGAACAATACTTTAGGATGCACCAATACAATAAATATTACATTTGTAGAGCACCTTTCATGTCAGTTGGAGGCCAAGACAGTAGAACAAGAGGACATAGGTCCTCTAGACGAGCTAGGGCTCTTAAGTCTTCTAAAGGGATGTTTCAGGAGGGACCTTATAGAGGTATATATGATGGTAAATGGGTTTGAATAAGTAAACTCAGAAAAATGCTTTGAGATACATCAAAACAACAGATCAAGAAGACACAAAGGGCAGAAGCACGAAAGACACCAAGATGTATTATTTTACCTAGAAGGGAACTAACAACTGGAATAGGGTTGTGAGGAAGGGTGGTTGATGCCAGCATGCTGGGAGTTGGTAGTGTGATCGGAGGACAGTAGGGTGGGGTATTCTGGAAGGGTGAGATCAAATGAGCCAAACAGTCTTCTTTGCTCAAACTGACCTTGGGATCTCTCTTGGGATCCATTGTATGTAAATTTTGTGTACATTACTAATAACCATTTTAATAAGCTGTACAGCCTTTAACTAACTGATCCACAGGAACGAAATTCCACCTCGTCTTAGCCTGTTCGTTCTCAAAAGTTTAATGTTGGGTGCTGAACATTGGGTGTTAAATCCAATCTCAATTTGGAAGACGGTTTCTTTTTAAGAACGGCTGGGGTTGGGGAGGTGATTCGGGGTGGGGGGTGGGAGTAAGCTACCAAATCGAAGAATATTTACAACAATTCTGTGGGCCGTTACATTTTCAAGGCAAAGGGGTCGTACAGGTCAAGACGGGGTGGAGTAGTCGGGGTCACTTTCTGCACAAATGACTGAAATAATGGAGGAAGGTGTAGAATTTCACAGCCAAACTGGGACCGGACCCAGTTAATGACCAGCATCTGCAACCCTGACTAGCTCTTTAGAGACAAAGTTATGAAGAGGAATATGTTAAAGTACTCAGAGCCGCTGCTTGTAAGTCAAACAAAATAGTCTTGGCTCCAGGCATGGCAGGGCCACGGTAGGGGGGTGGGGGGTTGGGGTGGGGAGGGCGGGGAGGGGAGTGGAGCTGGGGAGAGGATCTGCAAATAATCCTGCCAAATGTAGCACTCTAACAGTGTTTGTGACACTGACACACAATCATTGGTGAGTCAGCCTGGCTCAGTGGTAGCACTCTCTCCTCCGAGTCAGAAGGCTGCGGGATCAAGGTCCACTTCGGGGACTCTAGGCTCACAGTGATGATGCTTCAGATGCAGAGGTGAGAGGCATCGTTATATTGTACTGTCGGAGATGCCGTGCATTGGATGAGACGTTTCCCATCCTGTGCCTGTTCAGGCGGACGTTAAAAGATACCGGGGCACTATTCCAAAAAGAGTAGGGAGTTTCTCCTGGTGCCCTGGCCAGCATTTCCTCCAGATGACAAAATTGGTCATTCACTTCCATGGCTGTTCTGGGGCATTGCTGTGCGCAAAAATTCACCCTCCCTACAATTTTCAGCAGATCCTGTGAAGCGCTTTGAGACGCCCTCTCAAAGTGAAACTTAGTGTATCATTATTATTCAGGAGCAGGTAATACAATCATTTTATCCTTGCATTTGATACAGCGCCTTGTCATGTTGACAAGACGTCTCAAAGCACTTCACATGACTTTGCTGTAAAGTGTAGATTGACTGTGTATTTGTAGGCGAATTCAGCAGCCAATTTAAAGCCAGCAACGTTCCAAAAACAGTCATGAAGTGAGTGACCAATTTTTTTTTTTTTTTATCTGGTGGCATTGTCAGCCAGGACACCAGGAGAAACTTGCTTCTCCTTTGCAATAGCACCACGGGATCTTTAACGTCCAGCTGAACAGGCAGACAGGTCCTCGGTTCAACACCTTCACCTGAAGGACGACTGCAGAGCTCCCCCAGCTCTGCACTGGAGTATCAGCCAAAGTCCTGACGTGGGGCTTGAACCCAGTACCTTCTGACTCAGAGGAGAGAGTGCAACCAATTAAGCCACACAAATCATTCGTCTCAAACGAAAACAGGCATTTACAACGCAAACGTTGTCAGGGTATCCGAGCAGTGATTAGCTTTCAATCCTTCTGTTCCTGAAATACTGTGGGACCAATATACATATTGTTATATACAGTTTATATACATGCCGCAGTTATAGGCGTGGACTGTCACTGGTCTGGGACACTATTCTGCGTGAGGGGAGCTATATAAATGCAAGCTGCTGCTGTTGTAATCCTTAAATTATTTACAGCCCTGTAACATCAAAATATGGTACAGCTCTTCACAAGGAAACGCTGTCAAGTGAGTGACCGCGTATTCGTAGATGAACTCAATGGCCAATTTTCACACAATAAATGTCTTTGATGTGAATGAGCAATTTATCCAGAGAATTCTTCGGGGAAACAACAGGGGAAATGGGATTTTTTTGTTTTTTGGTTAAACTTGTAACCTCTTGGAACTGAGCAGATCCTCTCCCTCTTTGGTAAATAGGATCAATCTTGTTTTTCTGCTAGTTTGTTCTGTTGGGATGTGAATAATTCTATTCGGATAACAATCTGACCTCCCCTGAAACCAATTAATTTGGTCACTCAATCCATGACTGTCTGTGGGACACTGCTGTGTGCAATTGGCCGCTGCGTTTCACCCACAAAATATACAGTCAATTCTGTGAAGCACTTTGAGACGTCTCAAAGACGTGATAAGGCGCCTTATCAAATGCAAGGATTATTATTATTATATTACTAGAGTAGAGAGCAACAGTGGGGGAGCGAGCACCAGCACAGACACGATGGGGAGAGAGCAGGGGAATGGGGTTAGAAAAGAGGACTCCAGAGAACAGCGAACGCCAGCATGAACACAATTAGAGAAAGAGCAAGGGAATGGGGTTGAAGCAGAGAGCTGTATTGGGTGGGGGAATTGGAAACGGGAAAGATGTATTGGGGAAAGAGGGGGGGATGGAATTAGGATGGACGGCTTCATCAGAGAGGAAACTTGCAAGACTGGTATGAAGGGTCAAACAACCTCGTGCTGGGCTCTATGATTGCAAGTCGCGGTTGACATTGTTATACCTTCCAGGGTGGTGTCCTTCCCTTCCAACGGCCGGCTGTTGCCATTCTCGTATTGCGCAATGACTTGGATCAGGTATTCAGTCTCGGGCAGGAGGTCGGTGAGGACTCTGCTGGCTTCCTCTCCGGGGACCTGGATGGAGTAGAGCTGACCACCCAAGGCCATCCTGTACTTCAGCAGGTAGGAGCGCACATCTGGCCCCACTGGTGTCCAGCTCACTCGGAAACTGCTGGACGTCACGTCGGAGGTTTGCAGATTACTGGGGGATGTGAAATCTGAAATTGCACCAAAAGACATAAATTGTTATTGACTGTTGCCACTTCAGTTATATTTTGTTCGACAACATTGTTTTTGTAAATCTTTTGCAAGTTCAGGTCTGGTATTAATCTCAACTTAATCCCATCCAGCACTCCCAGGTCAGCTACAGCAAGGGTTATGGGACATTGGCTATATTGCAAAGCCCTGTAGCCTTGTGTCACACCTGATAATAATCCCTCAAGAAAGAAAAAACAATAATAAATTGGTCACTTCATTCCATGACTGTCTGTGGGACATTGCTGTGCGCAATTGGCTGCCGCGTTTCGCCCACAAATATACAGTCAATTCACTTTACAGTCTATTCTGTGAAGCGCTTTGAGAGGTCCAGAAGACATGAAAAGTGCTATATCAAATGCAAGGATTATTATTATTATTAGGGTTAGATACACAGTAAACTTCCCTCTAAGTATCCATCCATATATTTGTTGGTGAATGCAACAACCAATTTGCAGATAGCCAATGTCCCAGAAACACCCGTGAAGGGACTGACCAATTCTATCTGATAGATTGTCAGCTGTAAGAAGCTCCCTTCTCTTTTCAAATAACGCCACGGGATCTTTAACGTCCACCTGAACGAACAGACGGAATCATGATTTAAAATCCAATCTGCAAAATGACAATCTCCAACATTGGCCATTCACGGCCTCTCTCTCTCTCCTACCTCTCCGACCTACTATTCCCTCTATTTACCTGCCCGTACCCTCCGTTCCTCTGGCTCCGGTCTGCTCCACATCCCCCGCCCCAACCGCCCTAACATCGGTGGCCGGGCCTTCAGCCTCTCAGCCCCGAGGCTCTGGAACTCGATCCCCAGTGCCTTCGCCGCTTCCTCCCTTTCCTCCTTCAAGGCCGGTCTCAAGACCTTTCTCTTTGACCGTGCCTTCAGCTCCCCTCTCAACTCTCTACACCCTCCTCGCTCCCTCCCTTCCCTCCCCTCACCCTGACCATTTCCCCCTGCTCGGGTCCTGACCCAACTGTACTGCGCCTTGGGACGTCCTCCCGACGTGAAAGGCGCTCTACAAATGGAATCTTGTTGTTGTTGTTGTTGTGTGTTGGCCTGGACCATATGAGTTCTAAAGTCCCTAAGTAGGGCTTGAACTGACGACCTCTTGATGCGCAAGTGAGAGTGCAACCGAGCCGGGCTGACCCAGTCGAAGGCAGGCGACACACTCACCTCTCTCTTTGATGGCAACCGCTTCCTCCTCTATCCTGAGGCACAGAGTCTGGGTCAGCTTGGCGGACACCCGCTGGAAGGAGTCAAAGTCGTCCACTTGGTAGACATGAGAGTGCTCGGGTTTGGAGGCGATGGTCACCAGTTCACTGAACACGGCATCCTTGACTCCCACGGCGAAGATCTCCACTCCGGCATCCCTCAGCCTTTCGGCTGGCACCTGGAAGGCATCGGACGACTTGCCATCGGTGATGAGGACCATGACACGGGGCACCTTGAACCTGGCCCCCTTCTCCACCACGAAGACTTTATTGCGCACATAGGTCATGGCCCTGCCAGTGTTGGTGGAGCCCCCCCTGTAGGGGAAGTTGCGAACTGCTTCCAGCACGGACGCCTGGGTGCTATGGGTATTGAGGGTGAATTCCGTGTTGGGGTCTCGGCTGTATTGGACCAGACCAATCTGGATCTGGTTGGGCCCGACTGGGAATGTTTGCACCAGGGTCTCCAGAAAATCCCTGACTTTGGCGAAGTTGCTCAGCCCGATGCTGTAGGAGCCGTCCACCAACAGAACGACGTCAGCTTGGGAGTTCTCGTTCAGCGTGCACTCTGCAAATAATAATAATAATGATTGTTACATTTGATATAACACCTTAGCATGTCATTGAGACTTCTCAAAGAGCTTCAAGGATATATTGTAAAGTGGACTGACCGTGTATTCTGTGTGCAAATGGCGTCAGCCACAGCAATGTCCCACAAACATGGATTGAGTGACCAAATTATGATAATTTTTTTTTAAAAGGGTTATTTCTCCTGGAAAGCTATTCACTAATCAACTAACATCCGGGTTCCTACTTACTGCTAGGTAAACAAAAGCATGTGGAGTAAAGAAACTTGCGAAGATTTCACCCTGCTCGGGAATCGAACCCGAGTCCTTTTGCTTGTGAAGCAAGAGCTCTAACCGCTATGTTACAGGACTCCCCAGGAGCTCAGAGAGCATTCGACCCACTATACTAATGTTTGGCATTTGCTCCTCCAGGAAAGCAATCTATACAAATCACAATTCCCCACTCACCCCCATACCCTTTAATACCCCTTTACCCTGTGATCTTATCCAATTATCTTAATAATCCCACCCACCTCAGGCAATAGACTCTGCCCCATCAAATACCTAATTTAACACTGTTGCCACTGGATTAACATGATATTTGACTGTTTAGGAGCACTTTGTGCTTTTATTCCCCCAATAACTAGCATTTACATCGCGCCCTTCATGCAGGATAGCGTCTCGGAGCGCTGCACAGTGATGGGGTCGGAGGCTGAGTGAAGGAGGAGGAGGAGGAGAGGGAAGTGACCTAAGGCGAGGTCCAAGAGGTAAGTCTTAAAATGAGATTTAATGGTGGATAAAAAGGTGAGAAGCAGAGGAATTGGGGCAGAGTTCCAGAGGTAAGGTGTGTAATGGTTGAAAACACTGTTGTGAATATAGGTGTAGTGCAGAAAACAACTTTGATTTGAACCCACTTAAAGTTACAAATAATAATAATTGATATAACTGTATTATATAAATTGTTTATTATTTATTTAATTATAGGATTTTCCTATTTGATAACATGTAAATATATAATATACATTTTATCAGAGAGTCTTTATAATAGCCTAAAGTTATAGATAATAAGAATTTTTGTCATGCAATTATATAAGTTGTTTATTTATTTAACTGTAGGGTTTTCCTATTTGATAATATGTAAACATATACAATATATATTTACTATATAATCTTTTTCAAAAGCTTATATGATATTATATGACCAGGAATATGGAATAAGGTGTGTAGCCTGTCTTACTGTCACTCACAGCCTGTCATGGTGAAGTCGAGGAGATGTGCAGGTTGTGTGAACAAAATGGGTGGAAATGTGCACGGGGTAATGGTCAGCTCGAGGAGAGCGAGGATCGGGGCGGTGCGCACGTGTGGCCGGGAAAGGAAAATTGCAGAAGCGCCGAAGAGCGGGAAAAGGCGAATGTGCGGGAGAAGGGAGGGTTCGAGAAGGATAAAGTGGGCCCGTGGCGAGGGGGAGGGGGGGGGACAGGAAGTTTTCAGAGAAGCGAGAATTGACAAAGACACCCCCGAAACAAAACACCACACACTTCAGTTACTATTAAGAGAGGAGATAATAACACCTCAGATAATATTAGGGCTCTGAAGCAAAACACACACAGTCTGACTAAACAGCAACAACACAACAACAACAAGATTACATTTGCAAAGTGCCTTTCACGTCGGGAGGACGTCCCAAAGCGTTGGACAGACAGAATTATGGACAGATAGAGTTACGGAGCTGGGGGTCGGGATCGGGGAGGGGAGAGGGCAGGGGGTAAGCAGGGAGATTGAAAGCACGGGTCAAAGAGGAGGGTCTTGAGGTGGGTCTTGAGGTGGGTCTTGAAGATGGCGAGGGAGGGGACGAGACAGTAGGACTGTGGGATGGAGTTCCAGAGGATGGGGGCAGAATGGCAGAAGGCCCGCACCCAATAGTGGGGCGAGCGAGGTAGGGGGCGTGAAGCAGGCCGGAGCCCACTAAGCGGAGGCAGTGAACAGGGTGGTAGCGGGTTAGGAGGTCGCAGAGGTAGGGGGCGAACAAGACCGTGGAGGGCTTTGAATGTGAGGACCAGCATCTTGAACTGTATCCTCTGTGTGATGCAAAGCCAGTGGAGTTGGGCAAGGATGGGGGTTATAGGGTCGCGGAGCCTGGTGCAGGAGAGGACACGGACTGCATTTCATATAATAATAATCCTTGCATTTGATATAGCGCTTTTCATGTCAGGAGGACATCCCAAAGCACTTCACAGAACACACTGTAAAGTGAATTGACTGTATATTTGTGGGCGAATGCGGCAGCCAATTGTGCACAGCCAACAGCGCCTTTCATGTCGGATGACGCCCAAGGTACTGGACAATGAGGAGTTTGCAGGTTGGGATTGGGGGGGATTTGGAGGACAATGGGTGTGGAGAAGGGAAGATTAACCAAAGGCACGGTCAAAGAGGAGGGTCTTGAGACGAAGCTTGAAAGAAGCAAGGAAAGGGGTGAGAGAGAGGGGTTCCAGGATGGAGCTCCAGATGGTGGGGGCATAAAGGCTAAAGATCGACCTCCTATGGAGGAGCAGCCAGGACAAGGGACATGGAGCAGACCAGTGCATGTCGTGGGACATCTTTGTTTAAATGCAATTTGTTGTTTGCGTGTGCAGGTGTGTTCATGGGCAGCTGTGAGTCCATGTATTCAGAGGCTACTCAAGCAGAAAAAGGGTTAAAGTGGTACTGACCGATTGATACTCCGATCACCTGAGTTGTTTCCAGGATCGAGATGGGTTCGCTGGATGCCAGGCCCCTCATGGCGTATAGGTTGATCTGGTACTCGGTCCCTGGGTTCAGGTTTTGAACCACTGCCATCCTCGCCTGAGAGTCCAGGCTCACTTCCTGCTTCTCCACGCCGGGCACCAAAGGGATAAGCTGCAACCTGTACCCAGTGACCTGACCAAGGGATGGATCCCACACCAGCTTCAGGAACTTGGACGCAATCTCGATTGTTTGCAAATTGTTGGCTGGCTCCACCACTGTGTGTCGGGAGAGAAAAAAGGTTTAGCTTTCTCATGCTTAGGAGCCGTATTATATATATATATGCCTAATAATCCTTGCATTTGATATCTCAATGCACTTCACAGAATATACTGTAAATTGAATTGACTGTATATTTTGTGGGCGAAATGCAGCAACCAATTGAGCACAGCAGTGTCCCACAAACATTTGTGGACTGAGTAACCAATCCACAAATTTTATTTTTAAAGAGATTATTACCCCCGGAAAGTGATCCGCCAATCGACTAATGATTAAAGGTTCCGACTTGCTGCTAGTTAAACAGAGGTATGGGGAGTAATGAAACTTGGCTATGGTTTTGCCCCACCCGGGAATTGAACCCGGGTGCTCTTGCGTGCAAAATGAGTGCTCTAACCAATACGCGATAAGACTCCATTGCATTACAACAAGAGGAGGAGACTATTCTTACCATCAAGCCACCCCTTCCTCTAGTTAATTCCATTTTTGTTTGTTTTTCTGGTCTGGCTGGTCAGCCGGGTGTCCGACACACACAGAGACCCATCGCCTTTGCTTTAGAGTATCCAAACTAAACTCAAAGTTCCGCATGCGCATTGGAAATCCCGCATGATTGAAAATGGATTGCACACTCTCACCCTGGAGGGAAGCACCATTCTCACCTAATCCCGGAGAGTATTAAGCACAGACTGAGAAGAGTCAAGGCTTGGGAAACCCCTGAGTGTGTATTGGAGGATAGAGGATTGGTGTTGTAAACCCTTTCTGGCCAGGTTTTCCATTCATTGTTCAGCTGGGACAACCCTACCCATCCTGGTCTTTGGCTTGCAGGGTTAACAGTAGTGGAAAGAACCCACTGATTAGTCTACTCTTCCAGGTCTTGCCTGGATGGCTAGTCTGTTATCAGTATGTTATCCCTGGAGGATCTGCTTGGCTCAGAAACAGGACTGCTGAGATCATCGTAGTGTATTGAATTGATTCCAATCTTCCATTGCCATAATAACCAACTCGGCCTCGAAGAAATCCTGTTATCTACCTTACTCCTCCAGGGTAGACATTTATTAGGATCATGGGCAGATCATCTGATCCTATTTACACGCCTTTCTCCATAACACATTCCCTCCCTGAGTATCTATTCATCTCCCATTAGATATCTCAATTGATTTTGCCATCTATGGTCATTTGGGACAGTGGATTCCACATCATCAGTGCTGTCTGTGTGCTGAAATGTTTCCTAGTTTCACTTCTAACCATTCTATCTCTAATTTCAAGATCACATCCCCTATGTTTTTGGTCCTTCCCCTGGAGAGAAGAATTGTCCACTACCTAACTTGTCAATTCCTATTTAGTTATGGAGCGAGAGACTAATTGACCGTTCAGCTCAAGGCTGATTGCGGGACTTGACCGCATGATAGTGCACGTGCATTCCCAGCGCCGGAGACAAATGCTGCCCAATCAGATATGGAAACACTCAGGAATTCATACCTTCCTCCCCGCTCACAAGCTCAAGGATCTGCTCCTCCACTCCAGAGCAGACCTGTTTGATGATATCGGTCTGGACATCCTTGATGTTGTCAAAATCTGCCACCTGGAAGATATGCTTGCCGATAGGAGCGGAGGCAATCTCTTGTAGCTCCTGGAGGTCAGCTCCCTTTATGCCTGGGTAGGGGGGGAAGAGAGCCACATCATTTTATTTATTTTTTGGTCAGTCTGACACACATGCAGAAACCTATCACCACGCTTAAGAGTATCCAAACCAGACTGAGAATTCTATAATGAAAATTCCAGAGATATATTGTTGGCGTGGAATGCACACTCTCTCCCTGGAGGGATGCATCCTGATTACTTAATTCCAGAAAGTATGGAATTGGTGCAGGTTGACAAGAGCCAAGGAAGGGCACCCCAGAGTGTGAGTTGGGGTACATACCAAAGTGCATCGGAATAAATCGACTGCTGTGAAACCCATCCAAGCTCAGAGGACCACAGGGACACAGGTTCATTAGATCATATGATTGCGTGATCACAATGTCGGAGGATCACCGGATCACAGAATCACGGTATCAGAAAATCACATGATTGGAAAATTCACAGGATTGCGAGATCACTGAATCCCAGGATCACAAAAAGCTCAAGGTCAAAATATCACTGGGTCACAAGTTTACATGATCAAATTATCACTAGATTATAAGAACACTGGATCCTAATATAACTAGTCCACGAGTTTGCGAGGCTCACTGAATCACACGGCCCAGGAGTTTATTGAATCCAGAAGATCACACAATCCATTAGATCGCATGATCAACAAGATTCCAAAATATCATACTATCCCAAGATCAGGAGATCACAAGTGAGGTGCAGTTGAAGAAGGCCTTTTGGCAAACCGGATCTCATCCTTCTGGGGTCTCCACACACTTGATTGCAACACAAGACAGACATCCAACAATCAAGAAGAAAACTTCCTCGAAGAATGTCTGTCCCGCTTGCCCTGGGATTCAGTGCGAGACTGCAATGTGGAGGGACGGAGGGAGAGAGATACTGGTTAAGTAATGGATGATGGGAGGGCAGAAGGCATCATACCCAGTGTGAAGACTTCCACCCCGATGTCACGTAGAGCCTGGGCGCTGTCCTGCACGGTATCTTGTGACTTCCCATCAGTGATGATCACCGCCACTTTAGGATATGATCTTCTGGCTCCAGCAGAGGCGACAAAGGTTTTCTGTACCAGGTAATTAATGGCATCGCCTTCAAGAACAACAGTGACCACAGCGTTACCATCACAACTCACACCTGCCTCATTTCAATAAGTGAACACTAAAACCAGACCTGCATCCCTGTGACATTAACTATGTCAGCACAGATCAACCGGAATGATACCAGGGCTTAAATTATGAGAATAGGTTGTATAAACTTGGTCTCTATTTCCTTGAGCTTAGAAGGTTGAGGGATGATCTGATTGTGGTTTTTAAAATAATGGAGGGATTCGATAGGGCAGATACAGAGAAACTATTTTCTCTGGTGGGGAATCCAGAACAAGGGGGGCATAATCTTAAAATTAGAGCCAGGCCATTTAGGAGTGAAATTAGGGGATGGTTTTTCAGCCAAAGGGTTGTGGAAATCTAGAACACTCTTCCTCAAAAGGTTTTGGATGCTGGATCCATTCACATTTTCAAGACTGAGGTGTATACATATGTGTTAGGTCAGGGTATTAAGGCCAAGGGTGGGTAATTGGACTTGAGATACAGATCAGCCATGATTTTATAGAATGGCGGAACAGGCTTCAGCAGCTGAATGGCCTCCTCCTGTTTCTATGATCTATCTCAATGCATTCCAGTCTGTAACCTACTCGTGGGATATTCTGTACGTAAACTCTGAACCCCTGGAGCGCTTTGGGACGTCCTCCCGACGTGAAAAGCGCTATATCAAATACAAGGATTATTATTATTATAAGATTCTAGGCTGTACTCACTCCCAGGGTGTGTAATTCTAACAACAACAACAACACTTTGTAGCACAACAATATTCTACAGTGTGACCAAAATGTCATGATAACTTCCCCATTATCTAAAAAAAATTATCATCATTTCTCATCGTAATGGTATCGCGAGTTTTTGGTCACCCTGTGTATGCAAACCCCCACAGCCTCCTCACCACCACCCAAATTCCTGGATTAGATTCCAGCCTGTATCTTTCTCCACAGAAATATTGAGAGATAGGATAATCCTTCCCCGATTTCTTTTGCACCTCACATTCTTCTGCCAACTTTAATTCCTGAAGACAGAAATGCACAGAACAGAACACAAGACAAAGAAGGCAAATCATCTTGCTCTGTACCTACCGGTCATTGTGTTGCCTCCTTTGTAGGGCAGATTAGTGATGGCTCTGAGAAGTTCAGATTTGTCGAAGTATCTGTCTAGACTGAACTCAGTCCTGGTGTCAGAGCTGTACTGGACGATTCCCACTCTGGTCTGGTCCTCTCCGATGGAAAAGGCGGAGACGAGGGAATAAATAAACTCCCTGATCTTCCTAAAATTGGGTCTTCCCACGCTCCAGGAACCATCCACCAGGAAAACCAGGTCAGCGTTGGCATTGGAGGAACATACTAAAAAAGCACAACACCGAACCACAAATTTTCAATAAGAATACTTGCATTTGATATCACGTCACAAAGACATCTCAGAGCGCTTCATGTGACTCACTGTTACATGACTGTATGATCTGTAGGCAAACCTAGCAGCCAATTGAAGGGCAACAATGTCCTACAAGCCGTGATTGAATGATCAATTTTGCCTGGGAGTTTGGGAGAATCTCCCTCCTCGTTTTCAATAGTACCATGGGATCTTTTAGGTCCACTTGAACAGGTACAGATGGGAAATTAGTTTAACATCTCATCTAAAGAACCTCCGATAATGCAGAGCTCCCCCCAGCCCTGCACTGGAGCATCAGCCCGGACTGTGAGCTCAAAGTGCCCGACGTGGGTCTTAAATCAAATACTTTCTGACTCAGAGGAGAGAATGCTACCAACTGAGAGCCAGCCTGACACCTCTAACTCACATCCATAAGTGTCAGCCTAGCTCAGTTGGTAGCACTCTCACTTCTGAGCCAAGAGACTGAGGGTTCAAGCTCCCATGTCAAGGACTTTGAGCTCACACTTGATGACACTCCAGTGCCATGCTGGATGGGAGTGCTGCACTGTCAGACATACTATCCTTCAGAGGAGACATCAAACAGGTCCCTTCCTCCTGTTGAGGTGGATGATAAAGATCCTAAGGCTTCAATTGAAAATAAGAAGGCAAGTTTCTCACAGTCAATGTCCTATCACATACATTGTTAATTCACAACATGGCTGTTCGAATTCAAGATCCTCATCCTCACCTACAAGGCCATTTACGGCCTTGCTCCCTCCTACGTCTCCGACCTACTATCCCCCTACTTACCTGCCCATACCCTCCGTTCCTCTGGCTCCGGTCTGCTCCACATCCCCCGCCCCAACTGCCCTACCATCGGTGGCCGGGCCTTCAGCCTCTCAGCCCCGAGGCTTTGGAACTCCATCCCCCAGTGCCTTTGCCGCCTCCTCCCTTTCCTCCTTTAAGGCCGGTCTCAAGACCTCTCTCTTTGACCATACCTTCAGCTCCCCTCTCGACTCTCTACCCCCTCCTCGCTCCCTCCCTTCCCTCCCCTCACTCTGACCATTTCCCCCCAATGCTCGGGTCCTGACCCAACTGTCCAGCGCCTTGGGACGTCCTCCCGTCGTGAAAGGCGCTCTATAAATGCAATCTTCTTGTTGTTGTAGGACATTGCTGCATGCAGAGTCACTGCAATTGACTAGCAATTCCCTTGTAGTGCTTTGAGGCATTATGGATCGAGCGCAGAGCTAGTTGTCACCATTGTCGGGCTGAGTTTGTTTCTCAATTAACAAAAGGAAACAGACGAAGCCATGTGCAGATGATTGCTGCACAGCCCTGACAGAGGGTTTGTTTAAGACACCCACTTACCTGGAGTGAACTCATCCTTCTTAGGCTTTCTAGTTGGCGTGCGACTTGACTGAACTGGGAAGAGGGAGGAAAATGAATAAGTGTGTGATCCAACAACCAACAACCAACCCGACCTAACTGTACAGCGCCTTGGGACGTCCTCCCGACGTGAAAGGCGCTCAATAAATGGAATCTTGTTGTTGTTGTTGTTCCTAGTTCATGTTATTCAATGTCTGATATTTACCCAACTGTCCTCCTGGGGGGGAGGGGGGATGAGCTGGCAGCTTTGACACGACATAGCCTAAGGGCAGTTCTTTAGGGTACTGTTGATGACAGACCAACCAGCTTGGCTCAACGGCAGGACTTAGAGCCTTAACAGATAAGGTGGTCCCAGCTAGACAAGCACCAGGAAGCTTGCCAGACAGTACTATCAACGGCAAGCTCATTGGTTTTAGCTGGTTAAACTCCCAGCAGTTGCTCCCCCAATGCATACTCTGGAGTCCCCCAAGCCTGAGCTCTTTCCAACGCCTGCCAGAAAGTGATCTCGGGCAGCAACCTGATGTGCAGGAAATCAGACACGTGATCAGTGGCATCAGTATAGTGGAAGGGCTCTCCGCCAACCGAGCCCCGTTATAAGGCTGGTTGGGTTTATATGCAAACCCTCCCACACACCCACCCTGTGCCCTTTCCACTCCCACCACTTCATTCTCCCCCTTCCAATTTATACCACTGCACAATGGGTTTCCCGCCCCACACACACACGCACTCACACACGTGTGGATTGTACCTACTTGTAAGTTTCACTTTTACCGGAACGCTTTCTGACGAACGGTCATAGGCAACCAGCGAGATCATGTACTCCAAGTCGGGAACCAGGTCAGTTATTGAGGTTTTGGACACTCGCGTACCTAACGTGAGCTCCCTGGGAGGTTGGCCTTCGGAGACGGAATGAAAGAGAGAGAGCCAGGGAGGAAGAGCGAGGAGAGAAAAAAAAAAACAGCTAATCTTAGACTCATTTTCTTGCGATCCTTGTCCTCACCCTCGAATGCCTCCCACGCGCCCTTGCCACCCACCACCCTACCCACACGATCACTCCTGCAGTCCCATTCCCCGACACACTCCCCTCCACAATCCCTTCCCACACACCCTCCCCACGCAAACTCCACCCCTCCAGCAGTGGACAATCATTCAGTTCTCTCTTCCTCATTCATTTTTCCTCCTCTCTCTTCACCACGAAACCTATCTCTGGCTATCCACTTCCTTAACCCTGCCCCTATTCTCTTCCCCCCACCAAAACCCCCTGCCACACACTCACGGAGAAATTATAGGTTTTAGGCACACCTCCACACCCCCACCCACGCAAACATGAACATGCTGGGCTTGCATGCGTGCACACACACAGAAGTGACAGATTTTCGACACAACAACAACAATAAATTACATAGCATCTTTCACATCACCGCAGCTTAGGTGCTAACCCTTTGTTGACCCGCTCGGCCATCCCCCACATCTGCAACATTGCCCGACTTTGCCACTGCCTCACCCCTCAGGCTGTTGAAACCCTCATGCATGCCTTCGTTACATCAAGGCTTGATTATGCCAACTCCCTGCTCATTGACCTTCCCAACTCTTCCCTCTACAAGCTGCAGATCATCCAGAACTTTGCAGCTCATGTCCGCTTCTGCACCAGGCTTGTGACCCCATCACAGCCACTCTTGCCCGCCTCTACTGGCTCCCCATCCCTCAGAGGATCGAGTTCAAAAGTCTCGTCCTCACCCTCAAGGCCCTCCATGGCCTTGCCCCCTCCTACCTCTCCGACCTGCTAACCCTTTACCAACCTGTCCGCTCCCTCCGTTCAATGGGCTCTGGCCTGCTCCATGTCCCCCGTTTAGCCTGCCCCATCATCGGATGTTGGTCCTTCAGCCTCTGCCCCCAACCTCCATCCCACATTTTCTTTGCCTTGCTCCCTCCCTTGCCTCCTTCAAGGCAAGGCATGCCTCAACAACCTACTCTTCAACCGTGCCTTTGGCCACCCCCTCTGCTCTCTCCTGATCCCAAAAGACACATTTTAGACCTCTCCCCCCAACACACACCCAGGCACACACACACACGTCATCCCTGGAACCCCTCACTCACCATCGGTCGGTGTGACTGTTAGCCTGTACCCCAGTATTCTGCTTCGTGGCCGTCGCCACGTCATTTGCACACTGCTTTCAGACAAAATTTTATATTTCAGGTCCATGGGCGGTGGGACTAGTGGATGGAAAGGGAAGAAAGGGCGTGTGTGGAGGAAGCGGGGAGAGAGAGAGGGGGGGAGGGAGGGAGGGGAGCAAAGGGGGAAACGGGAGGAAAATAAAACACGGTTAGATCACCGGTGGTCGGAGAGAGGAACAAATAAAATAATTCCAAACGCACCCGAATTCAACTCGCAATGTAAAGGCAAGACATTAAACCGGACGCGACGGAGAGAAAGAGAGAGAGAGCGTGCAGGCGGTCTCTCTCCAAACAGTAGTGTCTTTGCATAAATTTGTTTCCAACGAATAGGCACTTCACTTATTGTTGGCAAGATGGTAAGACTCAGCTGTGACACGTTTTGAAGCAGAGATTGTATACTGTACGAGACATCAAACACTTGTGCGAGAAGGGGAGGAAGAGGGATGTGGAGAGGGGAAAGGGGATGAGGGGTTTACAGAGGTACAACACATGAGACATTGAGTATCTGAATCCATAGACATATGGAGCACAACCGGGAAATATCACAACAAAGCACAGTCGTATTAAAGACATCAGAATACAAATAGAACAAGGACATTTACATTGACTGTCCCGACATCTAACACTGAACCCAAAGCCGATCTGTTTTAATGCACAGGTCTCACGCTGAATGCCACACCTGCCAGTTTACAGCGTTCCTCCCTTTGCTTTGCATGTTTTGGATGGACGGTGTCTATATTGTGGCCAGGGGAGCATGGGGGCAATGGGGTTTAGAGCTCTAGTGGGGGAGCGAGCACCAGCACCGACACGATGGGCTGAATGGCCTGCTTCAGTGCTGTCAGTCACTTCTGGGCGTGGGGAGAGTGTAATTTTTCAGTATGTTTTATAACATACGAAATACCATATTTATTGCGCTTTTGGCCTGTGTACTTGTACACATATATATTTTCTGTAAGTAAGTGTTACGTGTGTATATTTACTTTGTGTGTGAGTATTGTATATTTGCTTGTGTGTGTGTTTTCTGTGTGTGTGTGTGTATATTGCGAGTTTACCTCTGTCTGTGTGAATTTTCTGTATGTGCGTTTGTATTGCATGTTTGTCCATGTGCAGGTACATACATACTTTTTGTGTGTATGTATTGTGAGCTTGCTTGTGTGAGTGTGTGTGTGTGTGCGCACGTGCGTGCGTGTGTTTTCAGTGTGTGTCTGTCTGTGTGTTGTGTATTTAGTTGTTATTGACGATGTGGATATAATAACACAACCAAAATAACTGACTCAGAAAGATTGCCCTAAGCTATGAAAGAAGTCCCTGAATTGCTGGAAAAATAAAACAAATGATCTGCTAAGCGGTCGTGGCGGGACTGAGGTCGACGTAAAGATGAGGTCGACGGGTGCATAAGACAGCAGCGACGGCTGAGAGTCAGAGACCCTCCCTCCTCCCCAGACCGGTTGCACTATTTCGCAAACAGTTGCCACACTTACACACGACAGAGAACCGGTAACGGTCAGGACGATTGACAAAGATCTGAACAAAGAGATGGGAGGGTACTTTTTTTTGACGAGGCAAAAAAAAAGACGCCAACACAACACAAGTGCCCCTATATCACAATCTGCTTATTCCGATATTTCACTGCGTACATTGTAATTACTGTGTCCCCTCTCTCTCCCCCTTTGCCATTTCTCCTTCTCCTTCCTTCCACCCCCACTTCTTGACTTTCCTTTACGACCGTGCCTTTGGTCACATCATCTCTCTTTCCCCGGCTCGGCATCAAACTCGACCGTTATTAAAACGTTAGAATGGTGAAACAGGCTTGAGGGGGCTGAATGGCCTATTCCTGTCCCTTTGTTCTTATGTTCCCTATGTTGTTCTCTCCACTTTGTGGACATGTTCACATCAGCCTCAACACAACATGTCAGCCTGATTCTATAGGTTGGGGACCCAATTTGTGTGAATCTACCACTGGTGATGGATTCTGAGGCAAGGAAGAGGGATTGGGGAGGGGTAGATAAGAGTTGTGTGAAGGGCAAGTCAGGAAGAGGCCCCAATCAGACCATCTAAAATTCCACCCAATCTCAGCCTCTAGGTCCATTTTGCCTTAAGATATAAGGCTGCAGACAAATCTGAGAGGAACTGTGGAAAACCGGCTTCCAAATTGACCGGATTTTCAGGATTATTCCGCAATTCCAAGGAAACCTAAGGCATCACAGTCCCACGGTCTGAGAAGGTGGAATTTCAAGCCCTGGGGAAGGCAGGGGTTCCTGTGAAGGCGGGTGCATACAGGGAAGTGGGGGAGCGAGCATCAGCACAGACTTGTTGAGGGAAAAAGCAGGGGAATGGCTTTCTCCTGTGCTATGAACCATGTATGATACCACGTCTATAAATCCCCATCTTTCTTACACTCCCTGACATGTATCTGCATACATGTAAAATACAGGAAGTCCTGCTGATATAGAGGCACGACGACAACAAAATGTACAGACAAGTGTTCTGAGACAGACCACAATATATAAATAACCTCTTGTGGGTGAAAGGTGCACAATCCATTTGTCACGTGAATTAGTGTCTGACACAATCATGCAGACTTGGAGGGAGGGGAAAAGACCATGAGAGTCCTAGTTTAGACAATAAAAGCTACACAAAGTAACACAAAACACTGTCACATATTTTATAATGATATTCCCATTCAATGTGGAAGACACAATCATGCAGACGTGTGTGTATGTATCTCCTGGTCTGTCCTCCCGAATAAAAAAGGGCCATTCACTTCTGTGTGTGGGACCTCGCTGTGCACAAAGCTTTGCGCTATGAAAGAATATGACATTCATGTTCTGGCAATTCTCCTCGAAGTCACGTCCACACATTTAAAAGACGCTGTAAAACTGCAAGCCCCTGCGCTATCTCATCACATGCAGGATTTGATCTCCCATTAAACTGCGTGAAGGGTGTTGAGACGTCCTCCCGACGTGAAAAGCGCTGGCAAGTGCAAATTGTACTGCATTTTGCTCTTAGTATTCCCGCGAGCAGCAAGATGGGTCTTTAACTGCTGTGTTGTCTTTCGTGATCTGTGTGTCTGCCTGTGTGCATGTTACGAATACCATTATAAAATATATTTCTTTGGATTCCAGAGGATGCAGCTCAGGACAAATTTAATGCAAAGGCAGCTGAGCTGAGAAGACACGTTCTTGTTTTCTTTTAAAATACAGTAGGCGAGAAATTCAGCTTACACCAACCTGGGGTTACTGGGGGGGCTGGGCAGTGTGGAGGGAAGAAGCTGCTCACTCCACTCAGTCCACCCAGCGAGGCATGGATCCTGGACAAGGTGTGAGGTGGTCGATGGTTTTTTTTTATATAGATGGCACGTGCGAAAGATTCTGTACTCACTACTGTATTCTCACATTCAGTCAATCGATCCCAATCACTCACGATCTTACTCACTCATTCACTGTCTCAATCGCTCACTCACTGACACTCTTACTCACTCGCTCAGTGTCTCACTCGCTCAGTGTCTCACTCGCTCACTGTCTCACTCGCTCACTGTCTCACTCGCTCACTGTCTCACTCGCTCACTGTCTCACTCGCTCACTGTCTCACTCGCTCACTGTCTCACTCGCTCACTCGCAGTCTCACCCACAATCTCGCTTGCTCACTCACACTCTTGTTCACTCACTCACTGTCTCACTCACTCCCTCACTGAACTCCAGTGTTGTAAATCCTACACAGGGTCCTCTGCAGCCAGACCAGCTGCATCCGTGCCATTTCTCTCTCTCTCTCTCTCTCTCTTTTGACGAAGGATGTGACACAATGTCCTCGCCCCAAAAAAGCCACCGGTCATTCCCTACGCGCCCGCCGCGTGTCGAGGGCGCGGACAATCCAACGTGCGAACAGAAAAAAATATCACATCGTCCCATTGCCTCCGCGAAGGGCTCCTCGAAGTGACGGTGTCTCATTGCGTCTCTCCACTCCAGTCAGCTGTGTCTCTCCGTGCAGGACGGGGTGGCTGATTACCCTCATAAAAGCGTAGACCTGTCCCGGGCAGAGCACAGGATGCTCCACAAGACGACATTCCCTTACATGACACAACGTTCCTTCTTCCCAACACTCACGTTCTTTTCCGACAATCAGAAGGCACTTTACATCCAGAAAATTTCAGGTGCCCCTCCACCCACCCTCACCCCCCCCCCCGCCTTTTTCACACTAACCCTGTCCACGTCTGGCACATCAGCCTTTAGTCCCCAACCCCTCACCCACCCCATTCACTTCAGGTGAAGAGATACAATACTGGGGGCAGCAGAGAAACACCGATCTAACAGTGGAGTCCTCAGAGATATAATTGGGGGTTGGGGCGTCCTCAGAGGGTGAATGTGGAGACACCATCCCACTAGTTGGTGAGTCAGTAACCGGGGGGGACCTCGATTTAATATCATAATATCAGCAAAAATAACAGCAAAGAGACGTGGTGGAGATGGTTAAGGGGTGACCTGATTGAGGTCTTTAAGATGGCAGAGTCAATAGGGGGAAATTATTTCCATTTGTCGGTGAGTCAGTCCCTAAAGGGCATCAATTTAAGATAACAAATGAGCAAATGCAGAGATTAGGAGAAATATTTTCACTCAAGGAGCATTGTAAGGCATGGAATGTCCAGCAGGAGAGGTGGTTGAGGCAGAATCCAGATCAGCTTTCAAAAGAGAACTGGATAGGTATCTAAAATGGAGTTAACTGCAGGGCTATGGAGGTGGGAGAGAGGGCAGGTAAATGGGACCAAAAGGATTGCTCTTTAAAAGAGCCGACACAGGCCCAATGGGCCGAATGGTCTGCGCTGTAATATTCTAGGATTCCCTGCAACGAGTTGAAGATATTCTTTCTCTCGTATGAGAGATGTAGGGATAACCATCAATAAAGCAGAAGTTATGGGTCAAGTATGATGTACAAGACCCGGTCAGCAATCCCGTGGAAACTTCAGGATGTTAAATTGTGTCTTTTTGTTTAATCATTTCTTTAATCTTGTGAAGCGCTTTGAGACAGGATAAGGAGCTATAACAAATGCGAGGATTATTATTATTATTATTATGGAGCAAAATGTGAAAGGTGAAATGTCTTCTCTTGGGGTTGACCCCTTGTACTCAGAGGGTGTGAGAGATAAAGGGTCTCGTAAGATTTCTTTCTGCTTTGATTTATTTTTAATTTTATATTCCCGCCCCCACCCCTCCCCTCCACCAACCCCAACTCCGCCACCTTGCAAAATGTCTGACCAAATGGAGCATGAGATGCCTTGAGCCTCTCACAATGGGTGTTCCTGCGTCCCCTTTAAGTGCTGATCTCAAATCGCAGCCACCAGCTTAGATCTGAACTACTGGCAAAGATGGTGCTGGAGGTAACCATCAAAGGACACCAAATCCATCTGATGATGTGTAGTGGACACAACTGGGATACAGGCCAGGACCTCGCTGGTTCAATCGCGACCAGCACCTGCATTAACGGGGAAGCTAAATTGGCTCCCGACAGTACCAGGGTTAGGGAGGATAAAAGTAGCCGGGGTTCCTGCTCCTGTGCCCTCTTCAAGTGAGGGAAAAGTCAGGCGAAGTGCCTGCCGACACTCACTGTCAAGGATCACAGATAAATGACGATCACTTGGGGGGGGTGGTTGGGAGGCCGTACCAAAGGTAACCAGGGCTCGTGAAACCACACCTCATCCTCCAGAAATAAAATGTCACTGTTAGCGCTATGAACGAGCAGGATAAAGCGTTCATTGACAAGAACATTGCGTCGCCACTCTCTTGTGTTGCGCTCAGTGAGAGAGAAATTACATTGATAACAAGAACATTAACCCTATATTTCAATCGCACTTTAAAAATGACAGCATCAAAATACTGTACGAGCATAGAATAACATAGCATTGGCAATAAGGTAAGGTTAAGGTACTGATTTGAAACTCACGGGGAAGGGGAGTGGGATGGAATAAGAGGTTACACATATGTACACATAATGGGGAAAATTTTGCGCTATTCCATCAGGGAATTTCTTACTTAACAATTCTATCAGGCATTATGGAGTATATCATGTGTGTTACTCTGACTGGATGAAACTATACCCTCCTCACATATCCCTCGCCCACTACCCTATCCCTCAATCCACGATTCCCCGGCAATGCTCACTCAGTATCTGGTGCGTATGGTGTCCACGGACGGGGAAATGCTGATTTGCGAAACCCAATTGGGAAACCTTGGGAACACCTTTGGTCCTAACTACCGTGCCAAAGCCAGGGTGGGCGTTGGGGGGGTGGGGGGTGAACAACAAAAACGTGAGCAGGGTGGGGGCGATTGAGAGGTGGCGGGTGGAGGGGGGGTGGGTCGGGAATTGCTCCCATGGCTAAATTTTTAAGACAAGACGATAAAATGCAGCTTTTCTTAAGTAGATTTAAAGACCCTGTTGAGCATTGCATGTTTCAACCATCCGCGTCTCAACCTAAACTGATGGAACAAGTGAGAGGCACATTCCTGCAATGTCATAGTGTGTGTGTGTGTGTGTGTGGTTGGGGGGTGTGGGGGGTGGGGGGTGGGGTTTGTGGAGGGAGGGGAATGGGTGGTGAGGAGTAAAATCTTACCTTGAGCCTCCACTGAGAGTGCGAGCAATGCTGCACAGGCAGTCGCCAGCGCAAGGCACAGCTTGATCCTCATAGTCTCTCGCTGCGCTCACCAGGGCATGAATGGATCTGAAACAGCACACACAGGAGAGAAGGGTAAGTCACACATACACCAAAAGGCAAAATGCTGGAAATCTGAAATAAAAACAGAAGTCGCTGGGAACGCTCAACAGCTCAGGCAGCATCTATGGAGAGAGGAAAGTGAGTTAACGTGTTGGGTCGATGACCGGCAATTCTGACATCATTTTCCTCTCTCCATAGATGCTGCCTAACCTGCTGAGTGTTCCCAGTGACTTCTTTTTTTAAAATCACATATACCAACCTGGCTCATTCCACAGAACCATAGAAATTTATAGCGCAGAAGAAGGCCATTTATTTGGCCCATCGTGTCTGTGCTGGTTCTTTTAAAGAGCAATCCATTTAGCTGCCCTCTCCCCAGGATCTCCTCATTTACTCCAGTTGGATACGTATCATTTTTCTGGGTCAGCCGGGTGTCTGACACATGTGGAAACCCATCACCGTACTTACGAGTATCGAATTCCAGGCATCCCACCAACACATGGAAATCGCAGCGATAGATGTAATGGAATGTGCTCTTTCTCCCTGGAGGGACACATTCTGTTTACTTAATTTCGGAAAGTATTAGACGCAGGTTGGCAAGAGCCAAGGCTTGGTGATTCCAGAGTGTGCGTTGGGGTAACTGTTGGAGTCTAACCGGTTAAAACCACATCCCGTGCCATTGAGAGCACTGTCTGGCAAGCATTCCCCATGCTTGTTGAGCCAGGACTACCCTATCTGTTATGGCTTATATATTCAATATGGAATATTGAATTCCCTTTTGGAAGCCAACCTAGTTTCTGCCTCAACCACTGCTCCCGGCGAGACATTCCATATCCTAACCACAATGAGTGAAAATATTTCTCCAAACCTCTATTTCCTCCATTTTCTAACTATCCTAAATTGATGCCCTCTAGTCACTGACTCATCGTATAGTGGAAATTATTTCTCCCTATTTGACGCTGTCAGAATCTCATCATTTTAAAGACTTCTATCAGGTCACCTCTAGCTTAACCTTCTTTGTCCCAACAGGAAAAGTCTCAGTTCCTCCGATCTCCGCTCATAGGTCAAAGCACTCTTCCCTGGTAAAAATTGTTCACTTCAATCCACGACAGTTTGTGGGACACTGCTGTGTGCAATTGGCTGCCCACAAATTAGTCAATTCACTTTACAGAATACTATGAGTCGCTCTGAGACGTCTCAAAGACGTGATAAAGCACTATATCAAGGATTATTATCATTTGAGTGTAACTCTCACTTCTGAGTCAGAAGGTGGTGGGTTCAAACCTCTATGTCGAGCCTTTGAACTCACACAGACTGACACTCTCGTCAAGGCTGACACTAGTGCAGTGCTGACAATGCGCCTGTAGGGAAAGGGGTATGTAATATACTCATGGCAACATATTAAATATAAAACAACTGCATTTATACAGCCTATTTCACGTGGGGCGGCATCTCAGAGCGTTTAATTGTGGCAGAGCCTGGCGCCAAGCCAGGGGGAGGTGACCAAAAGCACGATCAAAGAGGAAGGTTTTCAGGCACAATCTGAAAATGCAGAAGGAAGGGATAAGGTGGAGGGATTATAGGAGAGAGTTCCAGAGTTTCGGGTCGGAGTGGCTGAACCATGCCCACAAATGGTGAAGCAGAGGGCACGAAGGACCAACAGGAGGCCGGACCCAGCCGAGCAGAGGTGCTGGAGTGGGGCGTGGGCCTGTCGGAAAGATAGGGAGGTGCCAGGGCGTGAAGGGATTTGTAGACGGGTGTGAGGGCTCTTGAAGTTGATCTGTTCTGTGATGGCGAGCCAGTGGAGCCTGGCGAGGACTGGTGTGATGGGCTGCGGAGTTCAGAGCAGGTGAGTACATGGGCTGCGGAGTTTTGGAGAGGTTTGGATTTTGAAAATGTGCTGCACTGGGTGGGTGGTGGGGGGGGTGCGGGGAGGGGAGTGGGCGCTGGCGTTACTGGAGGTGACATTAAACCAAGATCTCGTCTGTCCATCCAATGCAAGTTTGTCCCATCCCGTAGGCTCTCCCCTCTGACTCCTGTGTCCCTCTTGTGGCAGTGGAAAGTACTTATCTTCCTTAAAACGTCACTCCTTTTAATCTGACAGGATGGGTCACACTCGCTCAACTTCAGTCACAGCACTACACCCTCCTACCCCACCCCACTCGCACACATATGCACTCTCGCTCACACATACACACACACGCGCACGCACACACACGCACACACGCTTGCTCATACACAGACGCACACTCGCTCACATATACGGGGACATGCACACATTGCCCCAACCACACACACACGCAATGCCTCACACGCACAGCCTCACATCCACACGAGCTCGCACGCACACGCCAACGTGTGAACCGCAAACCTCGGTCGTGTCTAAAACACTCGGTGCCCAATTCCAGAGAGAGGAAGAACTCAGATGTCTCAAAGAGTGCAAAGTGTTACCCGAAACAGAGCAGGTCTGTTGCAGGTCTGGTCTCGAGGTATACACATCATTAGTTTTCCAGATGTCTCTTCATAAATACCTCTCGTGAAATGAGCAGCAAAAGAAAATTAAAGGCAGAAGACATTATGTAATGCTAAGGCATTGTAAGGATATACAATATTCATATTCTTGTGTGTCAGCCTGGCTCGGTCGGTAATACTCTCACCTCTGAGGCAGCGGGTCGTGAGTTAAGTGGGTACTTTGAAAGCGTGTGTGTTGTTGGGGTGCGGGTGTGGGGGGGGGGGGGGGGGAATGGGTGGGGACAATCTAGGCTCAATATCAGTGGGGGTCGCCCTTCGAATGAAATGTTAAACTAAGGTCTGCCTCCTCAGGTGGACGCTAAAGATCCCGAGGCGCTACTCAGAAAGAGAAGAGAGTTTCTCTCTCCCAGTGTCCTGGCCGCCAACAATCCACCAGACAAAATTAATCACTCGCTCCACAGCCGTTTGTGGGACACTGCTGTGCGTAAATCGCCTGCCGTGTTTCGCCCACACTAAAGAAAAAAAGCAGTCACTACACACTCACTTCACAGTAAAATTCTGCGAAGCGCTTTGAGGCGTCCTCGCAGCTTGGGATGTCCTTCCAACGGGAAAGGCGCTGAACAAATGTGAAGATTACTATCATTAGTTTTAACAACTGCCCTGAACAGACAGTGTTGACTCAGTTCCAACTGGTGGAAACTTTGATCCCGAGCATGGCACTTCCTTTACAAAACAAATTAAAAAAAAGAAATGATGTAAAATCTCCACCAGGCCGAGGCGGAGGGTAATCCTTAATGTGGGAGCCATTGCAACTCCTCAAAACACTTCACAGGGAATTACTGCTGCAATTGTATTTTGTGGGCGAGAACGGCAGCGAATGTGCACAACGGGGAAGTCCCACAAACAGCCGTGAACCGAACAACAACTTTTATTTGGGGAACTGTTGGCCAAACTCCCTCTTTTCAAATTGTGCCAAAGCAAATCCTTAACGTCGGGAACTCGGTTTAAAGTCTCTTCCGAAGCGCGGCACCTCCGACAATGCAGTACTGCCTCCCTCAGCCTCAATACTCCACGCTGAACTCGATCCTGCACTATAAGATCCACGTAGGAACATATATTTTCGACCAAACAGCAGCAACGACTTGCATTTATATAGCGCCTTTCATGTCGGGAGGATGTCCCAATGCGCTGGACAGTCGAGGGTTCGTGCCTGAGCTGGGGGCTGGATTAGAGAGTGGGGGGGTGGGGGGGGGGAATGGGAAGATGATCGAAAGCACTGTCAAAGAGGAAGGTTTTAAGATGGACCTCAAGGGAAAGTTTAACCCAGGTTTCGGTTTAAAGAGCAGAGAGGAAAAAAAATGGTTGCGTTTCCATTTTCATATTTAAATGAATAAGGTTGATGTCGGGGTGGAATTCACAACATCTTACAACACATTCATTGTAATAATATTAAGAGGTTACCAAATAATAATAATAATAATCCTTGCATTTGATATAGTGCTTTTCACGTCGGGAGGACGTCCCAAAGCGCTTCACAGAATATACTGTAAAGTGAATTGACTGTATATTTGTGGGCGAACGCGGCAGCCAATTGCGCACAGCAATGTCCCACAAACAGTCGTAGATTGAAAATGACCAATTTATTATTGTTTTGGGTTTTTTGGAGGGATTATTATTAGGCTCTGTGTGGAGTAAGGAAACTTGCCCAAGGTTTCGCCCTCTGCCTGGAATTGAACTCAGGTCTCTCACTTGCAAAGCGAGTGCTCTAACCACTGAGCTACAGGACTCCACATGACAGGGAACTTAACCCCATGTGTGGAAGGGCAGTAAGTTGTCTAATAATAATAATAATAATAATCCTTGCATTTGATATAGCCCCTTATCACGTCTTTGAGTTGTCTCAAAGGGCTTCACAGGACGTGCTGTAAAGTGAATTTGCTGTATATTTTTGGGGGCGAATGCAGCAGCCAATTGCACGCAACAGTGTCCCCACAACCAGCAGTGGATTGAGTGACCAAATTATTATTATTTATTGAATTTATTTATTTATTTATTTGAAGGGATTTATTACCCGCGGAAAAACGAGCCTCCAATCGACTAACAACCGGGTAAACAGACGTGCGGGGTAAGGAAACGTGCCCAACGTTTCATCCTGCCCGGGAATCAAACCCAGGTCCTCTCGCTTTGCTTGACGAGTGCTCTAACCACTACAGTACAGGACTCCACATAAAGTATGAGCCATCGCTTTAGAGATATTTCAGCTGCCGCGCTCCCTCACTCTGCTCTCAGTCATTCTCTTCCAAAATTCCTCTGTCTCGCACCCATTCGCTTTCAAAACCTGTTTAGAAACCTACAGGGCTGACCCTGCTGCAGGATAAGTTCTCCCCGCTTCAGTCTCAGGTTTCTCTGTCTCCGAATCACTTTTGAGACGTTACTCTGTGTGAGGAGGGCTGTACGAATGCAATTTCTTTGTACAGAGAGAGAGAGAGAGAGAGAGGAGGAATGAGAGGCAGAAATAGAGAAAGAGAGCGAAGGAG